ATAGCTCTAGTTTAATATAATATTAAATAAAATTCCTTAGTTCTTTCTTTTAATAAAAACCTTAAGGTAATTAATCTTATAGTTAATAACTTTATTATTATAATTAAAAGGTATTCCTTCGAGGTTATATATTATATAGGGCTTATATTTATGCCTCTATAATAGCTTAAGCTTATTCGCTGCCGCTAAGTTAAAGTAATTCTACTTAGCTCTACTATCTACTAAAGTATTTAATTATTATCTCTTAACTTATATTTTTAATTCTAGGTATTATTGCCTATATTCTCTATCTATAGAGTAGAGGGCCTTTTAAGGTAATTTATCCCCTTATTTATTTATTTATTGCCTTATATCGGATAAGATATCTAGTTTTTTAACTTATTAAGGGCATAGCTAAGATAGTTATATTTATACTTGCTATTAGTATATGCCTTATAGTCGTGGTTATCTTATTTATATAGCTATTCCTAGTAGGCTTATTCTGCGATCTAGCCGTCGTCGGGGTAGTTACTATAATTCCTTTCCTTTATAGGGTAGACCTTATTAAGGTCGCTATATCGGATATAGTCGGCGTAGTCTTATAAGATCTAGTCTATTAGTCCTTAGTCTTCTCCGAGGTATAGTTAGATATTTTAATATTATTCCTTATCTTTTTATTTTTTTATATATATAAGGAAATTAAATCTTTCTTTCGCTATTTATTTAAACTTATCGTATATAGCTAGGATATATTTCCCGTGTCTTAGGCATATATCTTTATTATAGAGTATTACTTCTATGCTAAGGTAGCTTCCTTTAGGGGCCTACCTTTCTTCTATTATAGTCTTCTATATAGTAATAATAAATTATCTTTTAAGGGTAATAGATCTATCTTTCCTTAGGGTAAAATAGATATTAGCTATATTAATCCCTTTATTCTATCTATAGATCCTATATTAATAGGTTTCATAGGTAAAGTAAGGTTTATTATTAGGTCCTTATAGCTATATAAGAAAATAATTATTCTCTTACTTACTTTAGATATATGTATTATAATAGTAATCTTTATAAGAGATCTATAAGATTTTTTTATATTAGGGGTATATTAATTAGGTATACTTATTATCTCTTATATTATAATATAGTCCTTATTATAAGTTCATAGCTATCTCCTCGTAATATACTTAGATAAGGATATCTTCTATATCTAAGTCGCTTTTTTCTTCTTATTTCATTAATCTAGAGGTTCTTAGTTCCCTTTAAGTAATTCTAAGGATTTATTCTTATTATTTCTTAATTTTATAGTTATTTTATTTATACTTATATATTACCTTATATAGGTCTTTATTATATTATACTCTTATAATACTAATAGAGTTATATTAATAGAAAACTTAGTATCTCTCTATTTCATATTATAGGTATAGTTTATTATTAGGCTAATATAATAAGGGAATTAGAAAATAGTCTTATTCCTATTTTTCTTTCTTATATTCCTTATATTAATAATATTAGTATAATATCTATAAAATACTAGGGTATTCCTTATATATTAGGTAGGTTTATATATTATCTTATGCATTAAATAATGCTTCTAGGTATTATAGGTCTTTAATTATCATTTAGTAATATATATAGATATATATATCTTATATATCGGTAGTATTTATATGTTCCCTTGCGGTCTAGATATATTATTCTCGTAATAAATTCTAATATTAGTTACTATATTTATTATAAAGTTAAGGGTAATATTCCTCTTTCTATAGGATATTATTTATCTTAGGGTTTTATTAGTTCTAAATCTAGGCTATTACTAATTATCGCTAGGCTTTAGCTCTAGCGCCATAGTTAAGATCCTAGTAGTATTACTTAATTTGCCTTATTACTATGATAGTCTTAATATTAAGGTCTTTATTAGGTTTATTAGTTAGTTTAGGTAGTAGTTCTTATTTCGACTTATCCGTGAGATAGAATTATCTTACCTTTAGGGGTTTTATTATAGTATATTATAGCTTCGGCTAAGGGTAATTATTATATCTAAATTATTCCTTAGTAAGGTATACTTAGCTATAAGGTATAATAATTTCTCCTAGTTCTAGACCGGTATTATTATACCTAGTCCGGGCTATGCCGAGTATTTTAATTATTTAGAGAGCTATCTATAATTCATTATTAGTTTATATAAATCTTACCTACTTCTTACCTTCGGGGAGTTACTATTATTATAGCTAATAGTAGCCTTCCTTAATATTATACTACTTTTTATAGTAGATCTTCTTAATATAGTTTATCTTATAGTAATATTAGTATTTAAGTCTATAATAATCGCATTTCTTCTATTAAGTTACTCTAAGTTTTATAAGTCTTATATAAGTTCCATAGGATATATTATTTTATTGATATCGCCCTTAATTAATATTAAACTAAGGTTTTTAATAGTTTTCTTTACTATTATAAGGGTTTTAGAGTTTCTTCTAAGAGAACTATTAGTTATTAATCCTAATTACTTAGCTGATATAATCGATAAAGTTATTAGGCCGGTCTTCCTTATAGAGTTTAGCCTATACCTCCTTCTTAAGTTTATCGAAGAAAAAGGATATTAATAATTCTTAGTCTTAGTTAAGCTTCGAGGCGAGCTAGAGGTATTTAGTGCTATATTTTAATATAGAGCGAGTTTATTAAAGTACCTTAATTTCTCTTTTTGCCTAGGCCTTTTTATCTATTATTCTAAAAGCTTATTAGAGCGCGGCTTTAAAGGCTTTAAAGCTAGAATAGAGGTTTATAGTTCATAGCGAGTATTTATTAAGTAGTTTAATAAGGTATTCCTTTATAATAGGTTCGAACTAGGCCATAGCGTGCTTAATAAGATACCCTATAGTATACTAAACCTTATTAGATGCTATAATAAACTATATAGGGTAATAAAGCATAAATACGCGTAGTTATATAAGGAATATTAGTAATTTATATGCGGTATTATTAAACTTCTCTAGTTATTCTAGCTTTAAGATTTCTCTAATATCTTTGCCCTTTATAGCGGTAATTATTATATTATTAATATTCTAGATATTCTTATAGTATTATTAATTTTAGGCTTACTAAGTAGCGACTATGCGATTAATAAGTCCTCTAAGTTCCTCTATTTTAGTAGTTATAGTAGTGACCTAGGCATAGAGTTACTTAATTTCTTTGTTATCGCTATTTATTTCTTCGTCGCCGTTAAGGTTAGCTTAAGCTAATGCAATAGGGGTAGGTAGGTAGTTAGTAGGTAGAACCTATTAGTAGTTATTACTAGGAGTAGCCTAAGTAGCTATTGCATTTAATATTGTTTAAGGTAATGCGAGTAATCTAATAAATAAGAGCTATTAATATATAACGAGAAGATATTTCCTAAGGGATAAGCTAGTTATACTAGTTTATATTAGCACTAGATTATATTATATAGCCTTAAAGGTTAATATAATATTATATCTAGTAATATACTTAAAGGTATTAAGTATAACTAAGTTATATTAATAGCTACCATAGCTACTATATAAGAAAGTATAATAAATATATCCTATATACTTTATGCGAGGGGATAGATTATAATAGATTATGACTTATAAGGCCTAAGCCGTTATGATCCTACTTACTAGATCAGAGGGGATTATAGCCGCAGGTCATGATCTATTCTGATCCTTTTATAATTAGCAAGGTAATATAGGTTCTTCTTATCATGTGACCCGGGGGTCTCTTTGGGCCGTGACATAGGAGTTATAGGGGTAATATTCTTCTTTTTGAAAATTATATCCTAAGGCGTCGAAATTAAGGTCTTAATGCGATATATTTACTTCCTCGAGATTATAGCCGTAATGACTTTATTATAATACTCTAATAGGCATGGGAAGGCAATTAGGGCCCTCGCCTATTAAGGAATAGCTATAAACTTGATAGGGTTTTGGGTATAAGATAGTGGCTACGCTAATTTTATGCGATAGGATGTCTCTTCTGATAATAGGGATCAATCCGGGCCCCGTTTATGATCTGGGCCTTAGTCTCGGAGAAATACCTAACTCGCCACGAATTAAACCGCGGGATCGCTAGATACTATAGGGTATTTCTCCGGAGGCACTCATCCATGGCATAGACATTTTACAGGATAAATCCCGTGTATGAGATGGTCTAAAGATATGAGAAGATAGTAACTTCGAACTGAGTTGATCATCTCAGTCGTCAGGCTGCCCAAAGGGGCCTGCACATGCTCGGCGAAAGAAGGGAGGTGGGTAGGGGGGTCATGATGTTGTTGGCAAGACGAGAGTGCGGAAGGGGAAATTTGAATTTCGCCGAGATAAAGGAGTGAAGAGGGAATATTTAGCCGGTCTAGCTACCCTAGAGCTTAAATCATGACTAGATATAATAATACAAAAAGCATAGGAACGAAGCTATGCATGTTGTAGAAAATCGGTATGTATGGAACATTAAGAACAAGAATACTCCTCTTATATGGAAATAATTACTTATAATTGGACACTAAGTTTCTTTTTACCTAACTGTTAAGCGAGACCTTTGCGGCTGCGCCTTGCGGATTTGAAAATCCAGGAAGTGAAAGTTGCATTGGGATGCCGTAGCTATTTACCTACCTCAGGCATCATCAAGTCATGTCAGACAATTTTATCACTGATTTGGATCCTAAACAGCTACTGACTCCATTCTATTATCCTGATCCTGGTCAAGTCTACTCTTGTTGCCGGCGCCTGGTGGCCACAGTTGCCGAAGCCGATCAGCGTTGCCGGGTGCGACGACCATCGCGAAGCCCGTCCCACTTCATGCTCGGACTTTTGTAAAAAGTCCAGTGTGTCCGAGATGTCGCAAAAGCGGAACAAAACAACAGGGCTGTCCGATATTCAATCGGCTTCAATTATAAAAACAAAAAGTTGGGTTTCAACACTTAGATAGTACCAATAAAGTCGCCATTCAAACCCATCCACAACAATCCCATTCTACTTCCATCTCGTTCATCTGAAGAAAAAAAAAACATGGCCAATAACGGACAGCAAAATAATTCCCTAATCACCGTTGCAGTTGCCGGAGGCACTAGGGGCATGGGTCTCGCCATCGTCCATGAGCTGAAGCGATTTCCCAATCTTTACACTGTCAAGATTCTGAGCCGAAATGCCGATGCAAGCCAGGCTGGTGAGCTTGGGGTCAAGATAATCACTGTGGATTATTCGGACATCGAAAGTATCACCAAAGTCTTGGAAGCTGAAGACGTCTATACGCTCATATCCAATGTCTTTATCTCTGATGGAGTCACCCCATCACAGCATAATCTGATCTATGCTGCCGAAGCCTCGGCCGTGACCAAGAGATTCGTGCCCAGCACATTCGATGTCCCATATGACGAGGAGTAAGTCCGGCACTCTCCCCTTCATTTATTAGCTGCTCATATCGCGCCAAAGAATGGCATCCATCCTGTACACCGGCGGGTACAAGCTCGACATCGAAAAGATCCTCACGATGACCAAGAGCCTTGAGTGGACTAGATTTCACAATGGCTTCTTCCTTGACTATTATTTCTCGTCAAAGATGAAGACTTTTTTGACTCCTGGAAAGTACATCGCGGATTTGGACTCCAAGAAGGCCATAATTCCTGGTGACGGCAACGTTCCTGTGTCGTTCACACATACTCTGGACGTGGCCCGGTTTGTGGTGGCCAGTCTGTCACTTCCGCAGTGGCCCAGTCGCCTGTACATGTCCGAAGACTACCTCACCTGGAACGAATTCATTGACCTTGCGGAAAAGGCATCGGGTGGGTTGCACTAAAGGGGTTTGAATACTTTGATAATGGACTAACATTCTTCAGGCACCAAATTCGAGCGACAGCACAACAACCTGGAGGACCTCAAGTCCGGGGACATCACCCGATTCAAACAGCTGGATGGCTGGGAGGTTTTGTATGAGTACTGGCCAAAAAGAATGGCGGAGAGGCTTCCCTCGGCGATTCAATATTTCATGGGAGCTGGACTGTTGGATACTGATCGATATGGGCCACGCTTGAACGACTTGTTCCCCGACATCAAGCCCCTCACTGCTCGCGATGCGCTGGAAAGCTACTACGAGGGGAAGATCCCTGGTGGCTTTTCTTAAATTTCCGAGCCTTGATTTCATGTCTTTAAAACCGTCTAGTAGTTAGTATCTTCTCGTGTCTTTACTCCCTGATTGTATGGTTATCTCACTCTCGGAGTGGTTGCTTTGAGTGGTTGCTTTGAAGAAGAAACGTGTCCCCGCTGCCAGGGGTAGGTGAGCGAGGTGGTCATCGGCACATGCCTAATTCCCTTCAATAATCCTCTCTAATATAGACTCTCTTCGATAGGTTGACTCAACAAATACTACTGACCCTTGAGACATCTTTGAGGGTATTTTGTTGGGTTATCCCTAGTAATCCCAACATATTGAACCCAAAGAGAGAAAAAGAAAATATTTCAAGACGCGTTATTATTCTACAGCCACGATTCCGCGTGTGTCACACCCAAGTCTCCTTCTCCAGCGTGATCCGGGCCTTGTCAATGGAATCGTTGTACAACTTGGCCAACTGCTGCTTCATACCCTCCTCTGCCCCCGGCGTGACACTATCCGCAAAGCCTTTCCAGGTGATCTCAGTCTCGTCCTGTCCCATTTTCTGCAATTGTATCAAGCCAAGGGCGCCAGTAGCGGGAAACCCAGGTGAGTCGGCAATCGAATAGGCAAGCGAGTGGGTGTCTGGGTCGATGTATTTTAATGTCTCATGCATTTTGTTTCCGTGAATCGTAAGAACTCGAGTAGATCCGACGCCGAATCCGTGTAGCTCTACGGCAGTGCAGCCGGCGATGTAAAGGTGGGTGGCCCCGAAGGAGGACCACAGTGCCCAGGTTCGGGAAATGGGGCTCTTGAAAGTCCTGGTTACTTGACCCAGGAGCAACTTCGATTTGATAAGTGCTGCTTGATTTGTATGTTAGACGATTCGAGGTTGACTCCAATGGAATTGATGTTTTGGGAAACTCATACCTGCCATGGTTGGTCCTGTTACCAAAGTCTTGGCTTCTCTAGCTTGGAAAGGGGGGTCTGTATGGTATTTAAGCAGACCAGGCTACATCTACACACTGCAGATCAGACAAGGCGTGCTAAAATTAGGTGTACAAGGTAGAAGCAAAGAGGCTAGCCCTTGCAAGATGACAAAGCCTCCATATTCTAGCTCATTTTCATCCACCCAAGCCCCTGCAGATTACCAAGTCGTCAAATTAAGCTCGGTTTTTCGGACTTTCGGACTTTGAGCAACGTCATACAGGGAAACTAGGTTTAGCTAGGCCTCGTGGCATGCCTAAAATCCCCACGGCATGCCTAAAATCTGCCGAGCTGAGCAGATAGCCGGATTCCGTGAATCCCGCATCTAGCAAATCACATCCGACAAAATCCTATCGGGAGCTACCAGGGCATGATAGTATTCGGGGTCCGAAGACCGCGTTCAGCGGAACTTGGACAGCTCGATGAAGGCCGTGTCGCCGTGATACATCGTGAGCGTCAACAAAGGCCTAAATGATGGGTATATAATGGGTTTCGCTCCGATGAGCAGAAAATCCTCACCAAAACAGCATTCTCGCCTCTTCACCTGGACCCTTGAGCAACCTTTTCCAATCAAACAATCTCAAACTCGAAATGGCACGCTCTCATCGCTCTTTAGCAGCTTGCTTGGCATGGTGTCTTGCAACGGCAAACGTGTTTGCGGCACCAAGTCTCAAGAGTTGTCTCTTGGCATCTGTCAATGGACAGACTGAGAGGGCCAGATTTTCTGGTGACGCCGGTTTTCAATCAGACCATGTCCGGCCTTACAACCTCAACTTCCCATATGAACCATTCGCCATCCTTTATCCCATCGACGCTTCGGAGGTCTCGAGCATTGTCGTGTGCGCTTCCAAGTACAATCGCAAGATCCAGGCAAGAAGTGGCGGGCATGACTACACGAACAAAGGTAAGTCCCTGTTACCCAGTTCCAACCGACTTATTTACCAACGCTACAGGCATTGGTGGAAACGATGGTGCCGTCGTGGTGGACCTCAAACATATCAACCATGTCCAAGTCGACTCGAGCGGTGTAGCCAAGGTTGGGGCTGGCAATCGACTCAAAGATGTCTGCGAGAAGCTTCATTCTGCTGGCAAGAGATATATGCCTCATGGGTCTTCACCCACTGTGGGAATTGGCGGTCACGCAACTGTCGGTGGTCTCGGACTTCACAGTCGACTTCTTGGTACCTCGCTCGACGTCATGACGAGTGCGGAGATTGTCCTTGCCGACGGTACCGTTGTCACTGTTTCCAAAACGCAACACCCGGACATCTTCTGGGCTCTTCGGGGAGCTGGTGCAAGCTTTGGCATCGTCACGAACTTCTACTTCCAGACCTATCCTGAGCCTGAAGAGGTGGTCAACTTCGCATTTACTGTGTCATCTGTGGATCCAGTACAGCTCTCCAACGCCTTCAAAGCCTATCATGAAATCACCACTGATAAATCCCTTGATCCACGGTTCTCCTCTGTGGCTATCATCGGCAAGGGCTCTGTCATAATTAGTGGAGTTTTCTTTGGTACAGAAGCAGATTACAAGGCCCTCGACTTCGAGAGCCGTATTCCTGGTATAACTGAGCGCAACACTGTTGCTGGACTGAGCTGGATGGGTCATATGAACCGCACTTTCGATAGCATCTCCAACATCTTCCCAGAGCAGTCATACTTTTACGCCAAGGACACGGCCATTGGCTACTCAACCTTGCCCAGCAACGGCAGTATCGACTCCGTATTCGAGCATCTACAGAACTCAGACTCCGGATCCAAGAGCTGGTTTGTGTTGGTCGACCTCTATGGAGGCGCTGTCAACGATGTATCTAGCGACGCCACGGCATTCCCTCACCGCGACCTTGCCTACTTTTTTGCGCTGTATGCTCAGACCGAATCAGAGACGTCACAGACTGCGCACGAATTCGCTGACAAGGCCGTTCTTATCTATCAAGGCGGTCAACCTGAGAAGTATCTGTCGTATGCCGGCTACACCAACTTGCGGATCAAGGGGAACGCACAGAGGAAGTACTGGGGCAATAACCTTGCGAGACTGGAGAAGATAAAGGCTAAAGTCGATCCGAAGGATATTTTTTCCACGCCTCAGGGTGTAAAGCCACTTGGAAAGTAGACTGTAGAACAGTTAGCTGGGCTGTCTGCTGTTGCATCTCGCAGAAAATAGTTCTACTGGTAAACAAAGACGCCAGACAATACTACAGAATTTTCCTCTTCTCATGAATAAAGTTTCTAAAAGAGGCCATTGGCGACAACAGCAAAACACACCTCTACCTTAAGACTGTATTATCAAAGCTTCTGCTATTGCAGCAGAAGCTTTAAAAAAAAGGCCACTGTGCTAACATCGGGTCATGATGTTATAATTTGTTGAAGATCTGTTCTTTATTATAGTTGCAGCCCGGCCCTTGATGGGTTAACTGAGCCCGAAGATCGTATTATCAAAGAGATCTATAGGAAGAATATCCAGGATATAAGACTAAGTACATGTAACCCCATTTCTTAAAATACAACTTCTTAAGAGTCCACCCTCTAAAGTGCAGGCGAGTGCCATAATGATAGAAAAGCAAACCGGTGACTTTGTGTTAACGAAGGAAGCTGCCCCTTGGAGAAGCCACAACGATGCTTTAGGTGAGACTTAAATAAAAGCCTTATCAAGGTTTTTGACAAAGTTGCCATCCTTGAAGGGAACGTTGGCCTTGCCGAAGTTGGCGTTCTGAAGGGCAGTCCTGGATCGGGGATCCATAGACTCCCACTGGAGAAGCCAGTGGGTGTCTCCCCTGGTGTTGCTCATCTGCAGGGCATGGTTCAGGCCAAGCTGAGTGAAATATTCAACCTTGACCTTGTCGCCCTCCCGGATAGGGTTGGTGGTACGGGAGTAATCGCCATGACCGGACGCGGCAAAGCCAACGATACGAGGATTAGCATTGTCAGGGTTGTCGATCCAGACTACAACGTTTTCCCAGTCGTGGCGGTGACCACCAACGACGTTGCCGGCATTGGGCTGGTCCTTGGGGAAATACCAGGCGTACATAAGGCCGAACTTGCCCTTGTGCCATGCCCCGCGAACATAGGTTTGGCCCTTGTTCTTATCGCGGCAGCCAGCGCTTGGGTTGCCGGTGTCCTGAAGACCGCCGCTGCCAACACTGTTAGATACAAAGCAGAGAAACGCTATAGTCACCTTACCTGATATCTCCCTGCTCGTTCGAGGCGGTGTAGGGCTGGCATCCATGAGCGATATGCAGGAATGGCTGGAAGCGCTCCATGGCATTTCCGATTTTTCCACCCTGAGTCTTGGGAAGGACGGGTCCAATCGAGTCGTGTGGAAAAATAGCCCGGGCCTGAAGCTTGCCATCCACTGGAGTGGTGCTGGCGATGCCAAAAAAGGCCAAAACGGACAGGAGGGCGGCAGAACGCATGATGAAGGCTGTGAGGAAGGTTGATAGAGTAAGGTGAATGAAGGAAAAGTGCTTCGAGTGTGGCACCTGAAATGTTGCTGGAAGGAAGGGGTGTCTTAAATAGTTGTCTTCTTTTGCAAGAAGCCTCTTTGAGAATCTAAGCTTTCCCAGTTCAAATGCGATAACGAGAAGTGCAAGTATACGAGAAGTTAAATCGCACCTATTACCTTATAAAGGACCACTAAGACAAGTCAGGTGGCCCTAGACCCTTGACCCCCATGGACCCCTGGCAGAATCCCTGGATGCCAAGATCCAGACAGGGGAAGAGGATGAAGGCGTGGTCAGACTGGTTGGTCGCAGGCCCCGGCCCATATCAAACCCAGTCTGACGGCAGAATGATGAATTATAGTCTTCCTTATTTTTTGTCAAGCCAGACTACAACAACAAACCGACATAGTTTCGGCCCGGAGTCATTCTGCTCCTGCTTGGTAGATATAGTGCTTAGGATAACTAAAGATCTAACGCAACAGAAGATATCTAGCCTATTTGGATAAGTATGGACATTCCAAGAGATCCTCGGGCTGGCCGAATATTAGCAGAACTTAAAACACGGAAAACTACCGAGTTAGTCACGGCTTGCACAACAAACCGACCAAATGCGGATGGGATAGTGTAATGGACCTTCCCATCTGGGCTATGTATGCTTATTCTCCGGCATTAATAAATAGGCGAACTCTAAGCCCCTGTAATTATTCCACGAACTGCCCTACGGAGCACATGTCACGCGCGAGCTTAGCACGTCCTCTCGTTCGTTCTCGTATAACTAAGTTGGGTCCTCCTGAACCTTATTTCAATTTACGAAGCCAGATGTGCTCTCTGTTGAACAACTTCCCTTTTTGCTAAAGTCGACAGCGATGCAGTCTTTAACCCACGTCTACCGACAGCACTTTTGCTGACATACAAAGATGAAATACTCAAGCAGAACCTTGCGAATCTAGAGTTCCCTCCCATGCCCAAGACATTAAAGTTGAAGAGGCCCAAACCATCATTGCTAAACATGGCCATCTCACTTCAAACTGAACTCTGCCATTAGATCCGCCAGTGCCGCTGGCAGATCTTCTGTCTCTATATACTCCTCTTGGGCTCTCTTCGCATTCTCCAACCTTGTGATAGCAAATGGGAGAACCTTTTTGATATCCCCAAACTCCATCACCACATCAGTCTCTCTGTTATCCACCAGCAAGTCACCGGCATCTCCATTGGCCTTACTGCTGCCTTGGATCCTGTTGGCAGCGAATAGTGAGGCTAGTCGCAGGATATTCTTGATCCGGCGTCCATCCAAGGGTAGCTTTCCCAGTGCTTTGCTCTGCTCGGGCGAGAGATTGCAGCCTCCATTCTTTTGCGCCAGCAGCTTCCAAATCAGCTCTCGCTTGGAAGCATCCAGGCGAGAGAAGGAGATTTGAAGATGAATTCTTGACTCGAAGGCTGGATCGAAATCACTCGGTCTGTTGGTTGTGAGGAATACAATGCCTGACTGATATTCGAGTAATCTTAAAAATACTATACAATGTCAAACCATGGGCTATTGGATGTGAAGGTACTACTTACCAGCAATGAGAGAGTTTCGTTCAATATCAGCGCCATCTCGCCTCGCTAGGAATGCGTCGGCCTCATCCAAGAGAAGAATCGTATCCCAGCGTGTGGCTCTTTCAAACGCTGTTTCGAGAGCATCTTGAATTGATTCAACGGAAGCGCCGAGCTCACCTCCGCTGACGTGGTAGAGGGGCTTCTCCAAAGACTCTGAAATACTTTCTAGAAACGAATGCTGTGAGCCTTTGATACCAGCTAGTAATGAGCAACTCACCTGCTGTCATTGTCTTTCCACAACCTGGCGGCCCATGAAGCAAGAAGACCAGTCCGCGGCCTTTTCCTTCGATGAAATCATCAAACAGGACGGCATGAGTTGAGTAGCCACGGACGAGGCCTTGAAGAGCGCCCTTCATTTCTTCGTCGATCTGCAGCTGCTCAAAGATTTGTGGCTTCCACACGATCTTTGAGAGGTCATCGATAAAGACGAAACACCACTGGCGAGAAGTGAAAGAATAGGCTGGGACGAGGGGTGGGCATGTGAGAAGCTCATCTTCTGATAATGAACTTAGTGTAAAGGATGCTCCCAGTTGTGTGATTGATGTGGCCGTGTTTGACCTCTGGAACATCCGTCGTCTCATTTCGCGATAAGAGTCGTCGTCGCTGTCATCGTCGTCTTGGTGGGTTCCAGAATCGAGGCTTTCTCTAAACATGGGAGAGTGTTCAAAAAAGCCTTCAAAATCGACGATGACTCGTCCTCTCACCTAGGTCTGATTAGATCAGGCCAAATACGCACGTATCATAAGGTATCTAACTTACAGTGCCAGAAGGATTGTCCATGATCCGGCAGCCTCGGCGATCATCCCTCTCACGTTCCGTCCAGATGGGTCCCGCATGCCACATCGGGGTCCCGACCGGGGACTCTTTGGCTCGGGAGCTCGCTAGACAGTAAGTCTCGTAGCTTCTTCCACGGCGAATTGCCTCCTGCTGCACCCAAATCTCATCTTTGCAATACTTCAATGGGTAGGCTGGAAGTCGAGAAATCCCGATGTTGTTAGAGAAGGCCGGAAAGCTGAGTTTCGTTTCAGTTTTCCCAAGCCTGAGACCGTTAAAACCAGTGTGCATTAGAGTGAGGCTCCAGACCTGGGCACCGGAATCCAAGGTTTTGAACTCAAACGCCTTGACTATAGCACACCATTGGATGGGTGCATCTGAAGCCGAGACATTCTCGATCACGACGAGTTCCCCTGGTGGAAAGATTGCCCAGAGCCATTCAAACTCGATGTAGCCGTTACTAATGAACTGGTCAATCGTCTTGATCGTTTCCTTCATGTACTGGTCTTGAAAGTCGACGAGTAACTGAAGCTCAGCTCGAAGAATGTCGCTTTCCTCGGCCTTTAATGCCTGCTGAATCTTCCCACGACAGTGATAAACCTCCATGAACGGTTCTGGAATAATGATTGGATCATGACTCAGCCTGATGGTTGTCATGTTTTGTGCAATCAGCGCAAAGCCTCGTCGCAGGGTGTCGGATTGGATTTCGAGTTGCAATTTTGGTCTGGCATTGGACTTGACGTCCATCTTTCGTCGGAGAAGCAGTGAGTACTCGCTAAACCGCCCTCGTCTCTCGTGCTCTTGTCTGAATGTCATCTGGCTCTTCATGACGGTAAGAGTATAGCCATCCTGCATGATCTCCTTTACATCTTCAAACGACTGGTTGAAGGGGTAGTCGGCGTCGGGCTTGTTGTTTCCATCGTCGCCACTCCCTTCTGTGGCCTTTTTCTTGTTTAGAATGGCCGAGTATGCCAAAAAGTTAGCTGGCAACGATGAAGACATGGCGTTACTTCATGTAGAAAGAGAATAGGGCAGTTGGAAGAGAACCGGTTTGAGAGATGAGGATTTGCAAATTGGTGCGGATAGTTATGTCAAGCCCAACTTTCTCAGGGATTCAACGTCTGCCGAGCCTCGTCCTGACCACCATGTTTGACCCCGCTCTATGCTACGTATCCTTGTCAGATATCTAGACGCCCGAGGCAACCTACGATTCAGCCTTTGACCTAAACTGGCCGGTTGATGCCTGGAGCCTCGACTGATTTGTGCGGTTGCAGGTGGAATGGCCCCCAATTCCCCATTCTTGTACATGGCATGGTGGTATTACCGGGATGATCTGACCCTGGTAGGGTAAGGCCATGGCCAGCTGAAAACCGAAAATGCAGCAAATTGGCCTATCAGATATGAAAAATGCGCGCGATTTCTGTGATATTGGCGGCCTCACGCGTGCGGCTGACCATCAATACCAACTGGGCGACAGACACCCTGGTCAAGGCAAAAAAAAGTGCGGCTACCAACAGATGTAATCTTGAATCGGAATGAGGACTTTCTGGCCCTCTTTCCGCTAAAAGGAATGCTAGCATTATCTTTTCATCCTCTGGGCGTCCGAATCACTCATCTTTGAGCACAAAGCACAGCTCCAGCGAGCTCCCACCATGAATTCCGAGGCATCATACCGAAGCACCAGCAAGGAAGTGTCCAACGTCGATGTTGAACGTGGGGATGGTGTTAAATGGTCAGACAAACCCAACTTCATCAAGCCTATGCAGCGCAGCAATTCGATTCTATTCAACAGACCAGCCCCCCAAGGCGGTGATCACCGAGCAGAGGATGATGTCGAGGGTGAAGAGTTTCGCCTACGAGACTTGAACATTGACGTCCAACGTATCTTGGACTCACTACGCCCACATGTCCTCTTCCGCGTCAAAGAGGGATACGAAATGAAGAATCTCCCCAAGTTCGACGATATGGTTCGATATGGCATTCGGGAAGAAGAGGAGCTTGAACTGTGGGGGCTCGAGGTACGTCGACTTGCTGCGGTCGCCAAGTCTGAGGAGCCTCCTACACTCGAAGGAGACGCCGAATGGTTTGGAGATGCCGACGCCGCTGGCTACAATCGCCTCCATCGCCTGGCCCTTCAAATTCAATACGCTCTTGATATCTGCATCCACGATAACGAGTTGGTCCTGCTTCAATATCATCCTCAGCTGGCCAATGAATCGGATTACGAGTTCGCTCATCGACGCATTTGCCGAACTTTTGATGAGGATCGAGGATCCATCAGATACGAACGTTCCATCAGGATCGAGAAACACAACGATGAGGCCCTACACGCCCTCGTCAACTACGTCACGGCCCTCATGATTCGTCTCTTACTGAGAAGCATGAGCGGAAGGTTCTGGATCGAGAATTGCGTCTCCGTTCTCGCCAAGTTCGCGGCCAAGATCAAGGTTGTGACTGCAGACTTGCCTTTGGCTTTTGAAAGGACTCTAGAAGCATGGAGGGACTTTCAAATCCAGGTGACCCAATCTCCGGAGGCTCGTGGTGTCCATGCCGTCCAAGCCAACTCATCCGGCTCAGGCTCGGATGATGACCCCATGGCGAAGCAGCAGAAGGCTCTTCAGGAAGACATTGATACCTCTGGAGCACGATATTTCATGGAAATGGACGCCTTCAGGCACTCTCTCAGTAACCTGATGGAGGCGGCCATCGCAGATCTGAGTTGGAATGAGGAGATCGAGCAGCCTGCTGATGTTTTTGAGACGAGTTCAATTGTCTATGACACTGGATTTCATGACAGAAGAACTCAACTCTGCCGTGAACGTGATGGAGCCATTGGAGCTGCTGGGGAACGGAAAGTCATCGATTTTGCTGGCGTTGCGTTCCAGATTGGATCCGAGGTTTGGGAGAGTTTATCGTCTTCAAATGTTCACGGGGTGAACAGTTATACCACCCTCACTTGGAGCCGAAAGCCGTTTTCTAGAGACCAGTTTCCCAAGAGGAAGGAGTCTCAGGATCGAATAACTGAGCCCGCCGAGAACAATCCCTTGATTCACATGGCACATATGCTGGATGTCATCAAAGCGCTTGTGCCGTATCTCATGTACTGTGGCGCATTTCCCACCCGTCTTTCTTTGTTCACGCAACTCGCGGTCCTAATTTCAGATCCGACGAATCCTGTTCGATACTACAAGCAGAAGAGCTTTCTCACAGGAGCAAGAATTCATACTTCGGCCTATGAAAGAAACAAAGACCCGAACTCATCCCTCATCTCTCAGACCGTCTACGATACCGACATGGCCAGACTTGCACGACAAGGAAAGCCGAATAGACAGCTCAAGGAAGAGCTTGAGAAGGCCGAGAAGTGGATCATTGATGAAAAGGCAATCATCATCCAGCATACTTGGTACTCAATGATTTCTCTTGGCGTCTGCGCACTGCTCATTGCTGGAGGAGTGGCTCTCATTGCTATTGAAGACTTGGCAACTGGTGTTGACCCCTCAAATCTCACAGCCTTGGCATGGGCTGCCGCGGGTTTCATCATGATTTACTTCAAATCTAGACGAGTCCAGGACTGGCCTTGGAGGGACTTCCTACGGGGCCGTATCGTCTGCCGATCCATCACTGAAGTGCAATCCGTCACAGGGATGGATCCGCAGGTGCTCATCGCCATCCTACTACGACTCGAGACGAGAATGTTTCTAAAGACTCGCGGCCCATTCAACACACTATTCTCTAGAAAGGCTGAGGACGGCTTCTCCATCGACGTTCCGCTACTCACTAGCACAGTCATCGATGGGGGCTACATCTTCGTCAGGGTCGACAGCATGTCAGGTCCAGCACTGGTTGCATTGACTGCCAAGTCGTATGGGCCCTATGACTCCATCTCTCCCAAAGGTACAAGCACTAACAAGCAAATGTTTACTTGCCGGGATGTTTCAGACTCGGGGCGGTATCTGCTCAACGGGGAGTCATTGGCGCTATATCCGATCGTGACAAACGATCTCCAGTGGTATAGAGTCAGAGGCGTGTTTGCAACAAGAGCCTGCTTTGATTAGATGGGAAAGCTGTGGTGACCAAGAGCTATCCTTTCATAAACTCTCGGTCAGCTTTATTCTTAGTTAATAAAGTGATATATGCTAAAATTCAGGTAGCAAAGATGAAGATTTTGTGTCCCCTATAAGCATATAGAATAATGCCGTTGTTAGACATAGACATGGAGGAGTGAGAGGTTATAAATCGGCGCAGGCAACAGATCGCTCGACAAACCCAACTTGATCAAACTTACCTACCCGTAACTACCTGTCGACCTGGGGCCAGTCACAGCCATGACAAAGATGTAGCACTCTTAAGCATCGTTTCCCTACTAGTGAATCAATGTTTGACCTAAATCACAAGACTTGTATTGCCTCCGCACTTGAGAACTAACAAACTTGACTACTGTGTTGAATATGTAGTTCTGTACCTCTATATCTATGATGAGATACATGCCCGCAAGGATTGAAGGAAGGGAGCTGAGAAACTTAACAGCACCCGCTCACTTTGAGAGCTCCGAATTTATGCCAACAAAGAAGAAAAAAAAACTTAGTCCAACCCCCCTTGAAGCGATGCTTAAAAACGGTTCTGCGTGATTGACATAATGATTCCAGCCCTAGTGGTGTATTCCACAGACAAGACTCCCTCAGGCACCACTTCCCCATTGCTCCTCAACCCTTCCGCAAGAGTGCACAGCCCAGCATCGGAGAACCCAAGAGATCCAAAGAGCGCGCATGCATTCCGGTTGTCCGGGGCAATCATGGTGCGGACGCGGATCCTCGGGCTGCATGCCGGAGGGATCGGAGATGGTCGATTGCCTCTCGACAGAGCAGCTTTGCTACGCCCTTGCCCCTGTGGGACGGGAGGACGTAGAGACTGAGCATCTGCCACTTCTCCTCGTCTTCGTCAGGTGCTATGGGAGGTTGGCCGGCTTCGGGAGGGAGGGTGTAGGCTTCTGCTGAGACGGGACCATAGACGGTCACTTGTGCTACCCACTCGCCATCAGAGTCGACTACAACGAAGGTGTCTTTGGATTGGTTTCTTAGTCTAGCCATCCAGTCATGGTCGGGTAACTTGGACTCGGCCTCGTATGTTGACGAGAATGCGTTTGGCGTCTGTTGCAGAGCCGACAATCGTAGGGCCTTGTACTTGCTGACGAGGGACGGGAAGTCAGTATCGGATCTATCGATCCGCAGAACGGTGTACGCCATGGTGAGATTTCGTTCGGTAGTAAGGTCTGACGAGCGTGTCTCTGTGACAAGCTTATATAGAGGAGAGGAACTGCAGTATTACATCATTTTGTGACTCAAGCCTGGGATGACTCAAAGGATCTTGGGTGCTCTTCATACCCGCGCTGCTGTGCCACAAGGCCTGAATTTTGCCTGAAGCCAATCAGAAACGATTTAGGAGTCAGCACGATGTCGAAGTTCTGCGCTGCATCTGCGTAAGTTTTGGGTTTGTGTGGCTAGGAGTTGGAATCCGCACCTTTTCTGCCTTGACCAGATTGTGTGATCACTCATATTATAGAAACTGCTCATATTTGTTTCTCTTTATCTGATGGGTCAAATTGTCGCATTTTGCTTGTCAGCTGGCCGGTCAACTGCAACCGCACCGCACAGCCCGGTCAAGGGCCCAGGCATGGACAGCCACTCTTGGCCCTCAAATAAGGGTCTCTCTTTCAATACCCCTGCAACAGTAACTGCACACCTCATTGGACTTTCTCTGGAGGCTCCTCTACGGCTTGCGCTTGACATAAAGAGGCCAGCAGAACCTGGTCAGGCTCCTCCATCTTTTCCATCATCAATCCTAGGAAACGCTGTTCAAGAACTCTACCCATCCACCGTCGCCCACCGCACTCAGTCTCCACCTGTATCAAAGTCTCTGAAGAAAAGGCCGGGGCAACCTTGGTGGTCTGAGTTGGTTCTTTCTCGAAAAAAACGCCCTCGGCTACCTTTTTCCGTCCTTCGACGAGATTCCCTGCAGGATAAATATCTAAAAGAGAAAAAGAAAAAAAAGACGGTCTACTGTCTCATGCGGTGAGAAAGAAGAATGTGCTACCATGATCTGGTTAGGTTCTGCTGCGGCCATCGAGTATGGAGCAAGAAGCAGAGGCCATGTGACGACTCTCTGGCTGGCGGTGAGTGCCAGGAGAAGCGTATCCGGAGGCACGTCTACGTCCGTACGAACGATCGCTGCTTGCCCTGCGAGATAGATAGAGAGCCATCTTGGCTCGATCCCATCCGGGGCGGTCTACCCAACCGTGCGGCGACATCGCTTACTGCCCCCAACGAGACCTTATCAGTTCAAGATCCTCGTCACATTTCAGATGATGTTCCTCCGCCAAATGATGATTTTCTCCAGGAAGGTAAAAATTCCATTCGCAAACCATTGCTGTATAGGCACCTTTCCCACGACCCGTATTGATTCGTTTTGTTACAGCATGGGTACCAGGACTTGCTTTGTTGGCGACAGCGACCGAGATAGTCCTGCAGCTTGAGTCGCAGATGAAACGATTCGAAGAGGACCGTCAGAAGCTCACTAGAAGAGTCTTGGAGGCCATGAAGAACCCCGAAGACCCCGATCGGAAGCGGGACCTACCAGCTAGCAACCGTTCAAGGCCATCCAAGGCCATTTTGCGAACTACGGAAGGCTCGGGTTCACCTTATTCACGGCTCAACCTAAAGGCCCGACAGATCCGATTGCTGGAGTTACGTCCCACCAAAAATCCAAAGGATCTGACATTATCCTTTCTGTGTATGGAGCTGCGCAACTGTCCTTCGTACACTGCACTCTCCTACACTTGGGGAGACGAAGAAGCTACCCGGAATATCAGCATTGAAGGAGGCGGGGCAATCAACATCCGCGAGAACTTGTGGTCCTTTTTCAGCCTACAGGGCTCTCTCATCTCTGGGTCTACATTCTTCTGGATCGATGCAGTCTGTATTAACCAATCCAACGTCCACGAACGCAACCATCAAGTCAGCATGATGAAAGAAATATACGTCAATGCGTCCAAGGTCTTTATCTGGCTCGGGCCGGAAGGTGATAATAGCGATCTAGCGATGGACTTTATCGCTACGAAAGGTAGACGAGGACTCAGGCGCCGGGGTCCTGGCTTTCATCCTATTTGGCCGAGGCATGTTGGCAAGGCTCTGAATGACTTGTGTGAACGCGCTTACTGGAGAAGGATGTGGATTATTCAGGAGATTGTGCACGCCGACAGTATCACTGTCTGGTGCGGAACTAAGTCCTTCAGATGGCACGTCTTTGAGAGTCTCTATCTCACCCTCAAAACTCTGGAAGAAACATCTTGGTTTCCACACCATCCACATGCAATAAGAGTATTGCAAAGCTCGGCTTTTACCATGGTCTGGCAGCGTGCACACTGGCGACATCCTGAAACTCCTTCTCCGCGACTTCAGGTCCTCATCGATATCTTCCGCGACTGGCAGTGCACAGATATCAGGGATAAAGTCTTTGCCCTGGTGAGCATGGCGAGCGACGAAACAGCCATCGTTCCCGATTACTCTATGTCGACTCTGAATGTTTATCGTGCAGTTCAAGACAAGCACGATGGTGAGAAACACCAGTTCTACAACATGCTATCCCAGATTCTAGCGATACCGCAAAACGAACTAATGTTCGATGGGGACATGTAAGTACTAATTTAAAAAGAATTTGGGCATAAGCTAACATCAAGTAGGGTCGAATACAAACGCCACCCCCCAGAGACCCTGGTGCTGAGGGCCCTATTCGGCGACCATTTGTACAACGATGGTGCTGTGTGATACGTAGTTTCCTAAGTTCTTGACTGGTCAAACCATAGCTAGGTGGATGCCAAATAGCATCTAAGAGATAGAAGAGAACATTTAAGTTGTTGAAAGGAACGGATATCATTGTCAAAAATTGGGGTGTGTGAACCTAGAAAATAATGTTGTGCTCAGTAGAGGAGTCTTGGAGTATAGCGCAGGAAACCTCCTATTTCGCAGCAGTAGATTGGTCGAACAGTACGGCGAGAGTTCCATTAGGTGTATTTTAAACAAAACCCTGCCTTATTTAGAGGGGGAAATGAGTTAATAATGAGTTTTTCTTTCTATGAACTCGTTGTTACCGAATGCCAACTTTGCGTCGTGCAGAAACCGGGAGACTTGAGGCAGCATCATTATGTTATCCAAGCCCCAGCGATAGTTCCATATAACCAGCACGTTATTTCCACCCACATGATGCCACTGGACTACGCAATTGCTTTCATTGGCCTTGGGGCGAGCACGCTTTACTTGGGTGTTTCTCCGCCAGGTCCACACAGATCTAGAAATCCGCCAATGGCAAACGAAGCCTCAATAGTTTGGGTTTTATTTCGTATATCCTCGACACTATTTTGGCTGCATCAAGGTCCTCAGTGATAGGCCTGCTAGGTTTCATGGTTGCGGTGAGGATCGGCAAACGAATAGTTTGCCTTTCACAATACCCGCCCCAGTAGCGATGCTAGCCTTTTGACCAAACTCCTTGTTGCATACAGCGGTGCATGGATACTACGTCAGGCCTTTTGAGCTTCCATTAGAAGGATCACCTAGGACTTGCTGTCGAATTGGGGAGGTTAAATCCCATCATGCAACTCATACTTTGACCAAGGGCTTTGGATCGTCCTGTTTCTCTACGAGACGGACTTATAGAAGGTGCGGTGAAGTTGAGTTTTGCCGTGCAAGGCAACACTCGGCGAATAATGCCTAGCCAATGATTCAGACTAGATCGAATCCAGCCCCGACCTCCGGCAGCTTGTTACCACCCCCGGTGGATGAAGATCCGAGCGTCTGGATTCACGGGTTACCTGCTGACCGTTTCACACCCTCGCTACCCAATCAGAAGCTTTGCTGGGGCCAAGTCATCCATGGCGGTGACCCTCCAATTTGCTATTTGTAGTAAGCGGTGACGGAGGGCCACCGTCCGAACCCATGATGCCGAGTTTGGAAACGGGCGGAGAATTTCCGTAACTTTAGTGATAATTATTCCGTGGCGCGCTTCCAAATGCAACCCTTAGCAACAAGGTTTCAGCTTAAGTGCCGATGGAGGATATAAGGGATCGCGGCGCTCCTTGGAGTCTCAACTCAAGGAAGCCAATCCCACCGAGCCTTCACAGAAAACTTCGGATTCAAGCTCAAGATGGTTTCTATGTGGAAGCAACTCGTCAGCGGCGTGCTCGCCGTCACCTCCATGGTGGCTGGCGCCAACGCCGCCTATCCCAACCCTGGCGTTGTCACCGGCAACACCGGCGTTCATGATCCTACCGTGGTCAAGACACCTGGTGGCTCGTACATCATGGCTCACACCGGAGCCAACGTGGCACTCAAGACCTCATCCGACCGAACTGCCTGGCGCGATGCCGGCGCCGTCTTCCCCAACGGTGCGCCATGGACCACAACCTATACCAAGGGCGACACCAATCTCTGGGCCCCGGATATTTCTTACCACAACGGCAAGTACTACTTGTACTACTCCGCCTCGAGCTTCGGATCTCGCAACTCGGCCATTTTCCTGGCCACTAGCACCACTGGTGCATCCGGCTCATGGACCAACCAGGGTGTCGTGATCTCGTCCACCGACTCCAACGACTACAACGCTATCGACCCCAACCTGATCATCGACGCCTCGGGCAAGTGGTGGCTCTCATTCGGTTCTTTCTGGACCGGCATCAAGTTGATCTCCATCGATCCCAGCAGTGGAAAGCGCACCGGCTCCACACTTGTCTCTCTCGCCAAGCGAGACGCCAGTGTTGAGGGTGCTGTTGAGGCCCCCTTCATCACTCGACGGGGCAACTACTACTACCTCTGGGTGTCCTTTGACAAGTGCTGCAACGGTGCTTCCAGCACTTACCGCATCATGGTCGGTCGATCCACCAGCATCACTGGTCCCTTCGTCGACCGCAATGGAAAGAACATGATGCAGGGAGGTGGCACTGAGATTCTGGCTAGCCATGGCTCCATCCATGGCCCTGGCCACAATGCCGTTTTCACTGACAATGATGCCGACGTGTTGGTGTACCACTACTACACCAACGCTGGTGACTCTCGTCTGGGTATCAACCTTCTTCGCTACGACTCGGACTGGCCTGTGGCTTATTAAGTCAGTTATGTGGGCTCTGTATATACGCATGGTCACAAGTAGTTGCCCGCTCTACGTTGGCCATTTTTTGTAGTCGCCCCAAGGTTATTTCAGTGGGCGACACTAGACATATATATGATGAATTAAGAGAAGCTACTAGTTATTGGCAGACCCTCTCACAGGCGCCCGTACCTCTCCAGGATGTTGTGATGTAATGTGTCTGGCGACGTTTCTCTCCCGTGGCTTGCCCGCGCCTCTACCAAGGAAATCCTTGCAACCTTCGACAGGGCACCAGAAAGGAACCAGGTTTGGGACAGAGTCGTGGTGCTTGGACTCTTTATGATGAGTAAGGTCCTTCTTGTACCGAGATCTCCTGCTGCAGCCCTGTTCTTGGCAGTGGAACGGACGAGTGTGCTTTTTCATGTGGGTACTTCTAAGGTCAGCATTGATCACAATGAATAACGCTAGCAATAGTTCTTACTTGAGCTCATGTGGTAATGTGAAAGTCTCGCCGCATTGATCACAGTTGAGAGTCCTGTTCGTTGTCGAGGCCGACGGCGCTTGTGATGAATCATCGGCAGCCTCTGCTTGAGTAAGAGCGGGATGAGCCACGATATCTGATGGTAAAGACTGGACAAAGGCATCGTTGCCCTCAAGAAAGATTTGATCACTCGCATCCCCTGTTTTCTCACCTCTGTCTTGACCAGCAGGCTCAGTCTCGTCATCTGGGAGTGGCCCAGCATTCCCACGGATCAACCAGGCAGGATCAACAGAGTCAAAAAGATAGTGTTCGTGATAATTCGATCCGCTGGTCCCTGACTGGCTGGAACTGGAAATAAAAGAAACGCTCTAGAAAACTGAGGCTGGGGGACCTGCCCGGAACAGAATCAGAGATGAGAGCAGTGTGAGGGAAGAAGTGATGTGATCAAACGAAGAAAGGAATGACGGAAGGTAGTTCCCACAGGGGTTGGAAAAGGGGGGCGGTTCCAACGCCTGGGCTGGCCGTGAAGAGAAGAGAAAAAGGAATCCTCTTCACGGCGGAAGACCAGCCATTTATGCCCCCGAGCGTCTCTCGTAAACCTTGGTTTGACTGTGGGTGGCCACAGCCAGTGAACACGTCGGGAACCAAGCTGAAGCCCAAATCCTGCAAGTAGTTGGATCTAGGACGATGTGGCTGCTGACCCCTGACCAATGGCTGGCTGATAAGGATGGTAGGGCTCAAAAACGTCCAAGGCCAGATGTAGGAGGCCCACCAGAAGATGCCAACAAGATACGGAACATCGTCATAAAAAGATATGAGATTTGACAATATGAGGAAGATTACTGAAACATTTGGTCACTCTGAAGAGCCCGAAAGCTCAGATAAACTCTACTAAAAGATGGATCACATGCAAAGATTGAGCGAGTCTCTAGCCCTGAGCATTGGCTATAAAAGCCGTACGAGGATATCGACAAGACGATGGCGACACATGAATCTTCTCAAACTCGACCAAAATCCTTTTAACAAAGCATCACTCTATTCATAATGTCTTCTTGCTTCTGTTGCGATGCCATCCGGCCGTACCGTCCCCAGCACCTCGACCACGAGGCCAAGTTTACCAGCTTCATGGCCTGGGTGCACAAAGAGGAATCCAACTCTACGCCTGTACCTAAGGTTGAGTCAACCGATCTCAACGAGATTCATCCATCTTTTGCAGTCCAGCTCGTGCGACAGGTGAACTTCGGCCCTCTCGAAAGCAAGAGGTACTTCATCGCCCTCTCAACTGCCTCAGATGCATTTAAGGAAGTCACCGAAAGTGACCTGATCAGGGCCAACTTCCAAAAGCTCAATGCGTGAGTATGACTCTCAGGCTGGTCTTTTTCGTGGCTAAGACCCCAGTATAGCCACAAGAACTTCGGTGTGACGCGCACAACCGGTTCTTTGAGGTGAACCTTTACCAACGCGATCCCATCAACAAGCACCATTGGCGAGACAACCTGGCCCGTCCGGCCACAGACATTGACCTGTGAAGGTAGTTGACTACCTACCCGAGTACGCCACGAGGGACCGTACTCTGGCCATGTAGCCCCAGTCTGGGCTTGGGGCGAATTCATCATGTTACTTTATGGATCTTGTCCTGTAGATTGAACAAAGTCAACACCTTCTTTATTAAAGCTTTAACAATCCTTGATTTTATGAAGTAAACGCCAAAAGATTACGGTCTCCTTCTAATCAAGCTTTTATGCAGGATGGCCTCGTAAGATCAAGGAGGACGAAACTCCTCTATCATGGAAACAGCCTGACCCTGATCCAAGCATTTTCCAAGTCCAGTGCATGCAATTCTACAGCTCAAGAACCGAAAGTTTTTCCTGCTTCCACAGACTTATAGGGACAACCATCCCAGTCGCAAGTATTCTATCACCTTGGTTAGCCAACTTCGTCCAAGATGACAGACACTTCTTCTAATTCATACCTTATAGACATTGGTTCCCCACCAAGAGAGGTGCTTCGATGCACCAGTATAGAATACGGCAAAGAATATGAGAATACCAGCTATAGCCACCGAGCAGTCCAACGCCGAGCTCAGAACAAAGTTGAAGCGGCGCCACCAGCGCTCCTTCCGGCGCTTGACTAGCACGCTAAAGAGAAGCCCGAACAAGGCCCAGCTGCCATAGTGAGTTTCCACTTCAAGCATCAACCATACATCCCGCTCACTGTAGATACAAGCTTGCCTGGGTGTATGCCACCAGCAACATCAAGATTCAAATTGACATCTTCTGCCGCATCATCGCCGGATACGTGTGGGAAGGAAAGGTTCTGGCCAACATCTGGTTCTTCAACGTTGGATATATTTCAGGCATCAAGGGACTGGCCTTTGCACAAGACCTGAAGCTCGGTATATACGGCAATGTTTGTGCCCGACCTATTCTCCTACAATTGTATCCGTCACTTTTCTGACATTGTTTGTTCAGATCCCCCCAAGAAGCCTCTTCCTAGTTCAGGTTGTTGGCCTCATCGTCGGTACTCTTGGCCAGGTTTCCGTCCTCAACTGGGCCCTGGATCATATCCCCAATGTCTGCAACCCAAAGACCTCACCCAACGGATTTACCTGCCCCTTTTCGCGCACTCACTTCAACAGTAGCATGGTCTGGGGAGCCCTTGGCCCCCGTCGGTTCTTCGAGGAGGGAGCACTGTATAGACCACTGCTCTGGTTCTTCCTCGTCGGCGCTGTTCTTCCAATTGTGGTGCACCTCTTGAGGAAGAGGGTCTTCCCGCAGGTCAAGTGGCTGTCCAAGATCCACGTACCCCTCTTCCTTGGTGGGCTTAACTACATTCCTCCCGCGTCGGGTACCAACTGGAATGAAGAAGATGGCGGATACCGCCATTGCAAATATGACTCCGTACCATCGCAGTTGAACTGGATAGTATTCGTGTGCGAACAGACCGACACCCAGGGCCACGAGAGCCGCCGCCCCGTACCACCATGCCGGGACTTCTTCGTACTGAGGCTGGAGTTTCTGGCGAGACGGTCCATCCTTGGCTGATAGGTCATGTCCGTCTCTGTGGAACGTTGTTCTAAAGGCGAGTGCGATCTCCTGGCGCTTTTCGAGGAAGAGCCAGACAAAGAGCGAAGAGATGGTGGCGAACGCAAGACCAAATGTGTTGAGGGCATAAGTGACAGGAAGATAGATCTGCGGTTTCTTGGTGTGAGGTCTTTGCCCCAGCATGGGAGAAACATTGAGATCCATGGAGGGGACTTACAGGAGAGTAGTCTTGGTATTTTTCGAGGTCGAATGCAAAACCATCACGCTTGTTAATTACCTTGGAGACGTTAAAGACCTGGCCCATATTGTCGTAGATCGAGTTACTCTGCATAGGCAGATATGCAGACCACCATGTGTTCGTGTAGTAGAGGGCTGGAGTGACGACATAGATCCAGAGCACGAGTGAACCCAGAACGTTGAGGATGGCCCAGGTTGGCACAACCAGAGGTGATCCGATGTAGGCGATCTGGCTCCCTAGCAAAGTGTCAGTAATCATGCCGTATTCACTCGGATAGGAAACCCTCACGTACAGTCAAAGGTGAAGGGCAAAAGCCCGATGCCGCTCTTCATACCAAAGATCTGGTTGACCACAGGGCTTTTCGGGGCTATCCAGCAAACCCAAGTGAAGTAGCCCAAGGCTGGGAAAAGAAAGTCTGGAAGCCAATACCAGCAAAAGGAGGCCATGAATGCCATGAGGAAGAATCGATAGCGGGAGACCGTTCTATGTTATTTCCGCTGTAAGCCTCTAGGGGTGTCAAATGAGAAGAGAAACTTACCCTTCCACTTCCTCCTTACGGGATGAGTGCAGCGCCGCGTTGAGAGCCGTGTTGCCCAAAACGCCAGGCCATACAAGGTCTTTCGGCTCAACTACAAGCGAACGGCCCAGTCCTGCTAGAGCGAAGCCATAGAGGATGGTGGTCAGCGTAGCGAGGAGCTCAAACCCCCAGCCGGCATGTAGGCCGTAAAAAACGCGCTGCTCGGTCAGGACATCAGCACTAAGACGGGTGAGGAAGCTTAGGTTTGCCAGGATGTAGATGAGCATATTTTCCTGTAAAAGGAATGTCAGATCAAGCCCTCTGAAAAGTTCTGCATCATTATTCCTTCTTCCATTGCTAGCTTCTACTCACCTTGTAGTTGAAGGGACCTGGGTTCAAGCTGTGGCGCTGGCCAAACACCGTGACGCCCCAGTCTGGGACGACGTACTGCCACGCCTTGCCAATGGGGTAGGCTAGGAACTGGATAGCCGATTGGGACAAGCTAACGGATGGGAAGCGCAGGGTGTAGAGGGTGTTGACACCGCTGCCCACGAGGCAGAAAGCGATACCAATAGTCCACATGCGGATGGTCAGGCATGGTAGACTTGGGTCATCGGGACGGAAGTCAACGCCTGCTGCGCTCAAGACCTCTTCAACAGATTTTCCTGCCAAGTAAATCAGTATCAGAGTCATTCAAGGTTTCATACAGCTTGAACTCCAGCCCTACCTGAAGATGTCTCTGTCCGAGCAAACTCTGGCTGCTCGCTACTCAAATCTGGTTCGGGGGAAGATTTCTCAACCACAGTCATCTTGAATAATAACGCGAGGGAATGTGCACTTTCTAGATGGCCGAGATGCTGATTGATCAGAATCAGATAAGATGGTGACCGAGGTCAAGATATCTATTCCCAAGATCCGCCAAGTCGGTACCACGGAAGAAGGGTCCCATCCACAAGGCTCGAGAACGGGATACGCCACATTCTGTGGGGGTCTAGTTTGGGGGCTTTTGTGTGCCGAATGGCCCGATGTTGAAGCATCAAGAGATTTGGTCATGTTCATGTAAGAGGGTGGAAGTCTTGTTGTATTTCTTGGCTCATGTAAGTGAACCAAGAAGGGTTCTAGGTATGCCAACACCGTTACGAGACAGCGTCTACCATTGGAGGGGGCAGGGGAAAGGATGGCATTGTCCAGGCGCGGCTGCGATTCTCGCCCTCGTCTTCTACTTCACAAGGCAAGAAACCACTCTGATCAAAGTCCCAAAACCCCAACTTCTTTAGACAGTCGGCCGATCGTTCGGAATGAAGCTGCCGTCTGCTCGGCACTGCCGTCAATTTCAAAGTGGAGCGGCCGCCAAAAGTGGATAATTCCTTTCCTCATCTTGACTAGAATTGAAGGAGGCCAAGACCCGAACAAGTGCCGTTGTTTCCGTCGCGTGCTATACGAACCAAAGCTGACCTTGCAACGAGGCGCAGCAACAAAGAAATCCACGCATCGAGCTGATTGCAGACTAGATTGGATGAGTTAAGCGATCCGAGTGGGATAAGATTAGATGGTTGTACCAAGTGAGGTTTGGAAATCTCGAGCGCGTTGTCCAACTTGTCTGTTTGTTTATCAATCTTACTATCCTAATCGGCCTAGATGACCAGCACGCCATCCTCTTTCTGTTTGTCATTGTCACAGCATGGACACCTTTGCGTGAAGAGTCGTTACATGTTCACTCGAGCCCTGAGGCTTGTCATATTAACAGACGAACGAACAGTTGTCTCACCCTTGATACGTTTCGCTTTTGATGATTCGATATTACCGGCCGATGAATCAATCCAAGCTAGCAGAGAGAGTGTGTGTGACTTCCAAGGCTGACAAGATTCTCGGTCTCCATTGCAGAGATAGCAATAGACTCAAGAGAATATATGGAAATCTTCTCATGCGGTGGCATCTCAAAAGGTTATGAGAGATTGTTGGGAAAGGTTCCGGACACATTCACAGAGCTCTTCAAGATTTCCTCTGGAAGCCACAGCTTTAAAATAATAAAATAAAAAAAGCCTTTGGTTTGGCAAGTCGTCTGCTCGATCTCGCATACCTTAGCTCTGTGGCTTTGTCGAGTGGCGCCTGTCAAGCCACAGGCGAATATCCACAGGTTGTAGTGAGGTACGGCGCATGTCGCTGAATGGTCGCTTATGCACGGTACAAAGGGAGAAAGCCCACTAAGGAACTCGCAGAGTACTTGACGCGGCTCAGTACTTGTGATTGGCTTAAAAGAATAGTCCGCCCCGTATCCAGCCCCGCTGTAGGGTACTTCTGCCACTTTTGCCGTTGGCGGAGAGTGCTATGTTAGAGGGCAACTTCAAGAGCACAACACAGGATAAACATGGAAGTTAATAAGCTGCCTCATTCGCGGTCCCCTCCCTTAGCTTTAGGATAAGCTGAATACCGATTTGACCAGGTTAAGTGGTTGAGATGCTCTGAAGACCATTTTGTGAACAAACAGTGATCGGTACCCACACGTTCAGATAGTGGATAAGTACCCAACGTGGCATTGGTCACGTGAGCTCCAAATATGATCCGATAAAAGATAAGATTGTCAAAACCCCGCAGGCACGTGATACGCTGGCTAACCTTCCACTTTTTTATCTCCACACCTAAAAGCGATCTCGCGATAGCCTCACTTCCTCCTCAAGGTAAACACAAGTCATACCGCAATGAAGAACCTCAATAACAGTAAGTTTCCACTAATATATGTCTTTTTGAAGCTGTTGCACTCTGACAAAGGCCTGGTTAGTGTTGCGATTAGTGCCTCTAATTGGTGCACTGAGATGATGCTAACCTGATCGTAATGAAAACGCAAGAAGGGTTAAAGACAGTGACTGTTATGCTAGTACTGCATGGATTTTGACGCGATACTTAGGGGATTTTTACTTAATGAGCTGTGTGAGAAGCAATAAGGGGCAGCGCAGATGCCACAACCAAGGCGCCAGCCAAATATATATTAATCCTGATTAAACTATAGATTCCCTAGCTGGCCTCTTATCTGTCCTCTCTGTCCAGACGACAATAATAACAAAACCAACTGCTAAAGAACACATCAAAGCCAAGATAGACATCCACCATCCAAAACCAATATTTGTTATGGCAACAGGCGACACGACGGTGCCAATAGCGGCCAGGATGTTGCGGACCAAGTTCAAATCAGCCACGACAGAAGCACCAACTCCCGGCTTGATATCGACAAGGAAGGGCATGATCGTCGTGGTGACGAGCATGAGTCCCAGTCCAAACAAGAAAGCACCAACCAGAGGGGCGACCCAGAATACCTTGTGCTCAACCAGCCACCCGTAGATGAGCAGTCCGGCCGGGACAAAGCCGACACCGTACCACACCGTCTTGATTCGCTCAACAGGGCGAAGCTCGCCATCATGGGCGAGCTGGTACTGGCGTAGCTTAGCGTCGCTCAACTTGCCACCGAGGATGCTCCCGATTGCGTATCCCAGACAGTTGCTGATATAGCAAAGGCCAATCTCAATGGCGGAGAAGTTGTAGGGCGGCGCCGAGTAAGCATAAGGGAGCGTTGTGTTAAAGCAGTAGAGACTGGCGAAGCAGATGCTCACGTAGGCGATGGTCAAGGCGATAGACGGCACCAGAAGGAGCTGCAACTTGGGCAGCGGAGCCAGTGCATCACGCTTGACCGTCTTGTACCACGACCTCTGCTCCTCCTGTTGGCCCTCGGCGGTCTTGACCAATGTCTCGGGCAGGCACAGCATAGTGAGCATGGCAGCACTAAAGGTAAAGATGGCCATGAAATACAAGTTTGAACGCCAGCCAAGCCATACTTGCAAGGCACCCCCAATGATTGGAGCGATCAGAGGCCCGATCAGAGTCCCCAGGTAAAACCACCCTAGGGCTGATCCACGCTCGGTCGAGATGTAGATGTCGCTGATAACACCAGCGCCAACGCTCTGGGCGGATGAGCAACCCAGCGCCTCGACAAGTCGAAATACGATGATCAGGGACAGCGAGTTGGAAACCGCACAAACGATAACGGCCGCCGTCGAGATGAGAAAACTTGCCACCAGCACAGGTCGGCGGCCGTACTCCTGGCTCAGGGTGCTCCACCACAATGGAGCAATCGCTAGGCCTAGGAGGAAGACAGTCGTAGTGAGGGCGACCTCGGTCTCCGTGGTGTGGAAGTAGTCCACCAGGGTTGCAAAGGATGGGAAGAGGATGCATGAGGCAAAGGGTGCTGTGAAGGCCGACAGGGTGATGATGGCGACGATAGCACGCTTCTGCCATATGGAGTGACTCTTTGGGTCCTCAAGTTTTTGTACGAAGCAGAAGCGATCAAACCATGTTTGCGCTGGCTGCGTGCACTTCTCGGTGGATGTGGTTTCTGACATTGTTTGCGGTTCGTTCTGATTCCTTGAGGGATGATTAAGTATTATTAAGAAGTGAGGTGAAAGCTTGTTTGCGGTGAGACTGTTGTGAAAATAATAAAGAAATAACCCATACGTAAATGCCCATATATATATGAAGCCATGGTGAAATATTATCTGATATTAGATGAACCCGGGAATTCGGGTTTTCAGGATTCGGGACTTTCACCCGAAACGTTCGATGCAGCCACGCTGACTCGTCAAGCCACTGTACCCGGACCAAGGATCTATAACCAATACTGTTCAGAAGAGCGGGTAAATCGGCAGCATAAGCAGTTTGAAACTTGGCAGTTAGTACGATAAAGATAACTAAAGCCTGGGACTGGAAGCGCACTCTCGGCTTGTCCGTGTTATATCCACTGAGTACGAGGTTACTAATAAGCCACATTGCTGACGGATGCGGGATTTTCGTTCGGGAATATAACTACATATTAGCCTCTATTATATTCCCGACCACCTTTGACCTATAATCCCGATACCACCGACTCTAACCAACTCGTTCGACGCTGCAAAATGAACAAAAGCTGTGTCGGCTGTGCTAGCTCAAAGCTGCGATGCGATCTTGACACAAAGGGCTCACCCTGCTCGCGATGCATGGACAAACATTCGCCGTGTGTCAGGGCTGGACGCAAGAAGCGAACAAGCAAAAAGAGGGCGACCACAGCGACGACCATCATCAGCCCCGTTCCATCACCACAGACGAGCAGCCAGAATACCAACCCAACGCCGTTTCATGGGGAAAATGTCAACCTCCCGTTCCTCGATACACCGTCAGTGGGTGACATCGACTTATCCCAGCTTGTAGATATTGAAAGCATGTTTGACATGAGCGCTTGGACGTGGAGTCCGGAGGACATGGCATCTATACTCGGCGAGACCGACATGCCCCAGAGCCGTGGTTCATGGCCGGTATCCCCGGAAATCCCAGTAACAAGGGATGGATTCCTGTGCCCAGATACCTTCCGCCTCCCAGCCGACTATACTCTGGATTTTGACAGCCCCGAGATCATCCCGGTGCATCGGCTTGAGACGTTTGCGAGACTGTTCTTTTCTCGTTTCCATTCTTTTATACCTCTATTGCACATACCAACATTCTGTCTTGCCTCATCCGCTCCGGTCCTCGTTCGAACGATATGTTTCATCGGCGCTGGTTTTGACAGTGACCCATCATCTACATCGGACGCCAGGTTGATGTATGGATCCCTGCCTTCATTGCTCGCTAAATGCTGTCTCTTCTCCAATGGGACGTCGCCAACCTTTGAAGAGCTGCAGGCTTTGGTGCTACTGCAGTTTGCGACAGTGGCAAATGGTGGAAGTGCCGAGAGGGCTGCAGCGCGGCTTCTGCACCCTCTCCTCGTCGCGGCAATACGGCACGAAGGGCTCCTAAAGATCCACGGAGAATGCACCCGCGCGGTGCGGAATGCGCAGTTCTGGCAGCCATGGATCCAAAAAGAGCTGAGCAAGAGGGTACTCTGGGGCGTCTATGCCGTCGACTGCTACCAGTCGATACTCTGCGGCAGCAAACCCCTCCTCTCTCCGACAGACACGAGGGCGTCTTTTCCGTGCGACGATGAGAGCTGGACCGCTTGCTCAGCCTCTTTGTGGGCTGCACTTCCGGCGCAGGATCCGTCTAGCTGCTTCCTATCCTCGGTTAAGGATTTGATGATGGGTCAAGCCCCTGCCAAGTCAAACATGACCATGTTTGGCATGAATCTGCTTATCCTGGCTGTGAACGCGTTGCTACTCGAGGCCCAGACTTCAGTTTTACCAGTTGACACTACTGCCCTGGACCAAGCGTTGCAGACATGGTTTACATCTTGGGAACAGTTTCGAGGACAGCCTCACATTCGCCCTGTTGGAACAACAAGCTCCAATATCATCTCAAATAGTTTGTCATTATATTATTTGGCAGTTCACTTTTTGAGAAATGGACGTCCCGTCCTTGATAATCAGGCTTATCTAGAAGCGTCTACTGACTCTAGGAACCCTCTCATAGTTAGAGAACAGGCGTATCAAGAGGAGATGACGCGGTGCGTTGAGCGAATTCTTGGCGACTTCCAGGAGGTGTGAGAGCTGGATATTAATTGCATTACCGAGATCAAAAGAAAGAACATAGAACATTGGACAATTGACATACTTGGCCGCACACCCTTAGATGCCAGACCAACATGACATCCATTCATCTTCATGAAGCTATCTATTCACTCAGCTATCCCCATCAAGGGCCGGCTTCGACTGTAAGAAAGAACACAATAGAATAAGACTACCTTGCTAAGAAGTGGAACCGGTCTATTTCTTATTGATATTGCCAGGTAAGTAATACTCAAGGCACTACCAATTTACTCCTCGGACAGTGAAGTGGACAATGGCTTTGTTGCCTTGAGGGTAAATATGACGGCGCTGTTTTCCTCCTCCGTGTCATTCCATTTCAACGAGTACACTCCTTCGACGTCCGAGGGGATTCCCTGCCACAGAGAAACCAGCCCTCCATCGATGGATGCAAATGCAATCGCACCATAGAAGGAGAATCCATCAGTGACGAAATTAGAAGTTCCGTTGCTTGTAGCATTGACGAGTTGAACGTCGTGAGATGTTGCGGTGGTGCTGGGGATGGCGAAGGTGAGGTTGGACCAGGTTGGCTGAGAATCGTCGGCCAGGGCAGTGGTGTTCGGGGAGCAGGACCACTGGCCGTCGTGAGACTCAACTGTTGAGCTTGTTAGACTTGATGCGTTCTGACAAGTATTGTGTAGGCTTTGGTGTATGACTTACGGATGATAGGAGCAGCCTGGACATCGTCTAGTAGTGAAGGCTCGCCGGCGTAGACGTGTTCTACGATATGGATCAGCGAGGGAATCGGACTGAACAGGTATACCTACCTCCATCGGAGAACAGAACTAGGCCACCAACATCCTCGCCATAGGCATAGAGCTGGAACGGCCCGTCCGGCGTTGCCGCATTGGCACAGGCAACGGGCGAGGCGGCAGCCAAGGACAAAAGAAGGAACTCTGTGACACGCATTGTTGTTTGCTTGCAGAAGTGAAGAAGTAGAAGTCCAAGAGGGAATGTCAGTAAGTATGTGGATTCTGGATGAGGGCATAGAGGCGGCACAAGAATGGTTAAAATAAGTTCTGCTCGCAAGTTCTCCCATCTCTCATCTATCGTACCCTAGCAGAAGCCCCTAATTCAAACCCAGATCCCGTCATCTCTCAGCCCCAGTGCCCCACACACATACTACGTTACAGCGACTGTGCGACTGAGTAGGCGCAGCCCGAGTCATTGGAAAACTATAGCATAGTGGCTATAATCTTGAATAGGCTTGCCAAGAGGAATAAACGCCGGCTTGCCGCTGAAGACGCAATAGACGCGTAAGCATTTGGTGGGAGGCCCAAGTTTCTAACACGGACGTACCCCTTTACGATGTCACCTGGGCGCGTTGCATGCTGGGGTCTGTCTGATAGGGCATGGGTCCTTTTACACCCGAAGTTCTTCCCACGGCATATGTTTCACTGTATCATGGGTATTATCTAAGGTTGCTAGGATATATGTTTATTGAGTTTGAGGCCTCACCAGCAAAGTGACAATGCGGGAAGTAACACCAGATCCACCCCCACAAGCATTGCTTCGTCATCACATTACGCACCTGGACCCTGTCTCAGCCTTCAACGCGATTCAGGTCAACCTTGTTACGTGATAAGCCTCATTGTAATTGTATGATTGTAACTGGTCAATTTGCTTTGCATACCCACCAGCGTCACGATGTTGCGGCCTATGGTGCCTAGGCAGTCCATATAGGCAAGTCCGCCGACGATAATTCAAGTGTAGTATCACCGGCTTCAGCGTAAACCTACCGCGTACGTCGTATTCAGCCCTGTTTCAGTAGTTTGATCCCTATGATGCACTCCGTAGACGCAAATAGTCTGTGGGAAGGACTTGGTCAAGACTGAAGCAGCCTCACAACTCCAAGACGATCCAAGTACAAATGGCATACTTCTCGCTCGATAAATTCCAGAGACAAACACTATCTACACTTCAATCACGGTCAAGAACTGTAAAGAGATTTTACACTGCCTCTGCGACAGTGTTCCAGCGGTGCTGTGTCAACCCAGTCTCTCTACTTTCCTGGGTTTCCGTTCTTTGAAGCATCGTCTCATACTTTCTTTTGATTTATCAACTCCCTCATTCTTTTCTCAAATTTCATAACTCATCATGCATTATCTTTTACATATTGCTTTGGCCGCGGCAAAGCTGGCTTCAGCCCTTCCCAATTCCAACCACCTTCAGCATGCTCACCTACACCGTCGTGCGGCCTGTGAGGGCAACACTGCCACCACCCGCTCTGAATGGTGTGATCTGGACATCTCAACAGACTACTGGACCGAGCCTGTCGACACTGGTGTCACTAGGGAATACTGGCTCGATATAAGCGACGTGACGGTCTCCCCAGATGGCCGATCACGATCTGCTATGGCCATCAATGGCAGCATCCCTGGTCCTACGTTATTTGCCGACTGGGGAGACAATGTGGTTATCCACGTTACCAACTCGCTTACGACATCACTGAACGGCACCTCTCTCCACTGGCACGGCATTCGACAGAATTATACCAATCAGCACGATGGAGTTCCCGCAATTACCCAATGTCCTCTTGCTGTGGGGGACTCTATTACCTATTCATGGAAGGCAACGCAGTACGGCACCAGCTGGTACCATTCTCACTTTGCCCTCCAAGCCTACCAGGGGGTCTTTGGCGGTCTGATTATCAACGGACCCGCCACAGCTAACTACGACGAGGACTTGGGTGTGGTGTTCTTGAATGACTGGGACCTCCAGACAGTTGATGAGCTCTACCCGTCCGCTGAACTGAATGGCCCTCCAGAACTTGAGAATGGGCTCATAAACGGCACCAATGTCTACACCGACGAGGATGGCAACGAAACCGGCAGCCGATTCAACGTGACTTTCGAGCAGGGAAAGACATACCGCATGAGACTTGTTAACGCAGCCGTCGATACGCACTACAAGTTTTCCATCGATAATCACACTCTTACTGTCATCTCTGGTGATCTTGTGCCCGTTGAGCCTTATACAGCTACTCACGTGGATGTGGGAATGGGTAAGCCAAATTGACATAGCTCATACCTCTCAACTTCATTGCTCACACACTTCTGTTCTAGGTCAACGCGTCGATGTGGTTGTCACAGCTGATCAGGCTTCTTCTGGTAGCTTCTGGTTGCGGGCTATCCCCCAGTCCGCGTGCTCTGACATCACCAACGGCGACAATGTTCGCGGTATTGTATACTACGGAGACAGCACCGCGACCCCAGAGACGACGGGCTATGATTACACGGATAGCTGTGATGATGAAGCGCCCAACATGGTGCCCGCTGTCGCAAAGAATGTCGAGGCGGCAAACTGGAGCGACTTTGAGGATGCGGCCGTTGGGCGTAACACTGCAGGGCTCTTCAAGTGGACGCTCAACAGCACCTCGTTCCTGGTCGATTGGGCAGAGCCAACCCTCGAGTCCATCCTGGGTGGGGTGACCGAGTACACCACCCAGAATGCCGTTATAGAGTTCCCCAGTTTGCAGTGGGTGTACCTGGTTGTCCAGACGGCGATCCCTGTCCCGCATCCGATCCACTTGCATGGCCACGACTTCTTCATCCTGGCTCAAGGAACCGGCACTTACGACTCCTCGACTGTAACCCTGAACACGGAAAACCCCCCTCGCCGAGACACAGCCATGCTGCCGGCGTCGGGATACCTCGTCATGGCATGGGAGACCGACAACCCTGGCGCGTGGCTCATGCACTGCCACATCGGGTGGCACGTGTCTGAGGGCTTTGCATTGCAGTTTATCGAGCGGGTGGATGAGATTCCCGGAATCACCCAAGAGGATCTCTTATCAGACGTGTGCACCGAGTGGGCTGCGCATAGTGAGGAAAATAGCATTGTCCAGCATGACTCTGGTGTGTAGGCGTAGAACCAACCGCTTTTTCATTATTGTTGTTTGCAATGATGACAAGAGGCTCTCAACCACAATAGCAAAGATAGAGTTATTAATACATGTCGGCATCAAAACCCAATATCATAAAACACCATAATGGAACCGACCACAGCACCAAAGAACATAGGCTTTAGACATTACTAGCATCTAGATGACCCAAATGACCTAAAATACCATGATGTTATTACAACAGTAAAGATAAGAGGCACCTTTGATAGCCTCTATTGCAGTGGCTTTTGCTTCTGATACGAGTTTCTCTTTATGCTGTGAGCAATATATAAGTTATGTGATCTTATTTACATGGCCATTAATAATACGAGAACTTGGAGAAATCAATTATGAATAACCTTGTCTCTGTTCTGCATCCTGAATCTGTCCAACCCAGCTGAGTCTGTACTTAACATTCAGCTCTGCAACAGGCGTTGATTCCAAAGGCATTGTGTCGTCCAATGTCCCGCCTTGAATAAATACTTGATCATCCGGAGCCGGTGAGTTTCCCGTAAGGCCTGCGAAAATGGGGCTGCCACAGGTGGGACAAAAATGAAGCCAAAGTTTAAAGCCTTCATCGAAGTGTTTGGCTTGGTATACTTTTAACTCCCCACTTTGTAGAGTAAAGGCTGAAGAGGGAATTGTCACATTGTGAGAGGTTGATCCGCCAGTGATTTTGCGACAGACACGACAGTGGCATAACAAAGGCTGTCATCGACCGGTCAGCATAGGGATTGACGGTATTGGTTATAACTGGCATTATTGCTATCTCACCTCGGCCGCTTGTTCGTCGGAGATGTCTATTGCATAGCGGACGGTACCACATAAACAGCTGCCGTGTAACATTATGATGGAGGCCTATTTGGCTAATGAAATTTATCCTTGAAGAAGAACGATTGTAATTGAAACCGCAGGGGGTGTTGTCTGTCCACTTGAAGGAGGATAAGGTGCTTGCAAACTAGGCGTCTAAAGCACATTTTTATACTTGGCAGAATCTGGGGGCTTTCGATTGGTGCGGTGCCGCTTGCGTAGTATCCGCAATGAAGGGTATTAACAACCCTGGAAGTCATGGTACATCATGCGAATCGGAGTAAAGAACACAGGAAAGACCTCTGTGATGTAAGCGGAGCGGCATGCTCAAGTTCGGCCGAATCCTGCATACAGAGCTCCAGATTTGCGGGCTATTGCAAGTATATCCTGGCCAATTGGAACTTTGACTCCCAGGATACAGTGGAAGGTCTAAACTTAATGGCTGGGTTTGTATTGACTAATGAAAACCTTAAAAAGATGACCTTCGAAGCGAGTGAGGCGGTAGGCGACCGTAAAAAAAAACATGAGACACCAAGGTGATTTTCTCGGAGCGTCTTATGAAGCGGAAGTCCGATATGATATAGTTTCCACTGCTGATGGCAAACATATCTGGCGATATCACTAATCCAGAAAGAGCTGTTGCTACCAGGAATTTGAGCGACAAGTTGGGGCTCTGGGGTTGGAGAGGACGAATCTAAGGAGTATACACGCCCCTGGTCGGGTGTAGTAAGGGGGAAATGTCTATTTGAACGCGTAAAGATAGTTTCAAAAAGGATTCCTCGTGGAGACACAAAGAATAGTCGAGAGTTCGATGCCTCCCGTTGAAGAACTGGAACTGTGGAAGCAATGGCCGTAGCGGCAGAAACGACCAAGAACTCAGAAAGCCACATGGTGTTGGGAGCAACGCAGAATGGAAGTGAGAGGAAAGAATAGTCATCTACTATCAGAGAGCACAGGGACAACTCTTGAGTACTGCCTCATGGTCATACCAACTGGGATAGCGTCCTGGGAAATGACAAAATGAACAGGAGAGGGGGATTGGGCATTATTTCTTCTCCTACTGCGCGAGATTGGATCACCCTTGTATGATACAAGAACCCCCAAAGTGGACTTGACCGTGGAACTCTCGCTCCACTCGCCGTCATGTCTCCGGACGGAACCTCAAAACATCGGCGCTCCGGCCTTCCTATCTCCGTGTCCATCCACAGGGTCCAGGGGGGCACATCTTAGATTTTTGATCCACCGTATCGCATCTCGGCTAGACCTTGGTTCGTCCGTGCAAATGATTCCACCTTAGCCAGAGAGTGACGTGTCAACGGAACCAGGAACTACCGCGGTGAGTGTCTGACGGTTCGTTAGTGAAGGCAAGGGTCGTAGCCACTACGCTACACCTATGAGCACGGGATTGCTCTACCAGATCTCCGAGGGGTAGTGAAGCTGTCGATTGGATCATTCGGGATTTTGTCTTTAAACGGACGGCTTGATGGAAGCTCAAGAAAAGGTGAATTCCTCTTCCCCTCACCAACCACGCAATGAACCCCATCCTCTTACGTATTCTACAACCCTTATATCATCGATTCCAACGCCTACCTGCATTCCTGCTTCATCATGACTGCAGTCCAAGTATCTTGAGCCTCCCCCCTTCGCAATTCCGGCATCTACCGCAACCTCCCAGGGAACATCAGGGGCTTGATGCCACCCTAATCCTACACTATGCCGGCTATGCTGTGGGCAGTGGATGAAGTGGTGAAAGACCCATCTCACTCTCCATCCCTTACATTGGAGCAGCGGTCACGTTGCGAAAGATCAAACCCTTCTCACTGATCAAGTCTCCTACATTCTTGACTCAAGTTAATTCTTCGATAAACAACCTACTTCTTCCCGAGAACACGACATTTCAGCGCCATGTGCCTCCTACTCACAACGACTGAATCGGGCAACCACTGAACAGCTCGAACTCCCTGGAGTCTGGTGTCGGGTAAAGCTTTTGGAGTTCGCTCAATTTTGGAGCAGCCGAGCTGCGTATAGAGGTAAGGATGATGAAGGTCGCAACCGACGGAGCCCCCAAGCAAGAAGAGAACATCCTAGAAGTCAAGTTATCTATATTCTAACGCAGGTATCTCAGCAAAGCCCGGGCTTTACGGTGTTGTGCAGCATTGGGTTTCAATGTTATGATGTGTCTCTTCATTTGTTCTTTGATCGAGTGCACGACGGGTACATCATCAAAAAATAGAAAGGGCCAGGCTTTAACTGTGTCAAAACCACAATATCAACACATCATAGGATCATATCTCAATGCTAACACAGTAAGTGTCTTTTTAGTATTGCCGCTAGCTAGGTAGCAGACTCATACCTAGCTGTGTAACTTCTCTAACCCTCGTATGAGAGACTAGAGAGAACCCCTCCTTTGATTAGCAACATTTTGAACACAGTACTGGAAGTTGAGATATAGGGTAACATCAATGGGTATCCGCAGCTGCACCATTGTGCGTGTGGATTCGGCGCTGGCTGGAATGGGCTCCCTCCTGGTCTAACATGGGCTTCCGTAGTGAGATACACACTTCCCTATTACGGTTCGAATCTTTGGGGACAAGGCTAGTCCAGACCACTTGGAGGGAGGCCAGTCGATCCAGTCCAACATTAGATAGGCATATGGACTCAGATATGTAGGGTAAATGGGCAGAGGCAGAGGCAGAGGCAGAGGCACTCGGCAACATCCCTTTCACTTGACAGTTTCATCAACATCCGTAGTAAACCCCGGTCAATCGTCATTCACTCCTGAGTACTAAGTAATTTACAAAACACCTTAAAGATTCCCCCTTCTCCCCTTCTTTTCTCTTGGTGTGCTTGACAATCAAGTTCTATTATATGTGCCCTCTGATCCCGTGTTTCTAATCCGCGCAAAGTCAAACCAATGAACATGAAATACAAGGCTCGGCCCTTAGACCCTAGCGAGAGTCATTGAAAATTGTACAAGCTTCCTCCACAAAACCCAGTTTAGTTCTTGCCATCTCCACCGACAACTTGTGTGGTGACATATGGCAAAGGCTCACCAGGCTTGACCCAGTCAGCATGGTGCCTAACAGAGCTCAGCTCATGAGAATTGTCACTTACGTTAGCGTCGATAGAGTCATCGGAGTAAGGACGCCAGAAGTCCTTCTTGCCCTGGAAAAGTCGGGTGAGCCATCCAGGGAGGATGCCTCCAGGGATGCGCCATGTCCAGGGGTCCTTCTCCTTCTTGTTGACGGCAGTCAGCTTGCCCATAGAGGCCTTCTCAATAGCCCAGACCAGGACCTGAATGAGGATGTAGCTGCAAATGCCGGCGATCAAACCATCGGCAATGGAGTAGGTGAAGGGCATGATGGCGATAGTTAGGAACGCAGGGACAGCATCGCCCATGTATCGCCAGTTAATATCGACGACGGCTCGCATCATCATTGAACCAATCATGATCAAGACGCAGCCTGTTGCCCAGGGGGGAATCGAGGCGAAGATAGGGGCAAAGAAGACGGAAATAAAGAAACAAAAACCGGTGACCATGGCTGTGATGCCTGTTCGGCCGCCTTCACCGATGCCTGCTCCGCTCTCAATGAAGGCTGTGACAGGAGACGTGCCAAAAACAGCACCGATAGTGATGGAAATGGAGTCCACAAGATAAGCGGTAGCAGAGCCCTCAAAATCTTGAGTGTGCTCATCAATGAGATTGGCAAACCGGGCCATCGAGTAAAGAGTGCCAGTGCAGTCGAGGATATCAACATAGAGGAATGTAATCAATGCACGACCGAATTGACCGCTGTACTGACTGACATCCCACTTTTGCACAGCAAGAATTCGCTTGATGGGATGAAAGTTGACAACCTTCTTGAAGAAGTCGAACGAGTCATCTCCGACCGGAGTATAAGGGAATGCCGTGATGGAGGTGCCACGAGGCCAAGAGCAGACCGACACAAGAACGATGCCGATCAGGATAGCTCCCTTGACGCGGAACATGGTGAGAATAACCGTGAGGATACCACCACAGAAGATACCCAGCCACATGGTAGGGTTTTGCATCTTGTGAGAGCCAGGACATGTGCCATCTTCCAGCTTGTCGGCAGGAGAGCAGCCGGCGAGTTCAAGAGGGGTAGAGACAGCGCCAGTGATCAGACCGATACCCTCGCTGTAGGTGAGGCCAATGAGTGTCAAGAAGAGACCGATGCCAGCGCCGGTCGCAAGCTTGATTGACCTTGGGATAGCACGGGCAAGCCATTGTCGAAGACCGAGGATGGTAAGGCCAAAGAAAATGAGACCCTCAACAAAGATGGCCGTCATGGCAACCTCGTAAGGAACCGTTCCCGAGCCATGGAAGCCGACGACCTAGGTGGTTAGATGTTGGCGAGAGCACAAAGTAAAAGGGAAAAGACTTACATCGTACGCGAGGTACGCGTTCAGACCCATTCCGCAGCTAATTCCGACAGGCCTGGGCATGTAGTTAGCTATGAATGATCTGGCGCATCGCATTGCGCATGGGGACTAACATGTTGGCGAGAGCACCGAGGAAGAAAGTCGACAGGGCCGAGATCGCAGCAGTAGCAGTTACCAGATCGCGCTTGACCTCATTCTTGCAGAGGAGGTAGTCTGTGTTCTCGGCGCAGATGGGGTCCTCGGGAGTCGAGTCGCAGACGCAGGTACCTCCGCTATCGGACACGATGCTCGAGTTGACAGCCAGGATGTACGCCATCGCGAAGAAAGAAATGATGCCGGCTCGGATCTCGGTGAGGAAGCGGGAGCCATGTCGCTCACGAGGCTATCTCTCGGTCAGTGTCGTTCCTGTGTGCTGTCTCTTGGTCAACTCACATGGCCAGAACCCTCCAGTTGGAACCAGTAGCCAAAGCGACTGCTGGCCACGCCATCGTTGATTCGGGCTATCCAAGTCATGATTTGGATGCGTCGAGTCGTAGTATTAATTGGCCTCAAAAAAAGAAAGCAGAAAAGAGGGAGAGAAAAGACAAACAAGAAGAAAGAGACCGCCGTAGGGGAAAATGACAGCACTCCCAATTGCACTGGTTTATAAAAGAGAGCCAAACGACCAAGAAAGATAACAAAGAGGCGAAGGGGGCGATAACGGGTCGCAATCTTGAGCCAGGAAGGTTGCAGAAAGTTTTCTACCTACCTATACAGGCGACACACAGATTACCCCGGACCCAACACGCATGAGTTGGATTCGCGGAACGTCTGAGCCTACGGGCTTTGGGAACCATTGGGGAGTGCTTCGCCGTCTTGGCCTTTCTTGGTAAATTGCTCCGTTGACGGACTGGGCTTACATGGGAAGGCTTGGCTGTCACATAATCGTGTCTGATATGATAGCGCAAGGCGAATAACCGTGCATTAGACCAAGAATAGTAAGGTCGTTGGCAGCAAGGTTTCGGAGCGCTTTGACGGGCTCGGTTCTAGAAGAGGCAAAAAGGACGATGAGACTAGCTAATAAAGCCCCGAGGGTCTAGAAGAGACTGGCTTGCTCGTTAGCTGTCACGAATTATACCCCTCCATCAAAAGGTCGCATTGTCCGTCGGTTCCGCGCTGATCCAGGGTCCTGAAGCTACGGAACATCTGGCCGAGCACTGGAAATTACCCACCCACCATGACCCCCCTGTCGGATGCAGCCCGTGCTCCTTATGGTTAAATGCACCCACTGAATGGATCGCTTGCAGCCTCCAAATCCTCTTATCCGGCCGGGGAGGGGGGGATGCCACCCCATCGGTTCGAATCCTCGACAGGTGGCGCAAGCCACAACGCGTGGACGAGACGCCAACGGTCAGGAACTGATAAAGGCAGTTGAGAATGCGCTGATTAATTACATGCATGTCCATGTCCATTTGTGACTGACGTTTCAAGTTGTGAGACTGAAGCTTGACGTGCCCATTTGTTCAAATCCCCTCCAGTTTGTCCATCCACCTTGCTTGCTTACGGGTGCTTTGCTATGTTGGATTCCATCGTCGAGTAGCCCAGTTGGCGCTTCTTTTCCCTCTCTTATTGACAATGTCGGCTCCGTCGGATCACGTTTTACTACGGCCATTTAACGATGTGACAAAATGGGCCAAATGTGCTTTATTGCAAGCGGATGGATCTTTGGGCGATGACTACCAACAAGTTCCCCTCAGTCGATCATCGCAATCGCTCTTGAGAGAAGGAGAACGGGCTTTGCGACGTCTGACACCTCTACTTGAGAAGCCATCCCCTCAATTGAGCGATTTTCTCAGAGATCTCACATTGCGCAACAGTACGAGGCACAATTTCTCAACTTCGAGGTTCCGGTTCACACTAACAGTAGAACAGATGATGTTGTGAGTCAAGTTCGGTCAATCGACATTTTGCTCTACGACTTTGAGGACTTTATTGAACCTCAAACATATGACAAGGCCAAGTTTGATGAGCTGCAAGCGGCGACCAAAGAGCTGGCCATCACTCTGGTAGAAAGAATTACTAGGTTCACAACCAAATCGGCGCTGGATTTGCCATCGCCACCATCACAGTTTCCACCTCTTCCTCCACTTCCTCCTCTCCCCGATATACCCAGACCGGGCTCTCAACTGTCATCACGTCCCTCAACCAGCCTTTCAACCTCTGGTCCTAATTTTGGTCGGGCCCAGAGAAGGCCCTCTCTTACTCGCGGAGGAGAGCAACGTGATGAATCCCGCGCTCCCCCACGGCCACCCAGGCCCGTTGGCTATTTTGCATCACCATCTCCAATCTCACCAAGCTCATTATCATCACCCAATTCGCTGCCTTTCTCGAATCAATCAACCATTCCCGAGCAGGAAAAGGCAACATATGACTATGTCCAAGCTCATCAACGTCAAATGAGTGCTTCAGAGTCGCTTGCCAACGGTTTGCAAGGATTGGACATTCGGGAAATGACTCCTCCAAGCTCCGTAGCACTATCTCCAAGATCAACCACCTACCAGAGCTCATTGAACCCGAGCGCCAGAGGTTCCAGCGGTTACACCTACGAAGATACTCCGCCGCCATCTGTGATTGCTGAGCTCGCTTCTGAACAGGACTGGGCATCCGCCATTGACCATCAGCCGTCCGCTATCCCGCGCAGCTTGGGCTCACTACCACCCCATCTTGAGGGCCGTGCAACAAGGTTCGCAGATTACCAGGATTCGAAGCAATATCCGTACACGAATGAAGTTCAAGTGGAGCATCATCGATCGTCAATTGTGACCCAGGGATCTGGACCATCGATTCGATCAGATGCAAGCGGCGGGTCAGGCGTAAGAGCTGCGTCAATAGCTTCGGGCGCAACAAACAAGACAGACTCGGCATCGGTAAAGGGCCTACAATCCCCACGAATCACCCCGTGCGACATTGGACCAGATAGTTCCATTTCCATGTTGGGAGGATTCTGTAAAGGAGCTCGAGCCTTTGCTGCTGGAGGCCCTGGGCAAGCTATCAGGAAGGTCGGCGGTGCTTCAGACAGCACAGCGAGAGCTGGGGAGCAATATTCACCCGAAATGCTCTTCGGATCAATGTTGGCTACTTCGACTGAAGCCTACGCGGAACCTACGGCACAATGCATCCATTGCGAGTACAAGACTCCGTACTCGCATCTGCTTCAGGACATGGATCAAGATCGTAAGTACCCCACCAACCAGGTTGAACATGAGATTGAAATCTAACACATGCTCAGCACTGGCCAGCCAACAAGCCAGGGGAGTCGTTTACCGATCTCGCTTCCTCTACAAATCTCACATTGCAGTTCGAAACATCAATTCCGTCTACTTTGCTTGCCTCTTTTGCGATAAAGCCAAGGCTACGATGCGGGAGGGCGACGCGACCGTATTCCAGACAGTTGACCTTCTCCTCCGCCACATTTCTCGACACCCTCGGCCATTGCCGCACATCCCGGGACTTGTCGTCGCTTATGAGGACGTCGAGATAAGCACCAGATCACGCCAAGATTACGATTTATTCTTTCCCAATTCTGCCCCTCCCACTCCATATGTTGGGTTTCCGGCCAGTGAAGCGGATAGAATCGCATGTCTCCCTGTTGCGAGGGCGAACAAAGACCACATTCGCCGACGTAACGAGAGGCCACAGGCGAGGCCCGATTCCGTGTCAGAAGTTTTACAGTTTATGGCAGGGGCAAGGATAGTTGGCGTCGAGTACCCGGAGAAGTGGGCTGGCAAATGGTGTCAGGGGTGGCATGATGGGGCTTTTGGGACGTTTCCAAGCAAGATTATTGACTTGGAGCTCCCACAGCATGTGAACCCCGCATCATTGCCACGATCTCCTAGAACAGGAGTGGCTAGATGGAAGTTTGAGGCAAAGTCAAAACGAGCTGGCTGGTTAACGTTTGGGAAAGGCAACACCATCTACAACCTTGCTTGTGAGTATTCCTCGTCTGGTAATCTAATGCAGAGTATCGCTAACAACTCCTAGGGGAGGACCCGCATGCTTGGTTCTGGAGTGGTTCGGATGCCAACGGAGAGTATGGAATCTTTCCCAAGTCTCACATCTCGATAGAGTCCGTGCAGGATGGGTCTCTAGGAGATACGGGTCAAAGACATGTTGTCAAGGAGAAGTCTCGGTTTAGGGGTCTTTTTGGTAGGTAAGCCTAGATATATGAGTGATTTTTTGATGATTCTGGAGGGTCCATGCGGTTATTGAATGATGGACCTTTTTATTTTTTTTTACTAGGTAGATCACGGATAAGGGTAGGCCATTAGTTATGGCTTAAAAGCAGGTTATTTAGGATGGATTTCAAAAGGGTTGTAGATCAAGTGTGTATAATCATAACTTCAGAGGAGATTTGGTAAAGACGATTGCCGCACTCGCTTGAATCATTCATCTTCCAGTTCTAACTGTTTCCGGACCTACCCCAGAGTCGTGACAAGGAAGTCAATGCCTGCGTTGAATTGGGTAGGTCGTTTAGGCCTTGGCACATGCGCAATGGTCCGGGGAGACAGAAAGGCAGGCCATGATCGGCCCGAGCATGAATAGTCCCCAGACTAAGACCAAGGGAGGTCTTAATAAGCTCCGGATGCTACATATAAAAGCACTAACGTGGGGATTTGAACCAGGGGCTAAGGTTAGTTGCACCAATGTTGTTCTCGGAGACGGCATAAGGACGGCCCGATGGACTCGCTGTTGCGTTCAGGCAGGCACATCGGGGACACGGAGCATCGTAGTTGGTCCATGGGTCAGATTTATTGTTGAAGGATCACATCATTGGAGGCGCACTTTCAAGGACAAGGTGAGTTGCCGTCTCATGCCAAGGTAGTTCTCAGGGGTAAACACAAAATTCGGTAATGTAGTACTCATTCGGCGAGAGCGCGATTTAACCATTTGAAGTAACACTCCCCAAGGCCTGCTATTTCTCTTCTATTCTGCTCTTGAGGTGCTTGAGAATGAAGTTCCGTTATACTTGCCTGTCTCGTCCCGTGTGGTCAAAAAGCTCTCCGGCGGGCCCAAGTACGATTCTCTTACACCCCCAAGATCAACCACAATCTTCTGAATAACAATGTTGGGAAGCAGCGTCCAGATCCGAAGACTGTATGCTCCCTCTCGAGGAACATCAAACGAAGTGGTTGTGTAGTTCCCATGTAGCCCCCAAACAGCATTTGCCACAGCATATCCCCATCCATCCGGCATGTTCCCACCAATGTTGGGTCCGATGGGTTGCACGACCGTAGGCTCGGGCTGTTTCCGGCCCGAAGGCCAAAGCGCTATAGCGTACTCCAGGGGATTGTTGTCGCCGAGGTAATTGGCTGCTGGAGACATGAAAATCGTGACATTGGTCTGAGAATGGTTGCTGAAGAGGTACATATCGTACGTCAGAGCAGGGCCTTGACCGATATCAAGCTTTTCCGTATCGAGAGGGAAGAGACCAACACCGGCAGAGGTACGGCCGTAGTTTTCAATAGTGTGGTACTTGAGAGACTCGTCACTGTCATCTCTGTAGAAAATGTCTTGGTAGTTTTGCGCCTCGATGGAAACGTGCCCGTCCGACTCGATGAATCCCTTAAAGTCACCAGGAACTTCACGGTTGATGATCGTTGCGACGACACGTGGTTCTTGACCAGCATACTTCTCGAAACCACGGCAGTTACTAGTGAAATTGATGAATACCTCAGTGGTACTTGGGGCACTCGGAGCATTGTCCCAGTCGACTGTGATGTAGATACGAGTATCAGTGCCGTTGTCACCACCAACCGTTCCGTTGGACTCCGATAGTTGGACATATTTCTCCTTTGTAGAAGCAAACCAGTTGCAGGCTTTATTTCCCCGGTGGAATACGTCGAGGTAACGGAATTGAGCACCAAAAGGCTCCAAGGGCGGAAGTGGTAAACTGTTGGTCGACAGAGGGTGCCATCGGCTGTCACCCTGGATGGTGGCATTGGACCCTTCAACCCCAATACCGTACTGCCCACCGAGGGAGGGAAATACGTCTTGGACGAATCGTAGATCCGGAAGGGTGTTTCTCATTGGCTGTTGCCAGTAGCCATCGTATCCAAGATGAGTTTCTGCGACAGGTTAATTCGTCTTCTCTGGACAAGCGATAAAAGACTTACGGTCGAGCATATGTGCCCATTTCCCATCAAGTACTTCGTCCCATCTCTGGGTGAGATTTGAGTCATCATACATGAGATCCACACTCTCCCAGATCACGTCATTGGCAGAGTTGCGTTTCTGCCCTGCGTAAAGCTGATTCCTTACTCCATTGATCTGGATCTTGTGGACAATCTCGCCTCCAAGAACAGGATGAAGCAACATCTCAAAGAAGGCAGCCTTGTACTCCTCACCTAGTGCATTGTAGATGGCTTGCGTGTCCATCTTGAGTGTGGCCCACTGCTCCAGAACAGATTCAGCCTCGAGATAATTGATAACTGAATAGACGTGTGGCTCGACAAGTTCAAACTTGCGGCGGGCAGCATACATTCCGTATCGAGTCACGATGTCGGTAACGTCGTCAGCATGTTTTTCACCAAACTCTCTCTCAGCCCAAGCATGGATCCACTTGGTCGTCCCGTCGATGCCCCAGCGTTCAGTGTCGTAGGCAAGATCGAGAAAGTGGCTGATGGGAAGTTCCTTTGGTTTGAGATCACCAACGTTGACGATCCAGATCCGCCTTGCATTGCGGTGGTAGGCAAGAAGCATCTGCTCGGCTGTCTTCTCGAGCTGAATAGTGTTGATCCACTTGTAGTTCCTCGGATCTCCAACGTAATCGAAGTGATAGTAAACTCCAGCACCACCAGCTCGGTCAGTCTCGTTCTTGAGAGGAAGCCGACGAATATTGCCCCAGTTGTCGTCTGCCCAAAGAAGAGTGATGTCTTCTGGTACGACGAGGCCACGTTCTTGATAGGATTGGACCTCTTTGTACAGACACCAAAGAGATGGTACATCTGACACGTTGTCAATGCCCAATCCCTCCTCAATGATAGTACGTTGGTTATCCACAAGAGTCTCTAGCATCTTGACAATGGCTTCAATTCCCAGGTTCCCTTCGATGGCAGTGTCACCTGTGCCTCGCATAGCCATGGTGAACAAGCTATTCCGGGCATAGGGCTTGGCCCGCTCAACGCCGTAGCGGAAGTATTCATCAATGGTCTTGTTGTTGGTATTGTACTGCCACTCGCCCTTATAAAAGGTTCGGAACTCATTTTGAGCTCGCATCAGTGGCTCCGTGTGAGAACCGCCGAGGACAATCTCGTAGGCGTCAAAGGTGGGTTGGTTCAGCGGATCGTCGACGTAGACCATACTTCCCCAGAGAGCTGGCCAGATGTAGTTTGCCCGAAGTCTGAGCAGGAGCTCCGAGACGAGAGCGTAGAAATGGTGATTGTACGGAGCGGCATCATTCCAAGTCGCCTCCCATTGTGAGCTATCAAGCCCGTCAGCATTAAGTAAAGTCAACGTGATCTTTTTACTCACCCAACCCAGCTGGATAGTCCTGGCTGTTCATCATTCAAAAATATGCCGCGGTACTTGACTGAAGGTGAGCCCTGGACTTTCGGCCCTGGCAGAGCGTAGATATTGTCTCGTCGACGGACTGGGACATCAGCCCACCAGTACCACGGACTGACGCCGATTTGCTCGCTAATGTCGTATATGCCGTAGATGGTGCCTCTTGGGTCACTACCAACTACAACAAGTGCTCGTGCTGTGCCGTTCATGGGATCCTCGATCAGCTGGCTGACAAACGATTCCCATTTTCCTTCAATTTTGCTGACGTCAATTCTCCCGTCCTCAATGAGCTTGTCTATAGCTTCTGAGTGGCCAATGGTTCCGACGATGATGACTGTGTTGGCGGGATCAGGACTCTGATACTTTGGGCCTGAGAATGATTCCTCATCAAGCGTCCGATACTGATTCACAATGTTAGCTGAACATCCCCAAACGCTTTGTCAACACTCACGTGGGTGTTGTTTTTGGGATCCACTGGCTCAAATGTGTACTTTGCCGGAGAAGCGTCAGTGTCGCCGTTGCTGAGAGTGAAATTGGTTCCAGTAACGCGACCAAAATCCACGGCGAGGTCTCCCGCGGCTCGAATGACGCCCCAGTAATCATCCTTAGATACCCTAATCTGACCAGTCGTGATGCTTCCTCCAAAGATCTGGAAGGAATCATCTGAACTGTTGAAGGATATGATCGGCTCTTGTCCCAAAGCAACGACATTGGACGTCAAGCCGAAGAGGCTGACCAGCCATAGTGGGAGTATCTTCATGACGAACGTGCAATAAGGCCAGCAGCCCAGTGTTGCGGTGAGTTAGCGTTCCAGGTCTCCTGACGCTTTTTAGGGCCCATCGACAGTATTTGTAGTAGAACTTAGTTGCATGTCAACCATAACACAGTGGTGGTATGAGATGAGCCCATGCAAAGGATCATTTAAGCCTGATCACAAGGATCTAGGCCAAGATCAAAATTGCCGTGTGATGTCGTATCCAACCCCTCTCGACATGATCGTATTTAACCATAAAGCCCCGACTTCGATACTACTCTAGCCATAAAGCCATTGGCCTATCACGATTCTGACGTGTTGATCATCATGTTAAGAATTGCAAGCTTTCCAGGTTTCGGGACGATCGACATGAAATGCCGACGGGTGTCTGGATAAATAGCTTCCGTGTGGAGTCATTCTCGTGGCAGAAGACCTGAAACCGGGGTAGAGGGGTAGCGGGAGTGGGATGACGAAAGGGTTTACAAAAGAGATCGATCCTTGGCTTCACTCGTGACTCCGTTCTCTTTACCTCGAATTGTGATTGCGGGTGTGTTGTTGTGGGAAGAACGTATGAGCATTGCTATCATTCAACTCCAGATAGCTTGCTCGGGAGATAGAAGAGACGAGTACCCCATAGGCCAGGCAAGATATCTAATATTATTTTGCGATATGCTTCAAGGAAACCCAGATTGGTGTCATGGATGCAATGCGGGGATGGTTGCATCCGGTGAGCAGATGTTCTAATTTAGCCGCGAAGGCTCATGTCCAGGCCATCTACCAGCCGAGGCTACATTATGGACTATCCTTTCGCCCCAAAAATTACCACATGACAAGATGGGCTGGACGAGCTGGCTGTAACCAACAGAGACAAAGCCCAGAGTAAGAATATCACCATCTCTATCAGCAATAGCCGCGCAAAACCGGGAACAAAGGTAGCCAACCCAGGTCCCGTATTTCCGCCAGCAATACGCATGATCCCAAGCCAAAGCCCCGCAGACTATCGGTAAAGTATGCTTGTACTAATGGCCTGTGCCCTATATTTCGACTCATCTGCCTCTAGAGCAACCAGCACGAGGGCAGGGTCCACAGAACTTCCACAAGATTTGAGGGGGGTTAACTTTTTTCCTTATCTCTTCACCAACTCTTCACCGAAAGTCATGTGACAGTCTCATGTAAGAGCCAACCACAAAGTCAGATTCGACCACTTGTGAACCTCCGCACTTCAACAAATTATCTCAACACAGAATCATCACACCACCCAGATACAGCATCGAAATCAGCAAACATGTCAGCCCCTCTAGGTCTCGCAATCATAGGTACAAACTGGATCACAAATTCGTTTGTACAGTCATCCCATGAGAGCAAGAGGTTCCAGCTCAAGGCAGTCTACTCACGAAGCCTGGATACCGCCAACAAGTTTGTCTCAGAGACTCCCTCCATCAAGGATGCTGCCGCCATCAAACTGTACGACAACTTGGACACGATGCTCTCCGATTCGAACGTCGATGTCGTATATATCGCTTCTCCAAACTCACTTCATTATGAGCAAGGTTTGAAGGCACTTGGTGCTGGGAAGCATGTCATCATGGAGAAGCCCTTTGCCTCCAATGTCAAAGAACTCGAGGCCCTTTACCAACTCGCCGACTCCAAGGGGTTGTTCATTCTGGAGGCTTATCGACATATCCAAGAACCCAATTTCCAGAAGCTGCAAAGCCTGCTCAACGATGAAAAGACCCGAACCGAGAAGTTCGGACCGGTCTACGGTGCCAGTCTCAACATGGCCGTATACTCGTCACGTTACGCCAAGGTGTTGGACGGCGAGGAGCCAAACGTTCTTTCGCCCAAATTTAGCGGGGGCTGCCTGTGGGACATGGGTTGCTACGTTGTCATGTTCGCTCTGGCCCTCTTCGGAAAGCCTGCAAGCCAGACATACTACCCTGTTATCATTCGCACTGGTGTTGATGGTGGCGGCCCCATCATCCTCCAATATTCGTCTCAGTCTTCGCAGTACGAACGCGACTTTACGGTGCACGCTCACACCAGTAAGGTGTACACGTCGACAGCCCCTACCGAGATCTACTGCGAAAAGGGAACCATTAGGGTCAACGGCGGAACTGGCGTGACAGATATCAACACAGTGGAATTTGTTCCCCGCGGATCAAAGGAGGCCGAGCAGCTCGGTGACACGAACCCCGAGTATACTGGCTTCTTGAACTTGACCTGGGAGGCCAAGGAGATTGGACGAATTATTCAAGAAGGAGATAAGGAGGCCGAGAGTCGTCTGAGGCAGCTAACCATCAATGTTCTTACGGTCATGGAAGATATGAGGAGGGCCAACGGCATTGTGTTTGAGAGTGAAAAGTAGAACAATGACCAATTCGAAGGCGAGGTGTTTGGCCTACATTACTGATCTCGAGATGCCCTTTGATGCGTTAATATGCCGACATGGCCGCATCGATACCCCTCAGCTTGCTCAGGGTCCTTCAACCGTACAACGAGCGTTTTATCTTCCTCATCGCAGAGTGTCCCAGGAAACCTGCAGTAACACCTAAGATTGTGAAAGGAATTCAAATCAGGATAGATACCTGAGCTTAACATAGGAACCTATCTCAAGCTAATCGAGCAATAAACTTGTACCAAAACTTCAACTCTCTTGAGAAGGTTGGCCGAGCCAGGAAGCAAGACGAAGACAAGATAAGAAAAGGAAACAGACTCAACCCCAGAGTAGCAATTAAGCCACTCTTCATGGACGTCAAAGGGCGGTCCCGTCGTCCTAGTAGATGCCTAGACCTCAACCTTGACCTTTCCATCCTCGCTGACACCATCAGGAGTTTCAACCCCCAAGACAATATCACCGCCTTCAAAAGGTGTCTCCACGCCAAGGCCCTTGACAGGGAAGATGATGTTAAGCCCCCAAAACAATCCGAAACTCCAGAAAACGCCGACCAAGAATGTGAGGTTATATAGACGGATCCAACTCTGGTACTGTGATCCATCATATGCATTGACAGTACCCACCAATCCAGCTATTGTCTTGTTAGTGTCTAGATGATAAAATGCAGTGTGGCATGCAGAACTGACGAATAAAGGGCCACATGGCCATGATGAAAACTACCGGGGCACGCCAGTTCAATCCACCTTGATACCAGTAAATGGATGAAGAATCTCCAATGTAAAGATCATTCAGCTTGAGCTTCTGGCGCCGAACAACAAGGTAATCAGCAAGCATAATGCCTGTCGCCGGAGCCATAAAGATACCGAAACCACTCAGAACCTGAAGGAACTTTGTGCCAGTGGTCAAAAGTTGCCAGGGTCTACCGAAAGTTGTCAGCTGGGACATCCACCATGTCAAAGTTCTAATGCAACTCACTGAACAGCGATGCCAATGACAGCCATGATATATCCACCACGTCGAATGTTGATATACTTGGGCCAGAGACCAGCCATGTCCATTCCACAAGAGACGGAGTTGAGCACGACCGAGATCGAAAGCTGTGAGGCGACAAGGCCAAGGCTGGCGAAGAAAACGGCGGCTCTAACGCCAGAGCTGTTGTTATAGTAGTTCTGGATCTCGCCCAGAAGCATGATGGGACTCCAGACGATGTCCCCGCCCATGACATCACGGGCAGCGCTCGTGACAACAATTCCAATGATTGCCGTCACGGTGATGGTCAGAGGGGAAGCAACAAGTTGGGAGAGGATAGGAGCATTTGGCGTCCTGGCGTATCGAGTCCAGTCAGACTGCCCAAGAGTTCCAGCACCCCAGGCCCCAAGAATTGAGGTTATACCGAAGAGGAACGCCCAGCCAACATTTGGTGCGGTGCCGGGTTGGTGGAACATGCTGCCAGAGCCTCCAGCCTGGGACACAGCCCTGTAGGTGCAGTTAGCATATGGCTATGTACATGCGAACTGCGATTTATTTATGCTTACCAGATGAGCAGACCAGTGCAAGTACCACAAAACAAAACGAAACAGATGACGAATGGGATCTGCAGTTTCTCTGGCTTGACGAGGACGAATGGAACAAAGACAAACATCCAGATGATGAGGCCAATGAAGTCCTTGGTCTCCAGGTGTGAACTCTCGGCGAAGTAGTTCTTCATGTTGGCGAAAGCTTTTCGAATACGATGTTAGCTGGCATCCTTGGGTTCTGACACTTTAGGAGGTAACTTACCTGGGATAATGGCACCGATCAAGACTCTGGTAGCTTGTCCACCCCAGAAAGCTTGGATTCCGAACCAAATGCATGACACGAACACTCTCAGAACGACGGGGACTGTTGATTGCAACATGTTAGCATAAATTATGCGTGTTAAGATGGCCATTCCGTGATCCAACACTCACAATACGATCCTCTCATGCCCCAGCTGAAGCGGCTGGATACAGTGAAACCAATATGATGATGAGCTCCCATCCAGCCACAGGCGACAGCCAAAAGTCCGGTCAATACTGCACCAAGGATCTGGAATGCTTGTTAGAGAAACTTTCCCACATTGGTTCCACAAAACACCAGTGCGAGCTTAGAAAATCACTTACCACACAGCCGATGGCCTGCTGTGGGCTTAGGCCAAACTCCAGCAGGGTGCTGCCCGTCGTCCAGGCGGACACACAAGAGCCAGAGACGGTCCAGTAGCCTAGAATGTAAGTAAATTAATCCAAGGAGTTCCTCACAGGGTAAATCCCAACATACCGACATAGGACCACTGCCCATAGGTCTGACGCTCAGGGGGGATGGGAATCAAATCGCGATTACACCACTGTGTATTATCGTAGTTTGCCTCATCGTCTTTGGGGCTGCGAGGTTTTGGTTAGCCTCACTATAGAACCATCGAGTTTTGTCAATAGGGCTCTTACCACTCAAGCTTGCGCTTGTACTTTTCCCAGTCAATAGCCATGTTGACAACCTATGGACAAATGCGATGGGAATTTGAACTTGGTGTTTTCTTGGTTGGATTCCAGGTCACCCCCACAGTGCATGCATGAAACTGCGAGCAGTGCGTGCGTTTTGCTTCTGGGGATCGATCAATCATCTGCATTCTTATTTGTCTTGCATTCTCATGACTAAATGTGAAGGTTGTGATACAGCTCCAAGGGTCGGAAGCGGTAACACCATATCAGGTGGGCCGAATCCTTAGCGCAGGTGGTAGGCCGATCAATCTAGGCCGACGCCAGGCTGATAGGAGATTGTATCCTAGACTACCGCTGATAGCTAGCGATGACGCTTCAACCCTGACCCTGCTAAACAAGCACGCTTAGGCAAGGGTTGTAGATCGGAAACAAGGTCGACAAATCTTGAGCCGGAGACAGATCGATAAACACCCATCCCAGGACTCATAACTCGCTCTGGTTCGACATCCTTTATCGCCATATCATCTCATTCACAGCTCGACACAACGCCACGCACACCATCCGATACGAAGCAAGATGGATGCCAAGAACGCAACTTCCCTCCGCTACAAGCTGAACACCGGTGCCTCCATTCCGGCCATTGGTCTCGGTACCTGGCAGTCTGCCGAAGATGAGACTCGGGATGCTGTCAAGTACGCCCTGCAGAACGGGTACCGACACATTGATACCGCCTTCAACTACAAGAATGAAAAGGAAGTTGGAGATGGCATTCGCGCCTCTGGAACTCCTAGAGAGGACATTTGGGTGACGACAAAGCTGGACAATGACTGGCATCACCGTGCAAGCGAAGGTCTAGCATCGTCTCTGAAGGACTTGGGGCTTGACTACGTTGACCTATTCCTGGTTCACTTCCCCTGCTCTACGGACCCGACAGACAGTTCCAAGCACCTCACTGATTGGGACTACGTGAAGACATGGTGAAGCAGCTGAAGCGTTCTACAAGATCACAGCTAACCCGACGCAGGCAAGAGATGCAGAAGCTGCTGGACACTGGAAAGGTGAAAAACATTGGCGTGTCCAACTTCCAGATCCGCCATCTCGAGAAGCTTCTCAGCGACCCATCATGCAAGGTTGTCCCCGCAGTAAACCAGCTTGAGGTATGTCATCTACCCGGGAAGGACATGGGGACTCCAGATGATCTAACTGACCTGTCAACCTTAGTTGCACCCTTACAATCCTTCGTGAGGCTCCTTCTACCAGGCTTTGAAGATATTGTTTGCTAATTGACATGATGAATTAGGCCTAAGCTTGTGGAATACTGCAAATCCAAGGGCATACATTGCACTGCATACAGCTGTCTGGGTGGTAACTCGACCTCGCCCATCAACGGCCACACCGATCTTGTCAAGAATGGTACAGTGGCAAAGATCGCAGAGGCCAAGGAAAAGACACCTGCTCAGATCCTGTAAGATTTCCCGCGATAAACAATTGAGTCGAGCCCAGACTAACATCATTCTTAGCCTAAAATGGGGATTGCAGCGCGGCACAAGTGTCATTCCCAAGAGCGTGACATCTACGCGCATTGCTTCCAACTTTGACTTGGACGGATGGGCCCTGTCCGAAGACGAGATTGCAGAGCTTACTGGCATTAAGACGCGTTCCAAGGTTGTTGGGGACAGCTGGATGCCCATTAGGGTGTTTTTCGGTGACGATGAGTAGCAAGTCAGGGCCACCTTGTAAAGAATAGAGCAAATAGGAACAAAAGTTTCTGTCTTTGAATCCAAAAAGTGGTCAATTTATTTTATGTACTTTTGTTTTTATGTACTCATATGATGATATCAGCATCTGATCAATGGATGAGTTAATGTTGAACTCGTATTGCCACAATCACCTTATTTGCATCAGGCTTGTCAAAGGCTCTTGGCTACTGTATCCTTCATAGTTACCCTTATCGGCCAAAACTACCCTGTAATTGACTTTTCATTCACTGGAGCTTGGGGAAATTTGTCATCGATATTGGTTATGCTGGGCGCAACTCATGTACTGGTCGTGTAAAGACAAATATCTGCTCAAGCCCAGAACACATTTCACGTACCCAGCAGGCCCGCATAGTTGCAAGCGACACACAGAGATTATTCATTTGGATTAAAAATGACCTTCTGGACCTTCATCTTGTCGAAAATCTCATAAGCCTCCACAGCCTCCGTAAGAGGCATGATTTTCTCAAGCATGAAGCTATGGACAGCGCTGGTCAGTACAAGGAGCCTCCAGAGGCTGAGTATGGGTATACATACTTGAGCTTCTGGTGATTACGCGTCAGTACCTCGAGGGCTTCTTTGAAGACCGCACGAACTGGACATCGGCCCATCTGAATTCGGAGGTTCTTACTATGGGATGATTAACCACTGTGCGCTGAGGGCAAATACATCGGATGGAAGAACTTACTCATATGCCTCAGTTCCTGTCCATGGGATCTAGGTTATGGTCAGAACACTGATTAGGGCATAAATAGTAATCCTCATTCGGCTCTTACCTCTGCGTTGTGTACCCCAATGCTGCTGATGACACCCCAAGGGCGAATGATGTCGTATGCAGTTCTAAGCGCCTTGCTCAGACCAACAACCTCGATCACCGCGTCTGCCCCTCTTCCCTCCGAAGCACCCATGATCTTCTGCATCATAGTATCGTGGTCCTTGACATAGTTCAACGGCTCTGCGCCAAGGGCCTTTGCCAGCTCCAAGCGGCTGTCTACGCCATCAATAGCGAAAAGATGTTTCGGCTTATACTCCAGAGCGGAAACAATCGCACAGAGTCCAACTGGACCGCATCCAATAACGACAACAGTTGCGTCTGAGTGATCCATCCCATCCAGCATCCTGAATGCGTTCTTGGCGCCAAAGTATCCGGTTGGGAAGATGTCGGCCATGAGAACGAGCGTCTCTTGAGGGATACCAATAGGTGACTTGAGCACAGTTCCATCAGCGTAGGGGACACGGACGTATTGCGCCTGTCCGCCGTCCAGGAGAGGGCTGCCGAAGGGTAGAGATGATGCACATCGAGATGTCCAATCATTACGGCAGTAAAAGCAATTCATGCTGTGAGGTGCCCTAGTTCAGTAATAGAGATTAAACCTGGTATTGTGATTTCACCTACCAAGATGCCGTGAAGGGCACAACAACTTGATCACCAATCTGAACAGTCTTGACGTCCTCGCCGGTCTGCATTACAATGCCAGTGAATTCGTGACCCATGATAAACCCCGGATTGGAGGGTTCATGCCCACGATATACATGAAGCTCACTGCATCCTACATGTCAGAACCTAGTCAATGCCAAAAGGTATCTGGGCCATGATACATACGAGCCACACAGCGCTGTAGCTGTGACTTTGATGATGATATCGCGACTGTCTTGCACTTCCCAGCGAACACTGTTAGCAAGTGGAAATGTATGACTGTCAACTGGGCATGGGGCTCGCCCTTGCTTCATTTGCACTCACGTTTGGGCACTGGCCGATCCTGCACGGATACTTTGAAGGGGCCATCAAAGATGACGGCCTTCATGAGCTCAACGTTGGCCATTGCTTAGGATTGTCCAGAGGCGTATCGAGTTTGGGGTCCCAGGGTCTACAAATTTGGTGACTGGCACGAAATTACACAGCTGATAAGATACAACTTCGCACTCGACTGGGAGAGGACCGGATTATGCCGGAACAGGTCAACTAGACTAATGCAATCAAGATCACCATTGCAGTGCCACTGTGTCAGTTGGTGATGGCGGTTGTCTCAATGATTCTCAATAGCTTGTTGGATAGTCAGTTTCGCGAGAGACTGCATGTGAAGGTAGCTTCGAGCTAGGCCGTCTTCCATCGGCCAACCTACCTTATCCGAGTTGGTCGATCGAGGCGACATCGCCCAACTCAACGGGAATGATTACCCTGAAGGAATGGCAGAGCCGAACTGAGAGCCCCCCGACTCGCGTATCAGCCGGCCCTAGAACCCTGTTAGCCCCAGAATGGTTGAGATGGTCAGGGCACCCCCGCTACAGTGTCGGCACCCAGCTACCAATGCCTACTCCCTGCTCTGCCAACGCCCGTTACGAGTCACCCTCAACCATTGGCTTGGCTCTTGGCTGGGCATCATTGATGAACGGCATGTTACCCGATCGAAAGTCGGGGTATCGAGGCTTTGTTTCATGTCATTTGTTGTCGGCAGGAGGGTTTCGGTTATCTTGTTGGGCGGGTCTTGGCCAAACACTTTGGAACTATTGACTGGCTTGTCTTTGTATTGGTAACAGCATCTTGAGATGGTTAAACGATTCGGTCTTGATGAGATGCCGCCTGTAACTAATCACCATACCAAGATATCACGAGATGCCTATCATGGCAACACGCGGAGAGATTGTTTGTCATGTATCATGGCTGCTCCAAAAAAAGCTTTAGTATGATAACATTGATCATAGTGACCAGCGTATGCCGGTATTGTAAACTTAACTATTTCGTAAAACACTGTACCACCAGTTGGTCATGGCAATAAGATTGGGATAAGTGAGTCTCATCAGAATTGTACATCTGTGATTCGGAACTGAGACTGTATTCCTGCCTAGCAACTATCTGCTCATACTAACATGCGTACCATCAGTCATGTGATATCCAGCTTCGGGCCAGCTACATCCCTAGTACGTCGAGTTGAGCCGCATGTTGATATAGTCCATGGCGTTGACAGGCTCATACTTCTTCGGCCGATCGGGCCCCCAACATCCTGGCACACAATCGATCGTACGCTCGGCATCAGCGCACACAAAGTACGGGATGGAGTAGCGCTCCTTCGTCATGCGCACTTGGCTCTTGTCCTTGGGCTCCTCTGCCGCCGGCGCACGCACATGATGCATCGTAGACCTCAGCTCGTCATTGCTCCAGCGCATCAAGAAATCGCCAATGTTGACCACGATGGTTCCGGGGATGTAAGGTGCCTGGATGTATGTGCCCTTGTTGTGGATATCCTCTACTTCGAGGCCACCGACTTCGTCCTGGAACAGCATCGTCAGCGTGCCGAAGTCGGTGTGCGCTCCGATGCCATCCAGCTTGCCCGTGGCCATGAGCTCCTCCACAGCTGGCGGGTAGTGCAGCAGCCGGATCTGGTTGTTCTTCTCCTTATGGTAGTCGACAAAGAAGTTCTCCTCGAGACCCATTCCTACGGCGATGGCACGCAGTAGCTTCAGTTCCATGTCGTAGCACGTCTCATAGAACTTGATGAAGAACTCGCGAAAGCCCGGAATCACATCTTCCGCCGGCCAGATGTTGCGCAGAGTCGCAGTGTTGTCCTCATTTCCCATCTCATAAGACTCCTTGAAGTCGGGTTTCTTGCGCTCCTGTGCAATGCCAGCCTCATCGAACACCATCTGGGTGACCTTTTCACGACCAATTCCAGAGTAGCCGCGATGGTACCACCCTTCGGGCGGGTGGGGAACCTTTTCCTTCTCTTCTTGTGGCAGGTCAAAGAACTTCTTGCTCTGGTTGCTCAGTTAGCTTGTTGTTGTAACATGTGAGGATGCGCAGCATGTTAGCTTACCCATCCGAATGCCTCGTCTACTATCTCTTGCGGAACTGCATGGTTCTTGATGTATACAAAGCCGACGTGCTTGAAGGCATGGAATATCTCCTTGCCAGACTTTGCATACGTCTCATGTTGAGAGTCGTCGCTAAGCAGCGGCGCAAAGTCGATGACCGGGATAGCCATTGTCTGATCAGGGAGGGAGCCCATTGACAAAACTGGTGTTGAGTATGAAAGAGTTTGTGGTTAATAAGGAGCCTCAAGGGCAAATGTGAGACAGTCAATGACGATGCTGACAGTGATGGCGATGGCTTAGTGGCGCCGAGTTTGACACTAACTTGGGTCAGGAGCTGTTATTCCGTCGTTGGACTTGGTGCTATGTAGTGATGGTCAAAGTCGCACGCCATTGTCCTAAATACAATTGCCGTCGGGCGCCTCCGGCTGTTGCATTCGACAAGTCGTACTACGTGGACTCGGCCTGTCGCTCTGGAGCAGTGGATGATTGGCGATATGTTGTGCTGACCATGCCGCATGTCCAACTCTGTGCGATCAACCCCGCAATGCCGGTCTACCGTAACAAACCAAGAAGGTCCGTTGCTTACTGGTTAGTTATTCCGTCTGGTAACAATGTCTGCATAGTAGGCCGATGGATGCAACCCCGCAAAGAGCCAATGCGCTGGAACGCTTATCTGAGCCGAGCGTGAACCCGGCTCGCAAAGGAGGACCTAGTAGGCCGATGATGGCGTAAATGTCAAATCGGATCGCCTGGCGATGCAATTGATTGCCCGTTGACAGATAAGAATCTGGGGTAATGGAGAAGTTGGACCCTGTATCCGTAGCCTGCCCGAACTCGCGGTGGCTCAGACCGCATCGGCCTACTGTGCATAATCCGGAAGAGACGATCGGCCTACCGCACTTGACCGACATCAGATCAGTGGGGACTCAGAAGAGCGTCTCGTTGCATTGCTGCTCTGATTCACCAGAATGGCCTCGGGGACTTTGCACTACCTAACTTGTGGAATTCGGAGCAAAGAGACATCATGCTTCTGTCTTTCGCGTGTGCAAAGATGTCACGTCTTTGCACATAAATGAAGGCTGTGTATCCTGGGCGACTGGCATAAACCGGCAGTACATTGAACTTCGTGTCACCGAGCTTGATTGGGCCGCAAAGATGTCACCATCCCGAATTGAAGAGCAGACGGCCACCTATCGCATAGGTGTCGATGTAGGAGGTAAGATGAGGAATGGGTCCAAAGACTCTGAATCAGACCACTAACAGACATGTGCAGGTACAAACACCGATGCTGTTCTCGTGTCTCTCGACCCTGTGTCCATACTTGCCTCACACAAGGCTCCTACAACTGCCGACATCACGACTGGTATCACCAATGCCGTCCGCACCGTCATCGATGCCTCTGGCGTGTCTCTCTCTTCCATTGGGTGCGTCGTGATTGGCACAACACACTTCGTCAATGCCGTCGTCCAGAGGTCCGCGACGCTCCAACGTGTGAGCGTGGTGCGGCTATGCGGAGGACCCAACGAGGGCTTCGGTCGCGATCTGCCGCCATTCATCGACTTCCCCGCCGACTTACGAAACAAGATCGAGGCTCCGTCTTACTTCTGCCATGGCGGCTACCAAATATCTGGCGAGGAGATCAGCCCCCTCGACGAAGCTGAGATCGAACATGTCGCAGAGCTGTTGGTTGAGGCGGGAGAGACAAACATCGTCATCTCGGGCATGTACTCGCCGATGAATCACACACAAGAGTCGCACGCAGCAGAGATCCTGATGGAACGCATGACGGAGCTAAAGGGTGGAAAGCTGAAGCCTCGTATCACAATGTCGCACCAAGTGTCCCAGCTTGGCTTCCTTGCCCGAGAGAACGCTGCAATTCTCAATGCGACTCTACGGCCTCTGGCTGAACAGACAATTCGGGGCTTCCAGACGGCTATTCGAGACATTTTCAAGAACGAACCTTGTGTTCTATACCTCACCCAAAATGATGGTAGTGTCTTGAAAGCAGCAGACGCAATTGAGCTACCCATTCGCACTTTCAACTCCGGCCCAACCAACTCTATCCGTGGCGGAGAGTTCCTATGGCGCGCAGCCATGGAAAGTGAAGGCAATGGGAAGGCCAACCGCGAGGATGCCCTTGTTGTTGTCGACATTGGAGGAACCACCTCAGACAGTGGGCTGCTCCTTGCCAATGGCCTGCCGATGATGAGCTCCGTGACCAGTTTTGTTGGTGGTGTACGCACCAACTTTGCACTGCCTGCAGTTGAGAGCATTGGTCTTGGTGGTGGCAGCATTGTTCGAGACTTGGGCAACGGGGAGCTTACTGTTGGTCCTGACAGCGTCGCTCTCGAGCTTCTCACCAAGGCTAAGGTATTCGGTGGAGATTACCTTACCAGCTCAGACATTGCTGTGGCCTCCGATCCCCAGAAGAACCCATTCAAAGCCGTCGGCGGTGATATCGATCGCTTGTCAGGTGTCCCCAAGGAGCTGTTAGACAGGGCTCAGGTCATGATGCGGCAGAGCCTGGAACAGCTCATTGACAGAACCAAGATCCAGAAGGGAGCAGTTGATGTACTGATCGTGGGAGGCGGTGCGCTTATTGTCGATACCAAGCAGGAGTGGAATGGCGTGCGAGCGATCCGCACCGTCCAGGGCGGTGAGGTTGCCAACGCTGTTGGAGCTGCTATCTCAAGGGTATCCGCCGTTGTCGACACAGTTGTTGACACAACCCACCAAACTGTGAAGCAGGCCCAAGAGAAGGTTCGAGCTTTGGCGATTGAGAAGACGATGAGCCAAGGCGCGAAGAAGGAGACGGTGGATGTAGCCGAGTTCACCATTCTCCCTATTCAGTACGCGGACGGCAAAGCTCGCATCATTGCTCGAGCGATAGGCGAGTTGGATGTGGTTGTCGCAACATCGGCAACAAATGAGACGATTGACGACTTTGAAGAAGATCTGGAAACGAGCACGCAAGCAACCAAGACGACGACAACACGAAACGGAAAAGAAGTGGCGATCGAAGAACCTGTCGATGTACAAACATACAGCCCAACGATCAAGGGTCGGGAATGGATCATTTCAGCTACTGATCTGGAGTTCATCGCTGCTGGCTGCAAAGTCCTCGGATGTGGTGGCGGCGGTGATCCATATCAGGAGTACCTCAAGGCCAAGTCGATCCTGGCGAGCGCTCCTGGCTCTGTTCGAGTTGTCTCTCCATCAGACCTTCCCGAAGATAGTCTCGTGGGCTGGACTGCCTGCATCGGCAGCCCCGAGGTTAGCATGGAACGACTAGAGAACAACGAATGCCTACAGGCGCATGAAGAGCTGATCCGAGCCACTGGCAGCCCAGAGGTGTCTGGATTTCTGGCAGCTGAGATCGGAGGTGGCAATGGTGTTGTCAACCTCGGCGTCTCGGCTCAGAAGGGCGTGCCGTGCTTGGACGCCGACCTGATGGGCCGGGCTTATCCTACGATGTGGCAATTGACATTCAACGTATACGGCTCGTCCAAGGGAGATGCGCTAGTGCCAACAACCATCGCCAGCGGCGACGGGACGGTGGTGACCATGACCGAGACGCGCACCGACAAGATGGTTGACAAGACGTTACGCGCCGCGTGTGTCGTGATGGGATGCCGTGCTGGTAATGCTGGTCCCCCAAAAACGGCCAAACTGGTTCAGGAGCAGGCTGTGTCCAACACAGTGTCGCTGGCATGGTGGATCGGTTATGCCGTGGCTACGCAGAAGAGCATCGAGGACAAGATGCGGTCCATAATTGATGCAGTTGGCGGTCCTGCGAGCGCGTGCGTTCTAGCAGAGGGTAAAATTACCAGCGTCGAGCGCGTTCTCAAGACCGGTCACACGTACGGCGTGCTCGAAGTGGACGGAGCGTTGAGTGATGGTACCAAGGCTGTCATCAAAGTTCCCTTCAAGAACGAAAATGCCTACGTTGAGGCCGTTTTGGCGGACGGTAGCACGTCCATTCTCGCAGCCGTGCCAGACCTGATAGCTGTCATTGACTCGGAGACGGGCATTGGCTTGGGTACGCCCGAGTACAAGTACGGGCTACGCGTCATAATTCTTGCCATGGCAGCATCGCCCAGATGGACTGACTCAGAGCGAGGGATGGAACTGGGAGGACCCGGGTCCATGGGATTTGAACGAATTGAGTACAAGCCCATAGGGCAGTACAAGCAGCCGCGCAGCGTGATTGACGCGTTCGCGAGGTGAAGTAGGTAGCTCATAGAAGAATAATTCAGGTACAAATTAGGACCATTTTCCCTCTAATTAATCCCCGGGCGCCATCTCTCGTGCCGTGTCAGGAAAGTTGGTACGGAGACCAGGGGGCTGAACCAATGGGGAGGGTGTTGTTATGTGTTATTGAGAGTGAGAGGGAGGGAGATGGTGTTTTCATTCTCGCAGGCGCGAAGGCCCACTAAGCCGATCCCATTACGTGACCTTGTAGCCTTTCTATCACGTGACGCCTTTCCCGCCCATCAAAAGTCAAATTAATGCTAGGGTAATGTGCCTTCACGGGCAGGGAGTTTGTATATTGGGAGAGCTTATGTGTAAGTTAAAAAAGTCTTTCATCATATGTGGTTTTATTATTAAATTGTATAGTCGTGGTCGACAAAGTTATGGGTGGCGCTTCAAATGATTCCCAGAACCATAGGGTAGCCTGTAGGATGGATTCCAAGGTGTAATGACACATCATAGTTCGCGTTCAAAACCGTAGAAGGCAATCAATCCATCGATGTGAAACACAGTTGTAGAGTATTTAACTGGACCGCTCACGGTTGGTTACGTTTGTCTGTCTGCCTCTGTGATCAAATACTCAGCTGGTAACCATTGCGAATATTGCGATTCCGTATTCATTTCGACGACATGGTGTTGAGTGTTCTTGACTCCAGCGTTTATCAAGCACGACAACCAATTAAAATCAGCTGCCTTATCGGAGGTACCCACTCACCATGCGATTGACGAATCGCGGACTGGCAAGATTGCTCTATTCCGTTAACGGCTAGACTGCTGAGATCCCCGCATTGAAGTGGAATCCTTATCTTCGCTCCAATTAACACCTTTGCCGCTGCGCTGGACCCCGCCCCTTTCCCTTTCCGGGGCTCCCCACCCGTGTGCACGTTACCCCGTACCCGTATCAAACCCAACCCAAGTCCAACGTCGCCAACGCGAACAGATACAGACAGACAGGGTCCTGGAAGCAGAGGCACCGCCTTTGACTTCGTGTGCTATCTCACCCTCACGAAATACATCTTCGTCTCGCGTCACAGACAACAGAGATATAGCCTCCTCGACCACCAGACGAGTGCTCTCGATGGCGTCTCCATCATCCGCAGATGTCGAACCGTCTGCCTGGCGTGGACCAGCCTTCAGGGTACGGTCCGAATTCGGAGGATCGAGGACATGGAGGAGTAGGAAGAGTAGACCCTGCGACGCTTGTCGAGGACGAAAGACGGCTTGCATCATAGAAACTGCCCCACCATGTGAGTGAGGATCGCGCCACAGATGCCATATCGGTTATCAATCTCATCGAATCTTACACTAATTCGATCTAGGTCTCTTCTGCAAGTCGAGGAATCTTCCTTGTGAATCCAGCTCAAGACTTCCGCCCCGTCGGAGACGCAGGCGTGAGTCTCATGACCAGGAAAAGCTCATCTCGCTCAACGCGACTGAGATAGTCGAGATGAGCTCCCATAGTGGCCATTCGTCCGAGGATGGAGAGCCGCTTACGACCCTTGGTGACTTGGTTGATGAAGCACCGAACACGGTGGAGACGGTACAGCCTCAGAGGCGGAGCGGTGCTTCGTCTCCGCCCGCACCAGTTTACACCAGCCCGCCAATGCCAATCCCATCAATATCTCCTGGCTCCTTCTCTATCCACCACGAGAGCGAACACCTCGAACTTCTCCCTCAGTCATGCTCACCTTCCGCGTCCATCGCTGTTCGTAGCGTGAGCAGCACAGGGACGCCACGACTGTCATGGTTGGAGGGCGAACAGCGCACAGCTCACTCTATTGGTCTCTCAGGCGAGCAAGACACCAACCTGCTGGCTTCCTTACGCTCGATTATTGTCAATGAACACAACGGGGTAGATAACGGCGTCATCCAGGTGTTTCCGGGCGACCCGGGATGCGGCGAGCCACCAATTCATTTTAACATGGTTCTCGATGCTCTTCCCGAACCAGATCGAGCTGCTAGACGAGACGTATCAGATTCTATCGAAGAGCTGGTGGGAGAACACGGTCCGCGCCTAGTATCACTCTTCTTCAAATACGTTCATCCGATGACCTACGTGGTGTCCAAGAGCCGCTTCCTTCGCGCATACTATAGCGATGCCATATCCGTGCCAGCATCTCTACGGGGTGTCATATACGCCCTAGGCGCAAATTCGTGGAAGCGTGACCCTCAATGCGCCAGCCTATCGCCGCCGAGCTCATACACTCTGTTCCAGAGGGCACATTGGGCACTTCACACCGAGACGCACGCACCCAACAAATGGACGCTCCAGGCAGCACTTCTCCTGATTCATGAGCGACCAGGAGACAATTTCACCATGGAGACGCCGAGGACGTGGATAGTGGCTTCGAAAGCGACAGCTATAGCACAGATGCTGGGGCTTCATCGCGACCCTAGGCTTTGGAAGATTGCGCCCCTGGAGAAGAGTGTGAGACGAAAGCTATGGTGGGCGGCATACATGGCCGACGTGTGGGCTTCTCTTTACCACGGAAACCCTCCTCACATAGCCAAGGACTCATTCACGACATCGCCAATACAGATCGAAGAAGTTCTCCTGGATGAGGACGTTAATGGCGATTCTCTAAACTTTCTCGAGTCCTCGTTTGTCTCGAGTGATGTCACAGCGAGTGCTCGATTTGTGGAATCCGTCAAACTCAGTCGAATTCTACGAGAGTTGCTCGATTCATTCTAGTACGTATAGCCTGTCCCTCCCTTTTGGCTTCATTCCCTAACAAGATATTTCTCAGCTCTGATCAGGCATACAAAACGACCATCACAGACACAAAGACGAGGGAATCAAAGCTGTTTGACATTGAGAAACAGCTTGAGAGCTGGATGCTGCTACGTGCCAGCTGCGTTGGCATCATGCAGTCGGATGATCCACAAGATTATACCACAAATGGTAAACTCAACCAACCTGAGTGTATCATGATTGTTTCTTAGACGTTGTCTGACTTGCTGCTACAGCCCCTCTGCATCTAAGTTACTATGCCGTCAAGACACTACATCTTCGTGCTCTTATGTGGCCAAGTCACATGGCTGCAAAGACTGACCCGAAATCAGCGCTGCGGCGATACTACGATAAAGCCCTACGAGAATTCAGCCCATTCGTCGATTTTCTTGATAGAATCGATTCGCGTTCATTGAACTCGTTTTGGGGAGATCGTGAGTACCCGCCAGTTGCGTCTTGCGCTTCTGCCTTGACATCATGTCGATGCGCTAACATGCATTTCTCTAGATGCGCGATCCCAACTTGTCCTATGCGGTAACTTCTTGGTTTTTCTGTTTCTCATGGCCCCTACATCAGACAAGGTCCAAGAGACATTCCGACTACTCGAAGGGGTTCATTCAGCGTTGAAGCGATGTCGAGATATGGCAGAGAACGAAGAGGCCGTGGCCTTGCTCCGGCCTGTACTATTGCGTGTGGAAACCCTTTTCACACAAGCTGCGCGAATAATGGACACAAGAGACGAAGTGCCAATATGAATAAGTAGTTGACCTGGTGCTAGCTAGGCCTTACGCAGAACACGATTAAAGGAGGACAGGCGAGTTTCATGTGTGCTCCGACGCCCTCGAGGTGAACAGCTTCTTGGACCCGTATACCCGCTTTGGGCTTGAGACCTCGCCAGATGGCCTAGACTTTGAACAGTTATCGTGGCCATCTCACTCAAAAGCGTCCGGGAAGCAATGTACGCATCAGTGCCTGATGAATTAATGGCGAACCCAACATCGTATTCTGGAACGAGGGCAATGTAGGCTGGTAAATACCACCGTCTCCCGATTTGGTGTAAACATCGAAGATACTCATGACTGCGGCACAGTGGTTCATTACGCGGTGACGTCCCTTTGCCCACAGATTTGGTACAGTAAATGAGGTTTGGCTTTACAGCCAACGCTCAGCGAGCGGGTGTCGGGCCAGCCCCAGCACCGAACCCCGCCTACATACCTTGGAGCAGATCGGCGCGAATGGATAGCGTTTCGGAGATGACCCATTCTTTTCGGGGAGGACCCATTCTTTTCGGCCATTCCTTTCGGTGATGTGACCCACATTGACGCATTATCTCCGACATGATCGTCCAAGCAGTTTCCCCTTGCACTTACAGTGCAGTACCTCCCTCGGGCGCCCTCCTCTCTCTGCAAAGCTCGGCATGATTGCTGACCTAGACGAGGGCTATAAAAGGAGAATAGTTCGCAAGGACATGGTATAAAGCAAACGAGGCAGACCGTCCATAAGAAGCCGATCGACAAACGCCATCCATCTGCAGTCATATCATCCAAGATTTTAATTCCTCTATGCCAGGCCACGGTCGATACACCACCGAAAAGGTGACTTATCCATCCCACGGCGAGACCGTCGCTGGAATCCTTTATCGTCCTACCAATGTCTCCAACCCGCCTGGAGTGGTCGTCATCGGACCCTATTCCTTCATTAAGGAGCAGGCGCCTTTGCAGTATGCGACTCGGCTTGCCGACGAGGGCTATGCAGCCTTGATTTTCGATCCGCGTACTGTTGGGGAAAGTTCTGGCCAGCCACGGCGACTAGAGAATCCCAAAATGAAGAACGAGGACGCCGTTGCCGGACTTGACTATCTTGTGAGCCGAGACGACGTGGATAAGTCAAGACTCTTCCTGGTAGGCATCTGTCAAGGAGGCCCAGAATCTCTCGATATTGCCTCGTACGATGACCGCGTTGTTGGAGTGGCGTCGGTCTCTGGGTACTTCCGCGACCACGAGACCGATATCTACATGATTTGCGCCGGGTGCGTTGCCTGGGAACCGGGGGCGGATATTGGTGCCATGAAGATGCCAACCCCGGAGCAAGGGGAAGCACTTTACAACTCACGGATCGAACGAGCCAAGAAAGCTCGTGAGTTGTATGAGAAGACCGGAGAGGTGGTGTACCAGCCATTGGTTGACCCAAAGGCTGCTGATCCCTCGACTGGGTCACTTGCTGGCCTCCCGGGACCGGTTGTCTGGTCATGGTACGGTCCTTGGACACTCAAGAACTTTGAGAATCGATATGCCGTCATGAGCGACCTGGATCACTTTGGCTACACGACTGTTCCTGGGGTTGCCAAGCTTAAGAAGCCAGCCCTGATCATACACGGAGACAACTGCATGAACGCTCCCGCAGCGAGACGCCATTTCGAATCTATCCCGACAACGAACAAGAAGCTTATCTGGAACAATGACGTGTCGCACTTTCAACACTACGACCAGCCGGATTGCGTCGACCGTAATGTCGGGGAAATCGCAGCCTGGTTCGCTAACTGTAAATGAGATCTGTCTTGTGTTCTCGTAGCAGATAGAATGAAAGTCTAATTTTTACGCTTGCATCTGATCTACATGGAAAAGATCTACCGACGTTGAGCCTCGTGTTTCTTGGATTCATCCCATTCTGGGGCAGGCTCTGCTTGATCGGAATGGCAAATATTCTCTTTGCTCTCCCCTGTATCTTGAACCAATGCTGGGCTTGATGTGCGTCATTTCGAGTCCCAGCTAGCCGCCATCGATGCATTTATCAGCTGATGGCTGAAGGCCTTGTCCCTTCTTTGTTCCAATTCAGTTCTTCTGGAGCCCCTTTGCTCACGAGCTGAGGACCCTTTGATCTGGGCCAGCCTTGGGGCTCTTCTTTCTGAGGTAGTCATAATTCCTATAAATGAATTAGTTACCCTTATTATTCTCTGTTGCATTAAACCCATTGAAAAGAGGGCTAAATCGCCTCTATGAATCCTATATAAGGAAGAGAAAAGAATTTTCTTTTAGCTAAGAGTAGGTATATTCTGTTTTTCTAAGATATTACCTGCCTATACAAACAGATTCTTCTTTATAATAAATCTAAACATAGGGGAAGGAAGGGCTATAGTTAGCCAAATTCTGCCACTCACCGCCTTCCTCTCATCGGCAGTGAACCTTAATGCGGGGTTAAATAACGTCACACAGACAAACGCTGCGTAGCCTTCCCTCTTTAGAACCCACGGCCTTGTAACTTAACTGAGTAACAGGAAACAACGTCCTAATCTACAGGCCTCAGCGACTGAAGCAAATGCTACTAAACTCCGCTATAATTTTCGTCTAAGCACATGGCCTAACAAGCATTGCTCCTGGTCCTGGCTCTGTTGAAACCATTCACAGACCACGCCAACCTCGGGCAATTGGCCGCAGATACCATGTTGTCCAACCACTCTTCCGAATTTGGCGGACTGGTCGAAAACCAGCCCAGGCGCAAGAGGCCTGTGGTGTCGTGCAATGAGTGCCATAGACGAAAGCAAAAGGTGAGTAGTCTTCTCATTTCAGCTATCGTCTCCCGTGCTGACTTTGTTCTACAGTGTGATCGTCTCCAACCATGCGCCAACTGCACCAAGAGAGATAAGATGGTAAGCTCGCCTGCTTTTATACGACATTGAGAATTGACATTTGCCGACAGCACCTCTGTGTCTATACACATGTTCAGGAAGAGCCATTTCTTGACTCAGGAGGAGTTCAGGACCTTGGCAGGGCCTCCAACTTCTCCTCCTGGGCTATTGACAGTCAATCGGATCAGCCACAACTAAGGACCTCATCCGACAGTCATCAGCAAAGTGTCTCTAATTATCTCGGCTACTCGGGGAACCACACTACTGGGACTTTGGCTCTTATGAGAATGGCAGGGATGCCGGAGCACATTCCTGCTCTCTCTCACCAGGAGACAACCAATCAGAACAGTGTCATGGCCACCCGATACAAGAGCCTTATCCGCCAATTACCACCACAGAGGCATATTGAAGTGCTGTTGCGATTCTTCTTCTCCGAGGTAGCATGGTACTACGACATCATAGATCAAGCTTCAATCACAGAGCAGCTTAGCTCTTGGAACCAAGTCCCATACTCAACGATCAGCCAGGGTCCTTTCAGTCTGCCGCCTGATGCCCGCACTTTTCCCGCACTTCTCTTTCAGCTTCTAGCACATGCACTGCTATTCCTGCCCGCCAAAGATGCCCATGTTCTCAACCAGCTCAAATACGTCCCGGACATGGCATATGCGGACCTAGCAATCGAGTATAGCGATGCCGGAAGTGCCATTGCGTCAATGCTCGGGAATAGAAACACGACCTTGGCAAAAGTACAGGCAGGCCTATTGAGAGCATCGTTTCAAAAGAGCACAGGGCTCGTAGCGGAAGCCTGGCACACTCTCGGGGGCACGATTCGAGATGCGCAGGAAATTGGGCTGCATTGCGTGGGCTCAGTCTCGCTTGATGATGCGTTGGACCGAAGTGACGCTATCAGCCCATCAAATTGCTTGCGAGATGTTGGGATGCGAACAAAACTCTGGCTGATGCTACACCTGTGGGACGGCCATATGGGCGTCGTCCTTGGAAGGCCAATGTCCACCAAAGTGGACTTCAACAGCTTGATGTCATTATTTGAGGATATAGAAGGAAGGGAGGAGTTGACCCAAGGGCACGAAGGTGGCGAGAGCCAACGGCTAACGCCGTTTTCTTTTATCTTATGTGGCTACCGAACTGCGTATAGGTACCTGCAAGACATTCACGAACTGGAATCCTCTGGTAGTTCAAGCCAAGACAAGCAGCAAACAATCGAACGAATACATGCCGCCATTACTGACAACATGCGCTGCCTACCAGAATGGGCTCGGGCCAAAAACAACAGCAACGAATACTGTCACCACCCTTGGCTTCCGGCCGCCCGCGAGACCCTACTTACCGAGGTTCACTTTACCCTGCTCGCACTGCATAGGCCCTTTATCTTCTCCATTGCCAGTAGCAGAGACAAAGCACACAAAGCGGCGCTCCAGATCCTAGCGTCGCAGGACCGGCTTTTCAGCATGACAGAGCCACGAGAATACCTGCCCTTCAATCTGGTCTTTGCAACGTTTGACGCCATGGTCCTAATTGCCACAATCTACATCCTGTTTCCAAACGAGAACTTGGAGCAGCTCGATGCTTCTCTTCGCAGCATTGAGTGGGGTCTAAGGAGACTGGACGCTATGAAGACATGTAACAAGATGGCTGACTTGGCATTTGACGTCGTTCAAGCGCTCTATACGAAGCTTGTGGATCACCTCCACTCGGGAGGCCGGCTACACCTCCAAGTTGACCCGGACGGGAGCTCGGTACAGCAAAGTGCTAGTATCACGCCCGAATTGTTCCTTGGGGCGTCATCTGGGGAGCTGGCGGCATCGCAATTCGGAGTCTTGCCGCAAAATCTCGCGGCTGTTCCACCACCACAGCCTTTGCATGATTTGGTCCTCCAGACTTTCTCAGGCAGTGGCGAACTCTCTGTTGAGCAACTGTCGAGGCAGCCACCGCAGAACTTGCTGGATGATGATGAATTCTGGCGGCTGATCGGCTATATTCCTGACTGAGGGTCTGATGCCGGTGCCACCTGCGGTAAATACGTATCTAAACCGACAGTTTTCATAGGTGATAGGCTTAAGATTAAATATACGGCTCATGATCCCACTCTTCCAATCTCTTTGTGTAACAAATCCACACCTTTTCCGGGTGCTGCTGTGCCTTAAGCCACATGTCCCGAAGACTCACTCCCTCCCAGCGAGCAGCATAGAACCATGAGTTGACCGACCACTTGGCCACCTTAACGCGGCCTTGGTACTTCTCCCCGTTGAAGACCGTTTCTTCTTCCGAACTGTCCCAGTCTGCATCATATGCCCAAACCCAGCAAGGATCAAAAAAGTCACCTTCCTCACGGCTGCGATTGCCGAAAATGAATTCCATAGGAATGACAATAAAGGTATTCCGTAGAAGTCCAGGAGATAAGAGATCGTCATTCTCCTTCTTGTTCTTCTTGTACTTCTTCTTGTTCTTCTTCTTCTTTTCATCCTCTTGGGTCTGAGATCGATTCTCCTTAATGTATTCTTTGAAGTGTCTATGAAGTAATTAGTATGTTTATAATTCTCAGTGCGGCTATATTTGAACTTACTTTCGGAGGTCATCGTCTTCAGCCATGGTCTCATTAGGATAAAAAATAGGCCAATTCTCAGTTTCAAGCCGTTCCAAGGCACTCCGGTTGTCTCCGCCTTGACAATGGATAGAGCCCCAGGTTACCCGCAGTGGCGAACTGATATTCATAAGTCGATTCCAAGTTGACTTCCAGTTACGGACATACTTCTGATCGACTTCCCTGGATAGGTAGTATATAAAACCCCACTGTTCTTGAGTATCAAGGATCTTCTGCATCCAAGCTGGCGGCGCAGGGGATACCTGTTTCCAGATTCTTTCTGGGATTTTGTCGTAAAAATATTGTTTCAAGAACCTTTCCGTGTGCTCCTTGTCTTCAGAATGTTCCAAGAGTCTTTGATAGAATTCCTCGTCTTCCGGAGCCAGCTGTACTTGTTCGTCTGCTGAAAGACGTTCGACAGCAGGAATCATCCATTTGGCATTTCTCCGAGCCTGATTAAGGTCATCGCAACGCACAAGCTCTCTAGCTCTGGCGGCAGGGGTTTGGAGCTCTTCTTCTTGAAGGCGTGCTTCGTAAATCTCCTGTAACGTAGCGCTACCTCCATCGACATAGTAAATGTCGCAGTAGACTAACTTCCAGGCATCCAAACAGAAGTGTTTGGCAGATTGATCGAAGTGTCGAATTTGATAAACCAGGCTTGAACTACTATCTGCGGCGTTGTTGGTAATGCGTTTTACCATCCTGGCCTCGTCACGAGAGTAGATGGTTCGGCCAAGCAGGGTATACTGCAACTGTGTATCTTTTGTAATCTCGGAAGGATCAGTCAAGGCCACTTGAACGAGGTCCCGGCCTGCAATGGATTTTTCTAGTCTCTGAGCATCATTCTCCCTTTCGATGATTGCCCTGACCCTGTCGAGTTCTGATCGAGGAAGATGTCCCATGCGTTCGCGGCGCTCCCATGGGGGAAGGTGCAATATGCTCCTATAAAGCTCGAGGTTTGGGTCCATTCTGGCGGTGAACAAGTCGGTCGGTCGTGTTGTGTTGTGTTGTGTGAGTGAGTGAGTGAGTGAGTTGGGCGGGAAATGCGAGGGGGTGAGTGGCACCTTTTATTTTATTTCATTCGCAAACAACCCCACCATGCCATGGCTACATGGATGTGGATCAATGGGCCTACTGTACTTAAATAGGAAGCTCTGACCAGAACGAAATTGCATTGCTCCTTTGTCCTTACACCTTTGTGAACTCTAAGCTACAGTACTAACTATGCTTGAAAGGCAGGCGCAGCTGGTGACTATGTACTCCGCTAAGATTCTAAACTAGGTAGGTTTACTGAAAAACGACTTCCGGGTTGAATTCATCAACGTCATAAGCGTGTTTAAGTTGATGCTCTATGGCCTTTTCCCTAATGTTTGATGCTCCCTTCTGGTAGGAGAAAGCCTTTTTAACGGCTTCAGCCTTCCTGATCTTCACCATCTCATCAGCACGATATTGCAACCATCTTTTGGTCCAGCCTTTCATCTCCTTAGTTAAACTCCTCATGAATGTGGTCCATAATTCGGAGAGATCCAAAACTGGCGTTTTGGGATATTGCTTTCGGTAAAGGGCTCTGTCGAGTGATGGGATGTGGTAGAAGAGGAAACCTGAGCCCCTCGTGCCATCTTTTTCATCTTTTGCATGTTTTTCTTCTGCATCTACATTAAAGATGAAGTTCCAGGCTGCTTTCAAAGTCGAGGTATCGTTTCTACTCCCACAGCTTCCCCGCGATATAGGCGCCAGTAAGGTACGGCCATATAGGGGTGAAGTACTTAGTCACCAGCCTCCGTATCTCCCTGGTCGCGCGGAAGTCTTTTGGAAGTTCCATAAGTCTTTGGCCTATGAGTACAGTGGCCATTGCGGGAGTTATCTTATGAAGGCTTTGACGCTTAGCCAAATCAGACAACTGCTCACTAACATTCAAGGTGATGTTATCCAGAGAGCGCGATGAGAGCTTGTTCTCGTCGAGGCCAGTCAGCTGGGAACATGTCGGATTCTTGACTCATTCTTTGAGCAAGTCTTCAACGTCGTCATAGATGTTAGTGTAATCGTAGGACGCTCCAACGTCGCCACAGTAGGCCGAAGTGCCCTTCCCACGCCAGTTGTTCTTCGTGTTCAAGGCCGCCTTGATATTGCCAGATGGACAGTCACTACTACACTGCCCCTCCGAGGTAATATCGGTGAGACCGAGGTTGAGATCTTCCGACTAACCCTAGTTCGTAAAGTGCGGCTCGGTCGCTTCTCCGATGTTTTCGCAAAGGGGCCTCGTTCCTTTCTTCCCACTATCATAGCAGACTTGGGCGCTACTACAACTCCATGAACACATTACCACCAAGAGAAACACTGCTGTTGAATGTTGTCACAGCACGAGACTTATAGCCTGTAGCAATCTGCAGTTGCTTTGAGAACTTGCCCTCAGAAGTATCCTGGCTGATGGCCTAGACCATAGCGCCACCAAGACACTGGCTGCGAGCAAAGTCCAGCTTGAGCTTCTAGGTATCGACATCGTCGTAGGTCAGCTATGTATGGCCAAATTTGAGAATCTTGCTGGCAGCAGTCTTGTCTAGCTCGCCTTGACTCTTGCGAACCAACTTGCCCATGATCTCAGGGTTGGACATGACACCAACAGCGTTGGTGTAGGGCTCTGCAGAGCCGCCGGCATCAAACAGACAGCCAGGAGACATGCAGCCAGGGTTGGAGATAGAAAAAGTATATGCATAGAATGCGAGTCCTATGTTGACTTGATTAGGATCGATCTTATTCCGCCAGAGTAGATCAAAAGCGTCCTTTATCTTAGTTAAATTGGTGTGAGAGTTGAGATGGTTACCGGGCCATGACTTAGGAGTTTTCTAAGAACCTGCGAAGAGATAGTCAGTAATGGCACTTCTCTGCAATATAGATCTAAAGCTTACCGTGGAAATTATATATTATGAAATTGAAGTAGTCAATATACTTAGATATCTTTTCGAGATTAAAGTGCTAAAGGAACTAATAAGAAGCAGGGATAGCGATATTAAGGCCCTTTCTCTCACCGCTTTGCTTTAATGCGCTCTTAATGTTTCTTAAGAACTTAGGAAGATTGTTATAATCCTCTTCTCGTCCTCTATGATTATTATTAACTAGATACTCCTAGTTAATGTCGATACCGTTAAAGCCATAAGTGGCTATGAATAATATGAGAGACTTAATGAAAGTCCTCTGGTTGGCCTCGGACCGAGCAATGCCAGAGAAGGTTATGATGGTGGGGCCGGGGTTATTAAAGGCCTAGCCGCCAATGGCGATAAAGACCTTTAAATTAGGATTAATCTCTTTCTTGCGTATTAACTCGCGGTAAAGCGCCGGGTCGTTGCTAGATATTAGAATGATTTGAAAGGTCTTTGGATTAATACTTGCGAAAGCAAAATTGATATGGGTATAGATGCTATCTGGGATATTTGAGGGCCTGAACTTATCATAGGGCCTAGTAGAAGCCTATCCTTCGATATAGCCCACTACTCGTCTTATTGGGCTACTCTTGGAGGAGCAAGATAGACGGTTCATAGTCTTCTTGCCGCAGAAATCCTTAGTCGTCCCATAGTAGCTATACTTGTTAGTCTAGGGAGAGAGGTTTACGCGGCTATGAATGCTTACCTATACTTAGAATAATAGACGTTGAGTGGGCACTTGGTATAGTTGGCGAAGCTAGACCTAAAGCCACTAGGATCATACTCGGCCTTTGCGTCGCACCCAGCAACATAGTTATCCTTGCTGCAAACTGCCAAAAGTCAATATCTTAACTATATTGTAACACTAAATGCAACTTATAGTCTAGTCCTAGTCCACAGTGGCCATACTTGGAATAGCATGCATTACCCTTGCACGGGTTGTTCTTATCGCATTTGAGCTTAAAATCGCAAGTACTCTGATATCTTTTGCCATAATGATCTATAGTAGTACCATAGTAACCTGCACTGCTGCAACAACTAGCTGCACATAGCTTGGTCTTGCTGCACTTAGCTGCATATATAGCGACAGAGAGAAGTTAAATAATAAGAAACAGTAATAAGAAAGACCAGAAACGGCCCTTGGCGAATGACATGTTCATCAAAGAGATAGTTAGGCTGACCGTGCAATAGAGAGTGTGGGTGGAAACAAGAGAGAAAGGATGGATGGGAAGTTGAGAAAACGTCTTGGAGGACTTGGAGGACCGAAAGAGGGTACGTACTTTACTTTGTTCACATGGAAATCATCGACGGAGTTGTCCCATGTTCCGAAATTTTAACTCTTAGGCAGCTCGGCAACATGGCCCACCTTGTTGTCACATCATTATATCTCGCTTGACGTTCCGACTCGATAAGGGCACTCTTTGCCAAGACCCGGGCCGTTTGTGGACGCTTAATTGTATAATTGCAAGGCTCCCGGATGTCGCGATAGGGTCATTTATCTCTATAATGTGGGCCGCTGAACAGCTGTGTTGGTTGTTCGAAATTGCTTAGCCTCGGCATCCTTATTCGGTTACTCGACTCTCGCTTCGAGGGTCCAAAGGGTTGAGCTCACCCACTTTTGTTGGTTGTGCACGGTCAGAACGGACCATATTCCGAGGGTCCAGGCCCATATTCTATCTGAACCGTATGTGAAGCGAGACTCTGGAAAGTAGACGGTCCACTTGGGCCTTTTGTAAAGTCGCCCGGTGACATGATGTGATATGACTCCGTGTGACGAGACATTTTCAGTAATTAGCCTGAGATTTCCGAGCTCCGACACTCCGGTCGTGCCGTATACGTACTTGGGGGTTACCTTCTTTGATCTTGGTTCTCCCTCAAGTCGACCACATTACTCTTACTCTCCGAGTCCATTCCTTTGACTTGTACATCGCTGAATAATAGTCATTGTTTGGCGAGCACCATCGTCTCAAGATGTGGTTGCGATCCTTCTTGATGACCCTGTCGGTCTTTGCCACGGGTCGACGGACCTTTCCAGGCTACAAGATCCATTCGGAGAATACAATTGGTATCGATGACTTCTCCGAGGCCTGCCGAAACGCGCTCATAGCTCTTGTACGATGCGATGACGCCACAAGCGAATGGACAAGGGCTTTATATCATGGAATTCTCCCTATCGATGTTGATGTCAACTCTGTCTGCGACGTAGGCTGCGCGCGAGCCATTTTGGATTGGCGGTTAGCCGTCGATACCTACTGCGGTGATTCTAAGTGGGCAAATGGCGCCCCTGCCGGTGTTATGGGGTCTTTTATCTCATATGGTATCAACGAGATATGTCAAACTGATAAGAAGACTGGAAAGAACTGTAACGGTGAGCAATCTTGACATTTGAATATCTCTGCTTCTCTTCTAACGCGTAGTAGACGTTATCCTTAACTTTAGTGATACTGATACCATTGAGAAGATGCCAAACAGCGAACTCTGTTCTGACTGTTACGTCGGCCGGCTGAAGATAATACAGGCTAGTCCTTACTCATACTACAAAAGGGAGCTCTTCTACTAAGATACTCTCAAGGCAGCCATTTTAAGATACTCTCTATCAAATTAGCCAACTACTGCCAAAGACTCTCCTTTCCCTTCTGAATCGCCTGAGCCCGTCTTCTGTCTTTCCGACGTTAAGCACACCGTTCAACCTGGCGACACTTGCGACTTATTGGCCGTTAAGTATAGCATCTCTTTAGTAGCTATCTTTATCGGCAACCCTAATATTCTTAATTGCAACGATATAGTCTAAGATATATTAATCTATCTACCGCTCTAATATAAGATATATAAACTCTAGGCAGGCGATAGCTGCTTATCTATCTTCGCCGCTATAGGCCTTTACCTAGCCGATATTCGTTTTCTGAACCCTTAGATATATAAGTCTTGCGGTAATATTAGGTCTGCCTAAGAGACCCTCGGTAGCATTATTTACATAACTCCGCCTAGTAGCAAGTACGAGCACGACGTTAATAACACGAGTTCAGACCTAGTATACTCTAAGTATACTAAAAAGGCTATTCTACCTCCTAAGGGTGCCAGTCTAGCTAAAAAGACGACTAAAGAGTATAGACGTTGGTATATAGTTCAAAAGGGAGATGACTATGCTATAGTTCTAGTCTAGCACCATATTAGCCTTCCCCTCTTTACCGATGCCAATCTATCTATTTCGGCAGATAAGTGCACCACGGATCTTATCCTAGGATGGACCTATTGTATCGGACTAACTAAGCAGGCTTTCTTAAACCAATGGGAAATTCCTCCGCATTGGCGCTTCGGATGCTATGCCCGCGAGGCAGATACTATTAATCTTACTGTTTTGACGCTTAATGAAGTGAGATACGTCAAACCCATGTCTATTATTGCCTGCCAATCCTACTATTTCTCTTAGTCTCTGTACGCATTCGGACTGCAGAACGGCGATTCGTGTCTATGCGACTCTCGCCTGCGTATAGATAGTCAGCGCATAGACGATTCCAACTGCAATATTCACTGCAACGGCAATAATACGAATGTTTGCGGTGGCAAAGATGCCGTTGAAGTCTTTGGCATGGAAGAACTGCTACGTGTCGAGTACGCTAGTCTTGGTTGCTTCATCAAAGATGGTAACAAGGAATTAATACATGGCATTGCAGGTGGCGACAATGTCAATTTGAAGGAGATGACTGTGGAAAAGTGCGCAAGTACGTGCACTGTCACTATGAAAGCCGACTTCTTTTCTCTGAGTGAAGGCTCAATCTGCACTTGTGGTAAGGAAATGGTTCCAGGGGCTACCAAGACCAGTATGGCGGAATGCAATGTAGCATGCAATGGACGGTCTAGTGAAAACTGCGGTGGGAAAGATAGAGCTGAGATTCATACAACCAAGTCTAAATATACAATATCTAAGTAAGAGCTCTGGTAGGTTAAAGTGGAGATGAAGCTTTTCCAACCTGGAATACTGGGCAAGGCTAAGTTGGATTTCTTGATGCGTTAGATCCATGCTGTAAGTTAGCTGACTGATTTCTTCTGTAAAGTATAGGTGATATAGGCATATGGGATGACCCCTGTGATGATCGAGAGGCATGGTTGGTTCAAAAGCGGAAACGGGCCCCGTTTCGGTCTTTAATTCTTGAGTAAGGGATCTGATTAAGCTTTTTGCGTAGATCAAGGCGCATAAGAAGGAGGTGTTCAATATCTAGTAAACCTGCATCTGCAGCTAAGGAAGTATCCAGATAGTGTACGATCTTCGGGCTCAGTTAACCTATCGAAGACCGGGCTGCAACTATAATAAAGAACAGATCTTCAACACATCATAACATCATAACATCATGACCCGATGCTAACACAGTGGCCCCAGATAATGTACGTATAGTCACGGAAGCCGAACCATGTACATTCATCGCTAAGCCTAGGCAAATTACAGGCTATTTGACCTATTCAAAACTATGGAAATGTGTTAATCTGAAAGGAGGCTTGCTGTCTGGCTGCCTTTTGCTGGGTTAAACAACTTGCGTTGTCTGGACAACGAACCCTCGGAAGCAGGCCATACTTTGGGAACACCAGGCTTGTTGCTTGGAACCCACTTGGGCTCGTCACCCATATGTGTCGTATTCATCGCAGGCGGCACCAGCGGTTGCGCACCCTTCGGGCGAGCCATGAGTCTCATGGTAGAAGTATCATACGCACCTAGGCTCAGAAGAATGCAGCCGCCCGTCTCGGGAGGATCAAGAACGTATGCCCCTCCGTAGCTAGACTCCACGTCCGCCTCCTGGTCCTCGCAGAAGAAGGCAGTATCCCAGCCAGCCAGGCAGAGGTCGAAGTTGAAGTCATCTTCGGCGAAGGGGAAAGGCTCCTTGGTTCCACACCCGCTCTGATCGGGCGCCCATTCCGCCGACACTATGACCATGTAGCCGTCCTCCTCGAGCGCGATGTTCTGGCCCACCGCGTTGTTGGGGTCGAGCACGTAGTTGGACGAGCAGAACGACTCGATGACCTGCTGCGCCTCTTCAATGGTGAACTCGACATAGCCGGAGCGATCGGCGAAGCAGTAGCCTTCACCCTCGTTGATGGCCGTGTTTGTAGGGTATGATATGGCAGTCGCTGTTGTCTTGGTGGTGGTGGTTGACTTGCCGACCGTTGTCGTGGCCTTTGGGTACGAGGTGGTAATGATTTTGATATCTGTCAAAGTGATAGAGATGGTAGTGCCGATATGAGAAGGAAGAATGATAGCCGAGGTTCCTCGCATCTTGGTCTTGGTCGCCGACTTCACGTTGGGAATGGGGTAGGCCGTCTTATCAACCGTCACATAGCCGTCATTGACGGGGTATGGTGTTGAACTGACAATGACGGTTGGAGAGAAGGTGGTCTCGTAGGCCTTGCCTAACTTGCCATGCCCGCTATCGTCATCGCCGAGGTCGTCCTTCCGGGGGTCGACCGTGATGAGTGGACAGGATGAGCCCGTTGTTGTAGCCGTTGCAGTCAGGAAGCAGCCAGTGATGATCTCGGTCGAGGTGGTGGTACATGAGGAGGATTTACACGATACCCAGTAGTCTGTTACTGAAGAGGTGGTGCAGTCACAGCCAATATATGTGTTGCAGACAGTGGCGCACGGCTTCGTCGTACAGACTTGATGGCACTCGGTGTTGGTCTCCGTCGCACAGTCTTCTTCTTCGTCATCGTCATCGTCATCGTCATCATCGTCATCATCGTCATCTTCTCCTTCTTCCTCATTTCTCTCTTCGCATCCTGCACCAACACAGTTTCCCCCTGGTCCAGGACACCCGCCTCCAATGCAACCGATGGAGCCTCCGCCTCCACCGCCGCCGCCTCCACCTGGACTACAACCAAAGAGACAGAGATTGCCGCAGCCAGATTTGCAGACAGGCCCAGGTGGCCCAGGAGTGATGATAATGCCCGGAGCAATACCTGGTGGAGGCCCGATATCAATATCGTCATCATCATTGTTATCATCGTTGGTGCCAGTCGGAAACGGTCCCGGCTTGTACGTGTAAGTGATGTCGTGAGTGGGTTCAGTCAATGTGACGGGCGACGGAATGACACTGCCTCGTACAGGGACAGACTTGGAGGTAGATGCTGTCAGAACAATGTTGGATACCTCAATCTCAGATGTTATAAGAGGCGGGAGCGTTATGCGAACGGTGATTGTTGTTGTGCGATATTTAGTCACGCCGTCAGTAGTTTCAGGCCATGTCTCCTGGATGGTCTCGGTGATGACGGGAAAGCTGATTGTAGTCTTGGAGGAGAGCGGCCATGGTGGTAGGACGAGAGTACAGGGCGGCTGGCACCCTGCTGTCGGTTTCTCGGAGCTCCAGATTTTGGGGTCAATGTATACAATGTCGCCGTCTCCGTCGCCACCTTCGTTGCCGCCTTCGTTGCCGCTACCATCATTGCCGTCACCATCACCATCGCCCGGCTCGCCAGGGATAGGCTGGTCGGGTTTCTCTGGTAGTTTGGGCTTCCAGTCATGGTCATTGATGTATGCGTTGATGGCGCCCCCGTGAAAGACAACAAGGTAATCGGCCTTTCCATCGCCGTTGATATCTGCATATTGAACAGGGCCCTGGGGGCTGACGCCACCAGCAATGGTGCCCATATCATTCCACTTGCGGCCCTCGCCGATAGGGATCTTGCCATTGTTGCGGTAGCCTTTCGCGGCGCCTCCCTCGTACTGGACGATATAGTCCGCCTTGCCGTCTCCCGTGAGGTCGGCGAACCTGATCTTGCTGCCTGGCTCGCCGACGCCGGTGGCCACGACGATGCCCTCCTTCCAGATGCGACCACCATCCCTAGGGGGGATGTTCTTGTTATTCTGCCAGTATTTGACTGCTCCTCCGTCGTACAGGATGAGGAAGTCATCATAGCCGTCCCCGTCGAGATCTGCGAACCTGACCTTGCTGCCAGGCTCTCCAACGCCCGGTGCGATGACGACGCCGTCCTGCCAGATCCGCCGATCTCCTGGGTTGGGGAGGTTTCCGTTATTGATATACGCCTTGACAGCCCCGCCACCGTAGATGACCAGGTAGTCAGCGCGCTTATCGCCGTTGACATCGGCAAACTCGATGCGTGAGTCCGAGAGATCTTCATCAAGGCCGGGCGCGATCTCGCCGATCGACTCCCACTGGTCGACACCCTTGTTGAGCCAAGCACGAGCCCGGCCTTTGGCATCGACCGAGATCAAGTCGTCCAGGCCATTACCCGTCAGGTCGGCTAAGCGAAGGCTCGAGCCCTTAGTGCCAGTGATGCCAAGGTTCTTCCACATGCGGATGCTTCCGTCGTCGGCAATAGCAAGGAAATCAGCCAGGCCGTCGCCATCCATGTCTGCGAACCGTATCATATCGCCCGTGACACCCGATATGCCGGGTGCAATAGTACCCAAGTCGTCCCAATTGCGGCCACCCTCATTCAGGGTGTTACGGAACGCCTTGACGGCACCACCATCATAGACGACTAGATAGTCTGCAGCAAGGTTAGTTTCAAGCCAAGGTAAAAGAACCGTGAAGGACTTGCCAGCCTTTCCGTCACCATCAATGTCTCGTACCCTTGCCGAGTTGGCAGGTATACCGGCAGGACCAGGAGCAATGGTGACCTCGGTCTCCCAGTTCTTCTTATTGCTGTCCTTTCCGTTGTTGTGTGTGTTGCGTGCCCACTTGACAGCGCCGCCACCATAGACGATAACATAGTCAGCGTACCCATCACCATCAATGTCTTCGAAGTAGACCTTGTCCCTCGATTCGAGGCCAGTTGCCCACTTGGAATCAAGGGATTCAAACTTCTTTCCGTTGTCGACGTTCTTCCAGACCTTGGCCGCGCCACCCTCATATATGGCAATGAGGTCAGCCTTGCCGTCGTTGTCGACATCTGCAAGGCGGATCATGTTGCCCTTGATGGACTTCCAGTCTGGGTTAATCTTGCCGATACTCGCCCAGTCGTTGGGCTTGCCGCCGTTGATCCAGGCTCGCATTGTGCCATCGCTGTCGGCGACGACGTAGTCAGCGATGCCATCGCCGTTGAGGTCGGCCAGAATCACCTTATCGCGGCTGCCGTCCTCGACAGCCCCACGAATGGTGCCAACTGGTTCCCAGGTGCGGAAGCCTTCGAAGACAGTTCCCTGCTTCTTCCAGATTCTGCCCTCAATCTCCTCTTGAGCCCCACCACTCCCTCCTCCGACGCCGAGGCCGACACCTGGTAGGCCGGCGGCATCCCTCTGGACAGGGTTCTTTAACCAGCCTCGTTCGTCGGCTTCCAAGATTGCCTTTAGCCAAGCGTCGGCCATCTTCTTGTAGCCGCTGTCATTTGGGTGTTTCTCGTCCCAAAGATCAGCCACCGTGATGTCGATTGGGACCTCAAGGATGTGCTTGCCATCCTTTTGTCTCTTCTCAATAATAGAAATGACCTCCGGGTTGAAGCGATCAGTGTTTTGTTGCATTCTAGGCTTGTTGGCCCAGATGACTGGAGCAACAAGAACAGTGACGTCTGGGGCGTTCGCAAAGAGGCCATCGATGATGGTCGCGAGCATATCAGGAGAGCCTTGGAGATCCTCTTCCAGGTCCATGTTGTTCGTGCCAGCATGCAAGAGAACCACGTTGGGGCGAGCAGCAATTGAAAGTTTCCAATACGTGTTGATATCTGCGAGGACTTTCCCACTGTGGCCTTCGTGGTCGTTGTCCGCCATGCCAGTGGGGGGGTGCTTCAGGCTGCCAACCATATCGACCGAAGTACCTCGGCCGATAAGCATCTCACGAAGACGCTTTCGGTAGCCCGTTTGGTCTTTAGAGCCGTTGCCTTTGGTGATTGAGTCTCCGAGAGGCATGATACGGAGGCTCGGAAGCCCTGATGCAAGCGGCGCTATCAGTGCCACGAGCACCATCACCAACGTGATGGCGCCCCGAAGCGTGGAGCATGTCATAGGGAATGGTAATATCAACAGTAGAGAAATAATATCTTGGGACGTAACTTAAGATAGTTTGAGAAGGGGGGGTAAGAATGGCGGTGCTTGACCAGCTTCTACGGTTTCCCCGAGGGTCTTTATGCCCACCTGTCATGAGACTGCAGAGCACCTTTGGTTATTCGAACTTGGCATCGCCACTATCATGGCCCCCAAACATTCCTCAACACCGCCTACCTCTAGCCTCGCCTCCTTCGTGTTGGTAGCTGTTGGTTCTAGGATACTAATGCACCCTCAGTAGGCTATGCAACGGGGCAGAAAGAAACCAGCAAGGTTGAAATCGGTCCTTCCCTTCCACTACGGAATGATGAAGGGTGTGGTTTTTCTGCTATCATTTTGGATTCTTGCTCCAATAATAGGCAAGTGTGTCTCATTAGTTGGGTCGGCTGTGCCCTGGAGGGCTGTTGGTTCTGTTGTGTTGGTTGAAGGATAACATGCAGGAGGATTCGGGAACGTCTTCGGGTCCGAAGGCCGGCGCTGTTGGTTGTAAAATAGCTCAGGCTCCGCAGGAGACAACGGTGCAGTGGGGCTTTGAGATGTCACGGCTCGTCATGAGATGGTGATGACTAGCTTTATCAACTGTGCCGGGTCAAAATGCAGCGTATATACATGAGAGAGAGGGCAATAAGTGGTAGCCAGGTACTTGTCTTGCTGCTATATTTGCATTTCCGTTTGGTTGATCAGAGGCCTCCCCCCACTGCCCCTTCGAGCCCTTGAGCAAGCTGCTACATTTGCCTTCCAATTGAGGAGGAATAACATGGCGCAAGTGGGATGCGCGCTGATCATGGCGAAGAAACAGACGTGGCTAGGCGCATTGAGGTATTTGGCGCGCGGCAAATAGCGCAATGGGGGCCAAAGGACAAAGTTAATTAAACGGGCCACCTACTGCAAAGCCATGCAGGAACTTTGGCGCAGGCACCCTGTCGTTGGTAAAATATGCAAACCGTTCCGAAGAATCCTCGACTGTAACCCCCTTGCTAACCTATTGCGTGAGAATCATACTAGTAACTGCCGACATGAGCCCACGGGATGGCCCAACGAGCCGACTCGGCAGCTTAAATTGGAACCACCATTGCCAAGACTCCAACAACCAACAAACCGTATCATTAAAGATACGAGGGTCGACATGGCTTGTGAACGACTCTTGTTTCAGGGCCGGGGTGCTACCAACAGCATTCACCAGAAGGGCAGGTATCATCAAGATCCTTCATGATGGAGCTTGGCAACAATCGCTGATGCGAGCGGCGCTATCAGTGCCACGAGCACCATCACCAAATTGATGATGCTTCGAAGCATGGAGCACGCCATAGGGAGTAGGAAAGGGATATCTCGAGATGTGATTTGAAAAATTCCGTAGAAGGGGGGGCTGAATGGATATGCTCGACCAACTTCTGCGGTCTTAACTAAGAGGTTTTATGCAGCCTCTCATAAGATTGCAGAGCACTACCTGCTATTAATTGAAGTCACTATCCCTCATAACTGCCGTGACCATTAGCCGCTCCCGACACTGCCTCGATCTAGTCCCGCCGCTTCCTTCACGTTGGCTGTTAGAAAGCTGTTGGTTCTAGGAAATGACAGAGTTTGGTGTGGGGACGGGATATTCAAGGCCTCGAAACGTAGCTACAAGGTCCGATTGCTTAACGTGCATCCACCAATTCGAGTTTTGCTGTGCACGCTCAGTATCGCACGCCGATCATCACGATTGCCAACACTCTCACAACCAACAGACCGTATCATCACGGATCCTCAAAAAAGGCCTGCCACCGACTTTTCGTCAGAGACTACAGACTGCTACAGGGGAGCAAGGTATAACCAACAGTATTCGGGGCTTAGCAATACCCACCCCCAACTTAGTCTTCATGTCGCCTCGTCTTTCTGGCTCTAAGCGGTGGTGCAAAGGACCTTGACCTTCTAAATTAAGATCTTCTAAATTAAGCACAAATCTCTTCTGTTTTAACCATTAATACAGCAATAATTCATCTCTTCCCATTCCCACCTGTCCACCAACTTCTCCCCTTTTCTCTCTACCATTTACAACTACCTTAAAGGGTCATTTTTATGAGTATGGGCACAAGACGACAACTCTCGTGGAGAGCAGCCTTTGCTCTTATTCCTTTTTTTTCTCTATCACTTCTATTACTCTCCTATGTGGGCTTTCCCCATAGTTCCCATCTGAATCCTCGAGCCTCTGCTACAGATCACCATGATGCGGTTGATAACCTTACCAAGCGCGCCACCGACTTATACGAGCCGGCCCGCGAGAAGGGAGCCAAACTGCATTGTCTAATGGGCATGTCTAAGGCAGATGCTAAGGCTGCCAATGGGGGAGCTTCGTTAGAGTCGCCGATATACCTACAGACAGACCTTTTGCCGGAGACAGAAGGTTGGAAATACGCGGACTCAAAAGTTTACTTCGCAAGCTACTTAAATGAAGCTTTGGCTGCACTCAACATCCCCAGAGAGTTTCACCATCATACCTGGAAGCATCTAGAGTCAACGGAAATCTACGATGATCCGACCTGGTTCGTTGATGACAATGCTGAGCCAAACTTCAATTCCCAGCCAGGCCAGGTAAGATATTCTCACCCAGTAATGAGGTCAAAAACCAGGCCTGAGTCTCTGATATATCAACGAAGGAAGTATTCTAACTAGAGTAATATCATATATAGGCCTCGTTGGCATCTTTTGCCAACTCGTTTATTTTAGATCCTGGCGTGATCATTGCTGATAAGAACCTCGGGGTCGCTGAAGCTATGAAACAGAATCTCATTAACCCAAATTCTCTCACGACGCATATCAAAAAGGTAAGCCAGGCGTCTAGATCCCGTGGAGCTAAAGTTTTATCTCGTACAACTGCTAACTTCGAGCCTCAGTGGAGTGATATGGCGTGGATACAGTGGGTAAGTTGTCCCCAAGCTCCTTTGCGTCTTCTTCTTCTTCTTTACCCTTATCGTTCTATCATCTTCCCCTTCTCTCCGCAGCAAACTTCTTCCATTGGCCCTTCCTTCGCACAATAAGCTTCTTACCTTCTAACTCGGATGATGGCAGTTTAATACCTGTAAATTTCAAGAAGGGGATGTCACAACTCTCAAGTATATCATTCGCTCTTGGATTACAAACCACACCACTCTATCATTGATATTCGAAGCCATTCTCAATAAGAACGACAAGGATGGCAAGGGAACAAGGATCGGCCGGTGGAACGAAAGGATAACCCTTACCGTCGACGACAACCCAGACGAATTCCACGCTATACTTGGTAGCCCCAACGGAGCAGGATCGGCCTACTTGTTGATTAATCACAAAGACAAACTGGGGGTTAGGGTTATTAATAAGGTTGATATATTTGTTCCTAATATTGGCTTTGATGTGGAAGGAACTACAGTGGACAAAGACCTTGAAGCAAGGAAGGTTATGCTTTTGTTTCATATAACCAAGGTTTAGTTAGCTTCTGCTAATTATTGGCCTTTTTTTTTATCAAACGCCGTAGTCCTCAGTGCAGGATGTTGTGATAACGATACCAAGTAGATCAATTGCAGCCGTTAGAATAAAATAGGATATAGACATTTAGGCAGAGGTATAGTAACCTAAGAACTAGAGTGAAGGGTGTGCCCTTGCTTCCGGAGTTCAGCCTTCAGACTTGCGACCTCATCAGGAGGCAAGATACTCTCCCATGCAAAGAAGTAAAACTCGGGTGGATGATTCATTCCCGCGATCCCAAAGGTCAGGCCTAAAAGATGCATCCTCCACTGATCCCAAAACGCGACGCCCAGTGGACGGAACGAGTCGAACTTGACTCCTGGAATAGGCGAATCATTGGCAGCGCCAATGGTGAGCGATCGAAAAATAGATATACCAGAAGATTCTCTTTGCAGTGCTTCCTCTGTCTGGCCCCACTGATAATGTTCATTAAGCTTTGGCCGCTTAATCGGTGTGCCACCCTCTGGTATCGGAGAACCGTTCCTTAGTGGGTGGGTTTCGCCATTTCGACGATAACCCCAGACATTCCAGATTACCTCTTTTCGCTTCGGCAGTGCCGTGATCCACCTAGTACTTGCCGAATATGACGGTGGCCGGGGCAATCGGTGGTAGACATCTATCGTCGCGTCTCCAAGCGTCGCTAAGTAGTGCATCGCAGACCTAACCTCCTCGGCTTTGTTGGGAGGACCATCAGGTCTATCGACCAAGTCCGCTGGATCCATGTGGCTTAGCATCTCGACATCATGAACCGGCCAGCCCATTGTGTCCCTCTTGTAGTGAGCAAGACGGTGCACTTCGCCCACAAGCTGTATAATCCACATAGCACGCAGGACTCGCATCTCCTCTACCCAGGTCGGCTGCCCTGCGTCAACCACCTTGGCGGGTGTGCCGACAAACTGGCGATCCCAGGCTGCGACCCAGTCATCATTAGGACCATAGCCATGAGTATAGTAAGGCTTTGGATCAAAAGCATGTAGTGGCCTAAAGCTAGGGTCTCTCAGCCTTCGTAGGTATGACGCCAAACATGCTTGCGAAAGGGCAGAGATTTGGTGCGCTGTTGCAACGATTGATCGGAGCACCGACACAGGCACTGTCGTCTCGGATAGGAGTTCAGGACCAAGAGCGACGAATGTTGCGTCATTCGGTTGAAAGAAAGGAATTACGCCGCGTAAGAATTGAACCTGGAACTCGGCTAGATCGCGAAAAGGGAGGGCCTCAGAGCGCACGAGTATGACTCCACGGATGAGTTCCTTGACCTTTGGTGGCAATATCGAGTTCGGTCCAGAAAGAATCCCTTCGGTGATGGCAAGGGCATGGCTATGGAAGAGGCGCCAGACTTGAGGCGATGCCCTTAGTAAGTCCCAGAGCGTATCGAGGCCTGAGATGCTCGTGACGATTGGCAACAAGATCTCGGGGGGCAGCAGCTCCAAAGATGCTGCCGTATTCTGGGCGTTCCAACACATCTCGATATGAGTTATCGTCGCCTTTGCTGAGTAAAGGAGGTTTATGAGGGAGGTTTAACCAAGGAGCGGGGATGTGTGTGTGCCTCGAGGAACGACAGGCCACAATATTTCACGTGATTTGAACATGGGTGCTCGGGCTTCGTGTCTCCCCATGCATCGCGACCGGCGTCTTTCTTTTTCTCTTCTTCTTCTTCCTCTTTCCTCTTCTCCTTGACTTTAAATATCTTCCGACCAGTCTCATAATCCCTAATTATCTCTCTATTCAACTTCTCTTGCATCTACTCGGCCTAGGCAATCTTCTGCAAGGTACCTCGTCTAGAAACATAAAATAATTAGGTCAATTAAAGATTACTAATGCGCAGGCTCGTCCAGGACTTGCTAAACTCAACCATCTTATCAAAATATGCCACAATGAAATCGCGCCACTGAACATGGCCGAGATTCATCTTCTAAGTCATTCAGCCGAAGGCTGACTCTATATTAATCCATAAGTTTTCCCGAATAATGAGGGTTTAGTGCAGATAGGGATAAATAAGTTTCTCGGAATCTAATTGGTCTAAATTTTATATTGCCGGTCGCTAAAGAAGGCTAGATTAGTTAGCAGCTCTAAAAAAGGTAGGTATCCTCTAGCTACTATCTATTATTGCTTCTTTATTTACTTCTTTATTTATTATCGCTAAATTTACCTAGTGATTTATTTATTTGCTTGGCTAAGTAACCTTTCTTCTATTATTAATCCCGATGTATTATATGACTAAGGATGGATTCTAATTCTAGGGGTAATCTAAGCCTTGGATCTAATTTTGGAGTCTATTGCCCGTCTTATAACTAAATAAAACTAGCAAGTGATTTTATTAGCAGGAGGAAATCTACTAATTAAACTATAATATGCCTAGAATACCGGGACTAGCGTAATTCTGAGGTAATTAATATTATTGGTATAGTCTATATGCCTCCCTAACCTGATTAAGCGTGCTAGGTCCAAAGGTGCGGTCCTGACGTTAAGGAACCTGGCCGCTTGTCTTTCCTTAGCTAAGAGATCTGCCCCAAAAAGAACCGATAGAGATGCTAGCCTATCGCCTCCTAATAAGAGATCTAGAACCTAGCCTATATCGCTACTAAAGCTACGGCAACTTTATATAGCTAGGAGTTTATTCAGAGAGTTAATTAGCTAGCCGTATATAGTGCTAGGGACTCTAATTCCACTAACCTAATAAAGCACGCGGCGTTTTCGTGCTCTAGCTCCCTTACCTCCCGTGTAGCTAACGCCCCATCTAATCGCCTCATATTCTGACCTATCTACTATCCGAAGTAGCATAACTAGTTTAGATTACTCTTACTTAGCTGCTAGGTTCCATAGGGCCGGGAAGGACTCGTAAGATGATCCTTCTAAGGCCGGGGCGAGGGCCAAGCGGGCTACTATCTAGCGCGGCTATCATTCACGACGCCGTGCAGGCGAGACTATATCACTGACTCCCTTAATATCTCAAGTCAGCGCGTTTAAAGGTTCAGAGGGGCCTATGGTAGATATTCTTACTTAATGGTCGTAATACTTCGGGCTAACTATAGAATATAAATGCAAGCTAAGATTAACCGCGGCCGAGTAGGCTTCCAGATAGGGATAGGATAGTTAAGGAAAGAGATAACTAGGGCTAGTTCTTAGAGTCTAATATTAACGCCGAGGACTATTTTAACCTGCTGCTTTTGCCTATTCGGCCATATAGGTACCTAGAGTAAATAGGGGTAGAGTGTGACTCTGACCTAGGGGACGGGGACGAGGGCGACGGTAATGACTCCGTGGATAAGGGCCCTATTCATTATCGCTCGAGGCTGCCTTCTGCACGGCCGAGGACTAGTCGCCGTGGTCTGGCTCTTAGCATAGGAGGGCGGCCGAGATAATCTCAAAGGCAAACTCGATCGTTAAGGCCGCCATAATATATTTGGAGTCTAATAAGGATTCTACCTAAAGAGTCAGTAGTATTCCATACATAAGATCCGATATAGAATAGAGATCTAGAAGCTTACGCCTTAACTAGTCGCGATAAGGCTATCCTCTACGAGTTCTAGACAGAGCTAGATAATAACTAAATGCAGTTTTATAGTCGATGCTAAGAGAGTTAGTTCTAGATAAAGATCAATTGCGATGGTATTTATGCGCGTTATTATCGAAAGGATAAAAAACGCCGCGCTAATAAGCCGTATTTCTTCTCTGCGGATAATTAGCTCGACTTCGGCCCTATACTAGCCCGGTTGCCCTAGCTTATGCCTACCGAAGAGTCTTTAATTGCTTATATTTACGTCTACGTGAATATTATGCTTATGCGAGGGCAGTAATATAAGTATCGGGGATATATAGTTTACTTTCTCCGCGAGGTTAGCTTAGTATATAACTAGCTCTCGCTTTTGCCATAGGAGTTAAATATTATATTACTATGTCCTGCGAATATATCGTCCTATGTAAATCTTAGCTAGTAATTTACCCGCTAGTTCCGCATGCGCCGCTAGCCAGTTATTATATAGCTAGATTACCTCCGCCGCTATTATCCTAGCTATCGATGCATCGTTATCGACGAAGAGCGGCTAAATTAATTGCCCTAAGATAGCAATATCCTAGATATTATCCCCTAGAGTTAGGTAGAGGTTACCGATATTAGACCTAACTCACCCGAGGAAGATTAGGAGGCAGAGCCTAACCTAGAGGATAAGGCTGCGGTGCCGGACCTATTGGCTAAGGATATAGAGCTTGATGCTCTGCGGTCTATTCTCTCCGGAGAATTAGGAGCTAATTTAGGGCTTTCTATAAGCTTCTAGGCATAGGTATAATACGAGCTATAGCTCCCAAATATATAATATATACCTATTAATAAGTTTAATCGCTCTTATGCCCTACTCTCCTTAGCGTTTCCCTGCCTCTTTCCTAACGGTAGAGCCGACTTTATTAAACCTCGATTACGCTTTATTAATTATAGAGATTATATCGAGCACGCGATGCGCTAGCATAATAGGCGTTTTATATGCCACCTAACCTTCCGCTTCGTCGCCTTTAATACGCTAATGCGGTCATAAGCACGTTTACGGTCTAGATTCTTCGTAAAGTAATATAATAGGAGATAATAGCCACTAACGCGAGAGCAACTTATTTAGGCGCTAGAACATAGCGAGGACCCCGAGGCATAGGCGCTAATTAACTCGATTATAAGGCATATAATATCTATTCGCGGTATACATCCCTTCTAGAATAAAAGGAGGTAAGACCTCGAGGCTTATGCCTATAATCTTAGTTATCCTAGTATATTCATCACGTTTAGCCCAGCAGATTTACACTAGCGGAGTCTCTACTAGCATATGCCCTAGTATGATAACTAGCTTATCGCTACCGAGCCGGAGAGGATAGCTCTATCGCGCCGCCTATTACATTAGAACCCTTATATTACTACTTTTTATTTTTACCGCCGATATTACCTCTTTCGAGATATCGTATTAAGTAAGAAGTTTAATATCACGGATTACTAGGATCGGTATAAATAGCAAGGCCGTAGTAGTCTATATAACCATAGCCTATATTAGATAGATAATTGCCCCGGAACCGATATAGACGATAAAGCCGCTCGTAATGTATTTGCATAAATATGGGGGTTCTATATCACGGCGATTAACCCCGAGCTAAGTAGGGCAATGCCGCAGGGCAAAGGTAATCCCCTAAGCGTAGATCCCCTAAGCATAGAGATAATATTCTTGCGGCTCTTATAAATCGTGAATTATTACTAGCGCCATAAGTATAATACCATATATTGCTTGCGGGTGAGGAAGAGAACTAGTGACTTAGCGAGGGATATAGAAGGCGCTATTGTAGATATCGAGGCGGCCAACGTTGCTAATCCAGAGAGGGAGTATCGTTTTAACTTCCCTCGTGCCTTATGGGAGCTGGCCGTAGTTATTAGGAAGGAAGGAAGGTCGTACTATATCTTCGAGGCGGCCCGGAACAATAGCCTTATAAACTATTTTAATCCGGCTATTATCCTAGGGTAGCTAGCTAATATCAATATATCTCCTTATACTAGCTTATAGGCGGTAATTATATACGCTGCGAAGTATTATAGTAAATCTAAGAAGAAGATGGAGCCTTATTATAAGCTTATAGATTAGGTTTTGCCGCATATAGTATATCTTTAGCCCTTATTATCCTTCTCTTCTCGCCTTATAAATAAGCTAATTACCGAGAGAGATTATTTAGCGTAGGAGATTTCTTACCTTCTACTTAATATCCCTTTATAAGAAGGTATATAGATAGTCGTTATTATGGATTGCCGTCTATTAGAGCTATATGGCTATTTATATCGCGTCGATAAAGATATTATCGAGACCGTCGGTAACTATAGGAAATACCTAGAGAGAAATAATTAATATAAGGATATAACTTACCTCAAGTACCTATAATTATATAATCTTAAGACATAGAGGAGACTCGCTGCTAATGCGAAGAAGAGAGTCTTCTCTTACTTCCCTTAATATAAATCTATAGAGGCTTCTCCCTAGTTTAATAACTTCTATTATATTAAGTTAATAATAATTTATTTATATTAATCTCTATAAGAGTTGCTCTTAATAAATAGGTAGCGGTTTAACTCCTTCGCGGCTATATATAAGTTCTATAGGTAGCTTTATTATATCTATGCGGATAATTTTTATAGGGATCTAGATATAAAAGAATTAAGGGCAGAGGATAATAAATTTAAGCCTAAGGCCTATAAGGAGCTTATTATAGAGGAGGACTAATATAAGCTCGCCTATATATTGCCTAACTAGCCGCTAGAGGAAGAAGATATTAATACCCTTAGCTACTAAGATATTAATATTAATTATAATTAGATATCTTATATTAGATAGTATACCAATAATAGCATTCTTAATAGTAATTACTAGAAATAATATAAAGCTAAAAACCTCCTAGACCTTAATATTAATAATTAACCCTTAGAAGCTCGCGATTCCCTAAATCTAGAGCAGCGCCTAGCATATAATACGGTAATAAACTACTTCTTAATATAAAATCCTTCCTAGTTATTACTCTATATAAATAGCAGAGGCAATACTAGTAAGTTATACCTTATTAACCTACTCTCTATATACCTCTAAGCCGCGATAGGCGGGAGAGGGATACCTATTTAGCATACTACGCCTATAGGTATCGCGGGAAACCAGATATTAGGCACTACTTTATACTCCCTATTATACCTCCTAATTAATAAGGATTTCTAGCCCTTATTATTAATTAATAAGGCCTAGCTCTAAAAGAAGCTAAAGGATATTAAGTACCTAATTATTAATAAGAAGAGTATACTAGGACTATATTAGTTATTATAGATTAATAATTATCTCCGCGAGGTATTCCTAAGTAGGAATAAAGAGTTCTTTAGCGGCTTAAATATCCTACTAATCGGCGATTTCTTTTAATTACCCCCTATGCTATAAAAGCTACTTTACTATAATAAAAAGGTATAGAGGGTAGAGATTAAGGGTAAGAATGCGTATAGGCGCTTCGATAAAATAGTATTCTTAAAGGTTATTTAGCGATAACGTAGCGACGATTAAGAGGCCTTTTATATAGCTCTTAGGGAATTATAGCTACTCTAATTATCTAAGGAGTCCTAGAAGCTCCTTTCTAGCCGCGTATAGGTAAAGCTAGATAATCGGGAGGTCGCGAGATTTATTAATACTTTGCGAGTATATACTACTAAAGATAAGGTAAACGAATATAATTATTATTACCTCGACCGCCTTAGCCGGCCGGTTATCTAGGTTATGGCTAAGAATGTCGGCTCTAGCGCAGCTATTGCCCCCGATGATAAGGCGGGTAACCTTGCGAAGTAGATCCCTATATGCATTAGCGCCCGTCTAATACTAACGTCTAACCTTTAGTAGCCCGTTAGCCTCTGTAATAGCGCTCGCGGTATAGTTTATAATATCGGCTAGGCACCTAGGGCTAAGCCTATCTAAGACCCTCCCTATATTATTATAATAGAGTTTAATAAGTATAATAGACTGGTATTCCTAATTACCCCTAATAGTAAGAAGATTATCCTAATTCTCCCTATAGAGAGGGACTTCCTTATTAGAGCTACTCTCTATACTTATACCTAGTTCCCCCTAATTATATACTATATTATTACTATTTATAAGTCATAAAGTATTATAGAAGATATAATTATTATTAATCTCTCTTACTAAGATTTCTAGACTAAGTTAAGCTATATAGCTATCTCTCGTATAAAAATGCTCGAGGGCTTAATATTAGATGCCCCATTTGATCGCAATTACCTAATTTATGCGTCTCCCCTAGATAGCATAAAGATAAAGATAAGGGATTAATTGTCAAGCGGGATCCTGTACAATAGCTCTGAGGGTGGTCACGTGAGACCCGTGGCCGGCTAATCTCCGGCCACGCGGCTACGCTAGTCCCAATCCGGAAGGCCACGTCGGGGCCCGGAAGGGAAGGAGGGAATAGCCTTAGGGATAAGAAGCCCGGGGAAAGAATAATAAATTAAGGGATAAGCCTATAATTTAATAATTAAGAGTTTTATACGCTAATTAAAGAGGACTAATTACTAGTAACTCGAGAGGTATCCGCTAAGTAATCCCCGAATAATAATAATAAATATAAATACTAAGTTAGCCTCTAGTAGCGACTAAGTAGCCTAGTATAATATCCTTAAGGCGAAGGCGAAGAACTAAGATCTATGGGATTATATTAACCTATTAGCCGAGAATAAGCTAACTCTCGTGCTAACCCCTCCGGTAAAGCCAGAGGTATAAAATATAAAGAAGAGGGGGCCTAAAATAAGGTCACAAGGGGATAATAAGACGCTATTAATATAGGGCTTAAGTAGTACCTTCTAGGAAGAAAATACTATCCTTAGAGACGATGCTAATAATAGTCTAAGAGCTAAGGTTATCTCTAACCTCACGGCGGGCTAGCTATAAACCTATAGCTCTCTCTAGACCCTCTATAAGTACCTCTACTTAGAGTATATAGACCTAAAGAAGAGAATCATAAAGGTATAAGACTAGGTCCTAGAGATAATTAATAAGCCCCTTATTTATTATTATTATTTAATAGATAATACTCTTAATTAATAAGTTAAGTCTTTATATAAGGAATTCTTATTTATAGCGGTAGAGTAGAAGTAAAAGGCGAGAAAGGAATATAGAGATTACTTAGCTAAGGCCTATTAAAGCCGCCTAAATATTATCTAGTCTATTAATAAGTAGATTATTAGCTAGCGTAATTTAATTAATAAGGCTAGGGATATAGGCTTCTAGGAAGCTAAGGAAGTAGATTAATAGTTCTTAGACCTCCTCGAGGTACTCTATTTATCCCTCCTTAAGTTATAGATCCTCGCCTATAATTCAGCCTAAAGGGCGTTTTACTCAGTCAGAAAAAAAGAGCATAAAACTTTTTCTGATTGGCTAATTGGCATGGTCTATGCTTAACTCGTGCTTAAATTAGTTAGTTATTAATGCTAATGACGCTACTATATGGGAAAGCCCGCGATCGTTGACTAGGTAACGCTTTTGGTAAGCTCTCTAGGAGCTTTAAGGTTATCCTTTAATCAACTCCGGCCTCCAAGCGCGATTCTGGCCGGAGCACCGATATGGCGTCTGCTTTCCCTTTGCTATCAAAACTATTATCCACTAAACCTTACGAGGTTGCTAATGATATCTCGGCTTATATATCACCTGCCTCCGGTCGAGCGGTGAAGTGTCCCCTCCTTCCCTGATCGTTTGAACCTAATTAAAATACCCTATAGATAACCTCCTATATCGAGATCTGTCACGCTATGGTATATCTAAGTAAACCCTCGCTGCCTAAGCGGTACCTACCTGGTCGTCTGCATGGGTAAGAGGCGGATAATAATATATGTAGCCGGATGGAGAATGATATACCCTAGGTAGTTCGGAACTGCTATATTTGCAAGTAAGACCTGCCCGAGGTCGAGTTTCGAAGCGTTAAGGACCCTGCGAGGCTTATGAGATAGTGTAGTAGCTGTAGGGCACGCTAAAAGGAGCGAGTGGCTGAATCCCGAGCCGCCGTTGCCGCTATGCGGAATATCGCCTCGAGGCTATCGCCGCGCAGAACGACGAAGAGGACCGATTCTTAGGCTTAATTGATGCCTCTACGGCGAAACGCGTAAGCGCTCGTGTCTATTAATAGCTTATAACCCCCTGTAATGCCTGCTGTATTCCGTGGTCTGGCGCCTGTCCTCTAGGGATTGCCTAGACCTCTGCTGGGCCTATCTACCTTAAGCGCAGCGGAAGGAGCCCTCCCTATCTCTCCCACCTTAAGCCCGCTAAGAGTAGTTCTGGGTACGCTGATTCCTAGTGATATGACTATAATGGCTCCTATTGTGCTAGGTATGCCTGTGCTATAGGAATCGTTCCCTATTACTGCTTTATTACTGCTATAGGGTTATCGCCGCGGCTGCTATATATGTTAAGGCATTGTGAACCGATGGCCATGGCTATAGCTTTAAGAACGATAGTTTGATTAGATAGTTGATCTACCTTTTATAGGGGACCTTGATTTGCTTGCCCTTAGTGAGGAGGATTGGGCGCTTATGCGGGAGTTCTATATTGCCCTAAATGACGATAAGATGTATAGTTATATTCGCTGCCGGGAGTATTGGTTTAATATGAAGAAAAATAGCTTAGGAGTCTATAGCCGCTGTATTAGTCGAGATAGGGAGAGAACCGCTGACGAGCCCTACTTCTTTAGCGCTGCGAATAGCCTTAACTTCGGGGAAGTCCCTGGTAATCTACCTAGCCTAACGATGGTTAAGGAGATGCTGATTGCTAGGGTTTATATATACGTGAAGGTCCTATAGGTACGTGGCTCTTAGTATAAATACCGCGGCTATGTTATTTACTTCCTTCGTAATGTTGGTAGGCTATTTGAAGAGCTCTTGGTCTTACCTGAAGAGCTAGATATTGTGCTCTTGTGGCCTCTTAATATAGAGGGCGACCCTTACTTCTAGTAGTAGTTTGCTCGCGATTTCTGGGTATGCCGTTTATGCCTGTTGACCTGGCTGTATTACCTATAGCGCTACTACCCGGGCTATCGCGATATTATTGTGAGGTAGGATCGCTTGTAATGGCTTCCTCTTGACGGCAGTATAGTTGCTTCCGTTGCTAGCTAAGTGGCTGATATACCTGACGGCGAGGCCCCCTAAGGTCCCGTTGAGGAGGATATAGAAGAGGATCTAGTAGATGCAGATATATCGGCGATCCCTGATTTATAGGTTATAGATATTAAATTAAATGCCCTATAGTCCCGATTGCTTTATGGTACCCCTGACCCTAAGCGTATGGCCGATCTTGAGTATATACCGCCTAATGCGTAGGCTTAATATTAGATGCTACTACTTTCTATTCGTAGGACTCTTATTAACGAATTTAATTGTTCTTAGCCGCTGTTGACGCTCGCGTTCCTTACCCTCTACCCCGATGGCAAGGCGGACTTCGTGGAGCCTTGCCTATGGAGCGTTATATACTAGGACTACCTTGCCTATGCGATGAGATGGCAAGACGGATGTTTTGCCTGGCATAAGATGTGGCCTTTTGTTGCCCTTAATATGCTATTATGTGCGTAGGTTAGAAAGCGGAGTAACTACTCGGTTAAGTAATATGAAGGCTGCCGCTGTTAACCCCTTATGCGCGCTGATATAGAGGAAGCGATGGCTAAGCCTGACGAGCTAGAGGCTTAGGCCCTGATCCAGTCGATTACGCGCTAAGCCGCCGTAATTAGGGGCACCCGTCTATATTGGTATAAGTAAAGGAAGGAATTGGAGGTATGTGCTTATAATCTAGGTAGGCCTGGCCTTTTCGTTATAGTAAGTGCGGCTGATTATTACTAGGAGTCCCTATATTATTATATGCCTCGATTCTAGGAGTGGAAAGTAGCTCCTGAGGCGGCGTGAATGGCTCTATCCCGGTAACTACTGCGAGATAATGCCTATATTGCCGCTTATTACTTCTATAAGCGATATATGCTCTTTAGGACTATTGTCTTGAGGCAGAAGTTTAACCTAATGGACTTTTGGGGTTGCTATGAGTGGCAGGGCAGGGGTTCTAGTTATTACTATGGCCTATATTGGCTAAGTGGCTACCCGGACTTGGATCCTAATGATAGTTAGTCCCGGGAGCGATTTGCCTGAATCTGGGGATATTATGTATCTGCTGTTAACCTAGAGCCTTAGAGGGTGTAGGCACCTGGGGAAGGGAATCCCTTGATTAGTAATCTATTGGAATATCCCCTTACCGTCTAGTTCCTGTCGATGGTGGTAAACCGCGTGTAGCGTTATCGCTGTAATAACTACTATATGTAGCTTAGTAAGTATACTAAGTAGGTGGAGTGCCGCTTTGGATTTCCTTATGGGTAGTGCCTGCTAGCCTCCCTTGAAAAGGTTCCTTATTCTAAGTACTAGAGCTTTAGGGGCGAGCGGAATGATAGCTAGATGAACTACTATAACCGCTTACTTGCCGTTGCGTGGCTAGCTAATATAGATGTCTTACCCTGTATGAGCTTGTAGTAGGTGATTGATTATGTAGCTAAATACTGCTCTAAGTCGGAGAAGAAGAGTGAGTCTTTTGCCTAGATTGGGAAGGCCCTGATGCCCCGGGTTAAGGACTATAACCCGTTGATTTCCTTTATGTTAAAGCTCCTAAATTAGCTAGTTATTAAGCGAGACTACTTGAAGTAGGAGGTTAGCTACTTACTCCTTGGTCTACCGTTATAAGAGGGCTTATGAACCTGCTTATATATTGATTACTGTAATCCTAATATGTATTCCCGCTCTTTATGGATTAATGCCGATAAGGTTAATGAGGCCCCTAACGTCTACGAAAAGTACTGTTAATGCCTTGAATCCCTAGAGGACCTAACCTATGTTTCCTTTCTTAAATATTGGAATTTCTACTCTAGGGACCCTTCTAAGTGGAAGTAATAGTAGCTAGCTAATGTTAACGGTAGGCCGCGTGTATTGGTCTACTTTCCTCGCTATTAGGCTAATCTAGAAGGCTAATAGTGGCCAGAGTATTGCCGCGTAAAGCTAGTATTGAACTACCTATATCGTCGGCATGATGAGCTCCTTATGTTTAATGGCTATTATTTTAATTCTTATGCTTAGGCCTTCTCCTATTATTAGTAGCACTATAGTTATAGTGATGACTATTATGGCCGGCTAAAAGAGGTTTGATTATAACCTTAAGAGGATTAGTATGAGGCTCTGCTAGTGGAGGAGGAATTTGATAATAAAGATTGGATCTATCTCGCCGCCCTTTTACCTAATAACCCCCTTACCTAGGAAGGTCTTGACCTACTTAGCCGCCGCGATATCGATGTTAATTACGACTAGATATAATATATGGGCATTTATTTAGAGTTTCGAGATAGCTATTGGAAAGACCTTATCGCTAGTAACCCTATAGCTAATGATGTGGAGGTCCTTAGCCCTTACTGGCGTGATTAGCTTAACCCGTAATAGCGGTTAGTGTATGATACCTTTATGGGTTACTTCTAGGCGTAAAATCCTACTTAAATCCTTCTCTACGTTGACGGCGGCGGTGGCATGGGTAAGTCCTTTCTTATTAAGGTGCTTTTCTCTTACCTTTAGGCGGCTGCCCTGCTGAATCCTAGCCCTATTTGCCGCGTAGCGCTAATAGGCGTTGCGAGTAACTAGATATAGGGCAGCACTATATATTTACTGCTCTGTCTCTTAGTAGGCGGTGCCTTTACCGAATTTCGCCTAGCTGATGCTGTTGCCCTTTAGTCCCGCCTATGGTATGTTAGGTACCTCGTTATTGATGAAAAGAGTATGCTAGGACTTGAGTAGCTCGGGCGAATTGATTCTCGCCTGTGATAGGCCTTTCCATAGCGTAGCCTTGAGTTCTTTGGTGGTGTGAGTGTCTTGCTTATGGGTGATTTCTTTTAGCTATTACCTGTCCGATAAAAGCCGCTGTATTTAACCGCTAGTACTGGCTTGTCTTCGTTGGAAAAGAGAGGATAGGTGGCCTATTGGTTGTTTGACCGCATTGTCTTCCTGACTATGGTATAGCGCTAGACTGGTGATGATTAGGCCCGGTTCCGTTAGGTATTGTAAGAACTGCGTGAAGTTAAGTTATCTATACCCTCCTGGAACCTCCTTAGTAGTCGAGTGTAGGCTAAGCTAATGTAGAGCGAGGTTGATAGATTTAAGGCTGCTATGCGGGTGTATTCCATAAAGGCCCGGGTTAATGAATATAATTACGAGTATATGGTGCACCTTAACGCCCCGGCAATATAGGTGGAGGCAAAGAACCTAGGTAAAGGCGCGGGGTAGGCGCTAAGTGACTATGCTGGTAATCTATTTAATAAGTTTGTTGTTGCTAGAGGTGCCAGGGTAATGCTTATAACTAATTTGTGGTAACTAGCTGGCCTGGTTAATAGCGCCTAGGGTATGATATATGATGTCGCTTGGAATGAAGGCGCTAACCCGTGGTAAGATCCCCCGGATGTTATTATGGTGGACTTTGATAATTACGATGGATTGCCGTATCTGATAACTGACGAGGGTAGGAAAATCGTACCTATCCTTCCCGTTATGCGTGATTTCCTAGTGGGTAATGAGACTTGCTCTCGCACCTAGTTTCCCCTGATCGTGGTATTTGCTATTACTGTTTATAAATGTTAGAGCCTAATGAAGGATTAGATAGTTATTGACCTCGCTATATGTGACTTCTAGGCTGGTATTAGTTATGTTGTAGTGTCACGAGTTACCTCGTTGTAAGGCCTACTCCTTGAGGCGCCTTTTGACCGTTAGAACCTCTATAATTATATGCCCACGGAAGGTTTATATGCCTGCGTTTCCTATGTATTGCGATTATGGCTAACTATAACGTAGGGATGAAGATGCGCCTTGCTGACTAATGATGCTGTTAGGCTTAGTAGCTGATTGATCCGCTATATTTACCATGGTATATTGACTAAACGACGTTTTCCTATAAGCTATAGGGAAGGGGGAACTCGATATATAGTATATAGTTGATTGGGCCTGGAAGGAAGTGGTAGAGGGACCCCTATGTCTATTAGTTAACTCCCTTACTACAGGTTTGAAGTGGTTCTGATAGCTGGTTATCGCCATAGTCGAAAGGGGGCCTCCTAGAAGAGTTTAATAGCAGGTAGACGGTATTTACCCTTCGGGCTGAATATTTAGCCGTTAAGCCCCTTGCCTTGGCAACTTAATGGGTGTTCGAAGTATTTTATTATAAAGCGGGATAAAATAAGGGAGAATACCCTTATAATAGCTCTTATTATTATAGATATAAGGATAGCCCTAAGTAACCTTTAAGAACCTCTAAGGGGGAGAAAAATTAGGCATAGAGCCTTCCTAATAGCTAGCAGAGACTAATTAGAGGACGAGGAGGAACCCTAATAGAAGAAAGGCCGGCCTAAGGTAATACTAAAAGGGAGAAAGAGAGCCCAAGACGCTAGAGATATAGGGAAATAATTAATATACCTAGCCTATAATAGCCCTTACTTATTAGCTAATTACTATAATATCTTCCTAGAGAAGAGGCACTAAGGATATATATTAAATACTATTAAGGAGGAGGTAATAAAGAAGAAAATAATCCTTAATATTAATAGCCTAGCTAATAAGGTATAGAAGATTAAGATAAAGAAATTAGCCTAACTAAGGCTAATTAGTTCTAGTAGCTACTTAGCTACCCTTATAACCGCCGATTATTATCCCCTCTAAGACTATATTCTATTAGACTTAGGTATAATATTATATATCTTTAGGGATACCTTAAGACTTAGGAATCTAAGGGTAGCCTAGGTAAGTAATTTCTTTTAATTAAGAATTAGCTAGGTACCTATCGATAGATATATAAAGGCTATAATTATATTAAGAATAGCTAAAAGGGCAAAGAGGAGGTTATAGCTCTAAGATATAGCCTATTACCTTAGTCTTATTATAAACCTAGTATCTTTCTTAAAGCTATGGAAATAAGGCTTCTAGTAAGATATAAGGCTAAGAAGGAATTACCTAAGGAGAATAGATAGAAATTACTTAAGAGAGATCAAAGAGATTTAGGGATAATAAGTCCTCGAATATAGGAATAAGCCGGCGTAAGGCTAAGTAATTACGGTAGGGCTAATAGCTAATAAGGCGCTAAAACCCCCTCTAAGGAGGACTTAAAGATATATAAGTCGTATAATATAGAGGCTACTACGGGGAGACTTCTTTATATGGCATAGAAGGCTTAGATACCTAGGGCTAGATATCCTCTGCTACCTTATTATAGCCTCAAGGGGCATAAGGCTATGGATAAATACTCTATAGGGCCCCGAGAGGATTATTACTATTAACTATAATACCTATGGCGTAGCGAAGGCGCAGAGGATAATCTAGAGGACCCTATGGGAGTTAATTAGGGAGGTAAGCCCAAGAGAATATATAGCACTAAACTTTTACCCGATGATATAAGGCTATAGCAGCTATATATCTATTTAGATCTTTACCGATAAGGTATTAGGCTACTTATAGGACTACTATGCGTTAGACCGCTATATAGAGACTATATTCTCAGCGATAAAGGAGTTCCTTAAGCTCCTAGAGGTATAATATATACTTATAGTAAAGATAATTAAGTATAATAATAAGATTACAGAGATATATCCCTAAGTAGCGGCCTACCTATGAGAGAGAGGTATTAGGTATAAACCCTTAGCCCCTTATATATAGGCATAGAATAGAGGAGCTAAAAGGGTCGGCATAGTTATTATCCAGAAGGGCAGAATATTAAGAGTAAGAGCTAAGCTACTAGAGTACTTATGGCCGGAGATAGAGAATATAGGTCTTTGGCTTATTATTAATGATATATATAAGTATTAGTTCTCGGTGCGCCTAGGTGATATAGTATAGGTAAGGAGCCTTATCGGCGAAGTAACCACTAAAGATATAGTTAGGGTCATAAGGGAAGCAGGCTAACTTAGTGGCATAGGTAGCTAGAAGAGATATAGTAATAGGAATATCTATAAAGATAGGGAGAAAGGTTAGCGAGAGGAATTAAGTCTAAGGAAGGAAGGCAATTCCTTAACTAGATTCTCTAGTATATCTTTAGTAGTCTAAGTAGGCGGCGAGGACTAAAGCTATTACGAAGTAAGGTAGATAAAGATATAATAAAGGAGATAAAGGTATTATAAATAGCGCCTTAGAAGGCATAAAAGGAGTGCCGCGACCTCTCGGAGACTTAATGGACTAGAATAAAGGACTCTATATAAAGGAAGCTATTTATAGATGGCCTAGGTAGCGAGAGGCGATGCTCTCTTGCTGAAGGGGCGTATTAAGCGGGATCCTATATAATAGCTCTGAGGGTGGTCACGTGAGACCTATGGCCGGCTGATCTCTGGCCACGCGGCTACGCTAGTCCCAATCCGGAAGGCCACGTCGGGGCCCGGAAGGGAAGGAGGGAATAGCCTTAGGGATAAGAAGCCCGGGGAAAGAATAACAGATTGAGGGATAAGCCCACAATTCAACATTAATAGCTTCGGAGACGATAGGTTCTTATATAGAATCCCTATAAGATAGACCATGGTTCTGCATAATTCTAGGAGATTCTGCTCGCGATAAGAAGAAATATTATAAAATTGCTCTAGTGCGTAAATAATATAATGGTTATAGATAACTGCTTGGCCCGCGGACTCTTAGCCTTCGGCTAATTATACCCCTTGCACCACCGCTCTAAAGTGCAAGGGGTGACGTAGTATTTTATATATTACATAGATCTATCTACCCCGTCATCGCATGGTAAGCCCTCGTACACCAAATCTTCTCATTACATAACGAACAACGCCCTTCTCTTGACACCTGTCGACTAAAATGTGCCCTGCTCGACATAGGGCGCTTCCAATGGGGACTACCCCAGCTCTCGACATGTGCCCCTCACCAATAATTCCCCGCATTATGATAATGTCTGAATCGCGTGTCACTCGAGAAGGGGCTTATATAGAAGGGGTTTTGTCCTTTGCCCCGTTCCAATTGCTTTAACAACCATTGACCGAGAAAAATGGCGTCTAGCGAAGTTCCCAAAAAGTCCGGCAACTTTGTGTTGACGGCAGAGGCCTTGAATGAGGCCTTGCCCAAGTTTCACTTCAGCACTCAGGCTGTTCACGCCGATGATTTTGTTAGTTCCCATCGGGCCATCGCTCCGGCGATGCACCCGGCCGTGAACTACCGATACGCCCGAGATCCAGATGACTTGGTTGAGATGGAGAATGATGATGTACGTATCCCAATCATCCCCAGTCATTAATTATCCTGATTCTCGATAGCCCAATGCTCCGTTCGACTCGCACGTTTACTCCCGTTACACGGCACCCAATTCCAGTCGCTTCGAGATCGTCCTCAAAACCCTCTTCGGCACCAGCGTCGTCTCATACTCTTCTGGCCTCTCAGCCTTCCACGCCATGCTGGTTTTGGTGAACCCCAAAAAGATCTTTCTCACGGAAGGATACCACGGGGTCCATGGAGTTATCGACGTCATCTCTAAGCTCAATGGCTTGAAGAAGTTGACTCTTGACGATATCGATCAGATGGGCCCGGGTGACATGCTCCACATCGAGACACCGCTTAACCCGACCGGCGAGGCTCGCAACCTTGCTTATTATAAGGAGAGAGCTCGTGCAGTGGGAGCTATTCTTACCGTTGACTCGACCTTTGGTCCCCCTCCTCTGCAGGACCCTCTACAGTTTGGTGCCGATATGGTGATGCACAGCGGAACCAAGTATATCGGCGGTCACTCAGATATGCTCTGTGGTATCGTCGTCATCCACCCCGATCGTGTCAAGGAAGGATGGGAGGAGACGCTGCGGGAGGAGCGTCTGGTCTTGGGAAGTGTCATGGGCAGCTTGGAGGGATGGCTGGGCATCCGATCCCTGCGTACCCTCCATCTGCGCGTAACGCGGCAGGCCAAGACGACTGAGGGCCTCGTCGCATGGCTCCATGATGGCATTCAGGACCCAAACTCGGTCATTGGACGAGCAGTTCTCAAGGTGTCACACGCCTCGATCCAAAAGGACGCCCTGGAGGAAGGCTGGCTGCAGAAGCAGATGCCCGGGGGTTACGGACCCGTGTTCAGTATGTGGCTCAAAAAGGCTGAATACGCTAAGCGATTGGCCAGCAAGTTATACATCTTCCAGCACGCTGCAAGCTTGGGAGGAGTTGAGAGTTTGGTAGAGTGGCGTGCCATGAGTAGCAAGGGAGAGGATCCTCTCGTCATTCGTGTTAGTGTTGGTGTTGAAGACCTTGAAGATATGAAGGCGGATTTCACACAGGCCTTTGAAGCTCTTCTAAAGGAGGATTCATAAGTTAGATCATGAATATTGTGTTGATTCTTGTGGGTTTAAAATACTGTTTGCCAGTTTGATCGTCTCTGCTGATACACCTCTTCACAAAAAGGTGTCCCCGTGTGAAGTCCTGCTAAACAAGAAGGCTCAGGGCGAGCGGACAAAATATTTGGTTATCTACAGACATTGGAAGCAAAAGGACATCAAATACCGTCGACCGTCATATCTATTCTGGATGATAAAATATAGCCAGTGACTATAACAATACTCAACCGAGACATTCATTCAACTCAAGGACTAAAGTACTTATTGGTTCGTCTTCTATTCTACGCTATCCTTGTGAGTACCTTCAGGAGATCGCCCAAAACACCCATAGCCGTAACAGGACCACCCGCACCAGCACCCTGAACGATTAAGGGCAAATCACCATATCGCCTAGTATAGAAGCTGATGATGTTGTCACTCCCCTTGAGTGAAGCAATGGGATGCGACTTGTCAAAGGCCTCCAGGCCAACCTTTAGCTGCTTTGTCACAACGTCCACAGAACCGATAAACCGCACCACCTTGTCGGCCTTTTTGGCAGCTTCCTTGTGCTCGTTCATATGTGTGTCAAACTCGGGGAGTCTTTGAAGGAATTCGTCGCCGCTCTTGACACTCTCTAGCTCTTTGGGAATAAGGCTCTGGACGGGGAAGGCTGTTACGAACTCAATGGGAAGACCAGCTAACCGGGCAAGGATGGTGATCTTGCGGGCTACGTCAAGGCCATTGAGATCATCGCGAGGATCAGGCTCGGTGTATCCCAATTGCTTCGCTCTCTTGACTTCGTCCGACCACTTCCCTCCGGTTCCCTGAGTAGGGGCAAAATTGTTGAACAGATATGACATTGTGCCGCTAAACACACCCTCAATTCGAGTGATCTCATCGCCGGTCGCGATGAGCTCCTTCAATGTCGAGATGATAGGCAAAGCGGCGCCAACTGAGCACTCGTGGTACACCATGGAACCGGCAGTGCCCTCAGCAGCAAAGATGTCTTCCCACAACTTCCAGCTTCCAGAGAAGGCCTTCTTGTTGGGAGTAACGACACAAAAGCCCCTGGAAAGAAACGAAGGATACGCCTCTGCGACTGCCTGGCTGCTGGTGTTGTCGACGACAATAACCTTGCCAGGTGCACCTGTCAGATACTCGATGGTTTGGGAGATTGTAGGTAGTGGTCCGCCCTTTTCTTCGAGCGTCGGCACAGCAGAGACAATATCGATAGATGCATAATCGGCGTGGTAGAGAGCCTTGTCGATGATGGCGACGTAAACGAGTCTCAGACTGTGCGAGGTCTTGTTCTTGGCTACCCAAGCGAGTTGCTGGAGGAAGACGGATCCAACGCCGCCAGCGCCTATTTCAAGTGTTAGTGGCTGATTCTAAGCAATAGTAGTCCTTGACGGCATCTACTCACCGATCACGGCGATGGACACCTCCGGGATAGAGCGCGTCATGTTGGGATGAGAGTAGTCTTCTTGTGATGGATTCGGAGTCCCAAACCAGGCTGGAGATCTAGAAGGACAGCATAGACCATGCGTTTTAAGGATGAATCAAGCCGTGTACTTGAAATCTCCGGATCCCAACTCGAGCACCGACCGTCTCGGAAAGGATTCGGCTTGTCAGTATGACGCGCCGTCCTCGTGAGCAGCGTAACATAACCAGATCATGATTAAATTGAAGCTTTTCATTGAAAAGGCGATAATAAAGATCGTATTACTACAGATTCCCTTCGTAAGCTCTCCGGCTACGGACGGAGTGGATGCTGAAACGGTTCACGAGTTCGTTGACATAATCAGATGCTGACGAGACACTATCCGCGGCAACAATAATTAGGTTGCCCACAACGGGTGGAACATCCGCAGAACGATTTGTAAAGCTTCGAGATGTAACACAAAACTCGGTTTTAGATGTTTGGAGGTCGAGAAGTATGAACATCTCCGAGCCGGAACAAGTGGCATATAAGTCCCTGCACCTCACCCTCATCATGACGGTTGACGGGCAAGAATTACAGACTCTTCAGCCAATCGAGTTATACAACAAGGCACAATGTCTCTCCCCTTCACAGTACTAACCCCTCCCCCTCACCCATGGAGTATACCCTTCACTGACCAATCTCCAAGTTGAACGACCCCTCCCTCCTCCATGAGGCTTCCCTGCTCAACGGCAAATGGGTGCAAGCCCAGGACGGCAAGCGCTTTGATGTCGAGGGTAAGTTCTCAAACATTTAACTTGACATATTGACATCTTTTAATATTTATAGATCCCGGCTCTGGCAAGATCTGGGCCACCTCGCCCACCAACCAAGTCGAAGACGTCGACCAATACATCGAGTCATCTCAGACCGCCTTCAACAGCTTCCGCTACACCAATCCCCGCGAACGAGCCAAGATCCTCCTCAAATGGCACGAGCTAATCACCAACGCCCGCGAGGACATTGCCAAGATTGTCGTCTATGAGACGGGAAAGCCCATGGCCGAGGCCGTGGGCGAAGTCGATTATGCTCTTGGCTTCGCATGGTGGTTCGCTGGCGAAGCTGAGCGTGTTCGCGGTACAATTGCCCTGCCTTCTGTGTCTAACCGGCGAACGTTTGTTATTAAGCAACCCATTGGTGTGAGCGTCGCTCTTGTGCCTTGGAACTTTCCTGTTGCTATGATTATACGCAAGGTCGCTGCGGCTTTGGCTGCCGGCTGCACCATGGTTGTTAAGCCTTCTCCCGAGAGTCCCTTCAGCGTCATGGCCCTCGCTGATCTGGCTCTCCGAGCTGGACTGCCCGCCGGTGTGCTCAACGTCATCTCGACAGACAACGCCAACACACCATCGGTCAGCGAAAGGCTCTGCAAGCATCCCTTGGTGCGAAAGGTCACCTTCACAGGAAGCACCAACGTGGGCAGCATTGTCGCCAAGCATTGCGCCGAGGGTCTGAAGAAGGTGACCATGGAACTTGGCGGCAACTGTCCGTTCCTCATCTTTGACGATGGTGACCTAGACCAAGCTGTTGCCGCACTTATGATCCTCAAGTGGCGCACAGCTGGTCAGGCTTGCACGCACGCCAACCGAGTTTACGTGCAAAGCGGCGTGTACGACAAGTTTACCCAAAAGATGTTAGAGGCCACGCAAAAGCTCAAAGTGGGCCATGGCGCCGAGACAGGGACGACCATGGGTCCCCTGACAACAGGCCGACAAGTTGAAAAGGTCGAGAAGCATGTATCCGATGCCGTTAGCAAAGGAGGCAAGATTCTATGTGGCGGAAAGAGGCCTGCTGACCTAAAGAACGGCTACTTCTTTGAACCGACCATCATCTCGGGAATGACGCCTAATATGTTGACGACACAAGAGGAGATCTTCGGTCCTCTCCTGGGCATCTACAAGTTCGAGACGGAGGAAGAAGCTGTGGAGTTCGCCAACAACACATCTATGGGCCTGGCTTCGTACTTTTACACCAAAGACGTCAGTCGTACGTGGAGGCTTCTCGAGAGCCTTGAGGCTGGTATGATTGGAATGAATACAGGTAAGTATATTGTCATGTAACTGCAAGAGATGCCAACGCTAACAAATGTCAAGGAAATGCTTCATGTGCCGAGTCTCCTTTCGGCGGTATCAAGTCTTCAGGCTATGGTAAGGAGGCCGGAAAGGACGTTGCCATTGAAGAGTATCTCATCTCCAAAACCGGGACTCTCACAGTTGATGGTTCTCCTACACCTTGAGCAGGCTTCAGCAAGGGGGGAAGGTCAGGTAAAATGTAAAGAGAAGAGTAGAATTCAATCGCTTTCAAGACTTGTATCCAGGTATCACATCAGCCGTTCATCCATCCTTGAAATCCCTCATTTGGCCAGAAAAATCCCGGAAAGTCCTAATTATTATTAGATGACTCAAGGAACTAAAGATCTAAATCAGACTGGGACAGTAAGTCCTAGAACGAAGGCTCTATTAGGGCTATCCTAGCTATGTCCGTGGGGGCATCAAATATTCTCGGGTCGTGAAAAGAGAATAGCCCGCCACGCATGGCCATTAAATTAGGCTCTCGGCTATCCTAACCAGCCTGATTTCTCTCTGCGGCGATACTATTAAGGGCGGCCCTAGTTGCTTCTATGCTTTTTAGGAACTCTCTCGCCGCGAAATTGCCGCTCTTATCTAACTACTTAAGTATTTGCATTGCAGTATTAAAATTATTACTATCGCTTTAAGACTTATTTATCTGAGATAGATTAGATATAATAAGAATAATAGATAATGAGAATAAGTAGTAAACGTAGGATATATTAAACGTTGGGAAGGATCTATTGATCTATGACTCTACTAGAAGTCGATAGGAGCGTCGAGCATATTAGATATAGGCATCTGAAAGAGTTAGAGTAACTTCGCTAATGGGAAGGCGGTCTTCCTCGGTTGACTTGCGAGCCTCTCGATGTATGCGAAAGATATATAGCATAATTGGTCTCGCTGCTCGTATTAGATATTAGGTGAGTTAGAAGAGTATTAAATGGTGGGTATATGTGAATCAATGGACCTAGTTAAAAGAGAGATATAAAGCGGTGATAGGCGCCGTCGCGTTAGGGGGAAGTTCCTTTATGGTAGCTCGCAAAGAGTCTGGCAGGCCTTATAGCTAGCTGGTTAGATCTCTTAGCGCTTATTGAACCCTACTAGAGAATGAGGTGCGCTGATTCTTCCGACTATAGATTAACGAGGTAATCTAAGTAGCGAGATTAATTAACCGGTGGTTGGCTATGAGATACTCTGCGTCGGCAAAGTCCTTAGCCGCACTTTCGGGGGATAAGCCCTCGATGGAAGGCGGGTCGATATTGATATCCTCGTCTCTTATAGAAACTAGCTAGCCGATTTAAGCTCCCTAGAAGTAATTAAGAGTATATACCGATTATTATATCCTCTTCCTATATTTTTACTTCTCGCGATCTAATATTAGAGATAGGGGCATATTTTAGTATAGGCTAATTATAGTGCTAAATTTAATAATAGATCTAATTATATAATATATATTATATCGCCGATTTATAGCTAGAGAGTATAATAACTTTCTAATATTAGTATTATATTACTAAGAAGGGTAAAAGACTTATTAATATTAAGATAACCTTAATATAGTTAATACGAGGCTATTTTATTAGAGGAACAGAACATACCAAACCATATAGCCAAAAGAGTTAAATTTCTATATATTCTTTTTAAGGTCTTTTTAAAAGAGAGATCTTATATACTTTCCCATGAGGCAAATATAATATAAAATAATAAGAGCAATTAATTAATTCATAGTAATAAAGATATAACCCGCGAAAAAGCCTAAAAGTCCTCTCGTCGAGGCCCGCGAAAGTAATAATAAAGGTAAGGCTCTATAACCTCTGCCTCCTTTTTCTATATATAAGAAATTACTTAGTAGCCTAAAATAGCTTAATACGCTTTTCCCCTAACTCATAGCTCCCCACGAGGCTTTAATACTTATCCTTATAGCTCCTAAGAAGCCTTATTAAAACCCTTATTAATTCCTCTTCTAAGGTTATTAATTCCTTTTAATATATTAGACTACTTCCTAAATAAGGCTAATTATCTAATTAATTATCCTAGCTCTTCTAGCGCTTCCTTATTCTCTTATCTCTACTCTCCCTTAATGCTATCGCGGGTATCTATAGCTATATAGCTATAGCTAAGATTTTATCCCACTAAGATAGTCTTATTAACCCAGTAGGGAGATATATTGCGTAGTTCTTAGTCAATAGTCGCTATATGGCCTAGTTTCTTACCTCTCTAAGCTAGCCCTTCTCTCTAGGGTTGCCTAATATAGCTTATATACTAGGTCTAATAACCTTCCTCTTTGATATTAACTCCTTATTACTTTTATAGTTTAAATAGTTAAAGTCCTTAATACCTCAAATCTATAGACCTTCCTCTATGATATATAGGCGCTTATCTCGAGTCTTACCCTAGATACTTATATTTATTATCTAATTAGATAGTTCGGCTAAAGCCTTCTTCTTATCCTTACTTATACTATCTTCGGAAGAGGCTAAGGGCTTAAAAGGCTAGAATTCTAATCCACTAAGGGATAAAGGCCGGCTGCATTTCGGGGTATTTAATAATAAGTTAGCTAAGGGCTTTAATAGAGTCTTAGGCTAACTCTTCTTCTAAGGCGCTAGAGTTATAAGCTTATCTTTACTATTCTTTAAAGTAGAGCTAATTAGCTTTATAATTAGCTTTTTCTTTTTCTTTAAATTATTAAAGTCTAATATTACCTCCCTATCTATATAGATTAATATATTATCCTTAACCTCGATCTTATTATTAATATACTATTTAATTATATCCTAAGGAAAGGTTAAGAGGGTAACTCTAGTTCATAGGGATATAAAAGGCCCGGCTCTTAAAGGGACCTTAACCTCTTTACTATCCTCGATCATAGGGAGTATAATTAAGCGATAAGTCCGCTAGTTACTAATATAGCTAA